ACACATGTATATATATATATATATATATATATATATATGAAACCTGCTTCCCTCTCCACGTTGACCTGCGGAGGTGAGGCACATCGGCTACCGTTTCTTCTTCTTTTTTCTCTGATAGATTTACACATGTATATGTATATATATATATACATACAATTGCTTGAAACGGCCGTCAGTAGGCGCGTCCCTTGCCTCCTCTTCACTTCTTGTGCTTCCGAGGGTCATTGCCTGTGTTATGCAGGTTATTTCCATTTCGATACGAAAAGCAAGAGCCGGAATGCGAAAGAACATAGTTATGGTGTTGTTTCCCCGGCGAGACTGGCGAGAGTCAAGAGAAGGGGCGAGGGCGAGATCAAAGCCACCTCAGCATTCTCGTCATAACTTCTTTTTTTTTTTGGAGGTAGGCCACCTGCGGAGCAAAAACCTTTTAGATAATTTTTTCTTTTCCTTTGTCAAAAAGAGAAAATGGAATTGTCGTAAGAGAAGGCAAAATAAGAAGAACTACTGCGCAATATATATTTTCCCCTCCATTCAGCTCCGTCGTTTTGTTGTCGTCGTCGTTTGCACTTTCGACGTGCAGCGTATAGGAGATGACAGCCTCACAAGAGAGACAGAATTGAAGTGAGAGAGAGGGAGAAAGATCATGGTCGAGCTCGCCAGCATTGGTTGTGTGATAGTAGCTGTCAAGTGGCATGTGTGTGTGTGTGTGCACCAAACATTTCCATAGATCAGAAGACGACAGACTCACCGAACTTTGCCGCTTGCTCGGCACGCGCTTACCTCCCTTCCCCTCTCTCTCCCCAACTAACGGGGGGAACAAACCTACATCTACGTATACGTGGCCTTTTTTTTTCTGTCTTCGTTTCGTGTAGATCGGTGATTTGCCACGAGGAACCACATTACGCTCGATCCTCTTCTTTCTTTCTTCTTATTGTTGATAGTGCGTGCATCTTATTACTACTACTACTACTTTGTTGTTGTTTTTACTTCTTTTACTACTGATCAGGCTGTGGAGGGAAGATTCTTGTTTCTGAAACTGATGGAATGAAAGGGCGAAGAAAGGAAAGAAAAACACATCCAAAAAGGAAAAAGAAGGACGAAGTGAATTACCCGTTGCGTGGATTTGACTGGGAGGGGGAGAGCAGGTGGGCTGCTGAACTGCGTGGATGGTTGCTGGGCGAGTTTTTTCCTTTTCAACGCCAGTCAGCCGATCATTATTGTCCCGCTTTGTGCGTGGCCCACCTCCTATTTCTTTTTCTTCCCCCCAGCCCAAATCAGAGCCTTTAAAAAAGGGGGAAGAAAATGGATGGTGCGCGTCTACGCTTTCATGCTGTACCCGCGCCTTCTTTGCACCATCCTCCATGCGAGAGATGACCGGAGATCTTGGGGAACAATCTGCGTTACGCCGACGCAGTGTCTCGCCTTATCTCTTTTTCTCTCTCTCTCCTTTCACGGGTAAATACACACATATTTATACCAATGGACACCAAGCACAAACTCATGCTTTGATTGTATTCAACTCGCTCTTTCCTCCTTCCCTTCTCGCTGTGTTTGATCTCTGCACCGTAACCAAACGTCTCTCCTTTCTTTTTTTAATATGCTGTTGTCGCCGTCGTCGCTGAGGAAGAGCCGAACGCTTTCCCTTACTTTGGGGCCTACAACTTCAACGCACCTGATGTGAGCGTACCGTGAGCGGTGGCCTCCCTTTTGTTTAGATATTTTCTTTCATCTGCGGAACGCAAAGCACGCGTGTGTGTGTGCGTCGTCGTCGTCGTTTCTTTCTCATCCTTGAATGCCACGCGCACTCGCGCTTCCGTAGAAGAGGAATAAAAAAACCTAAAAAGGCAAACAAGGAGAAGTCCTTCTTCCTCTTCTTCCTTTCTCTCCGTCAAACTGGCCTCTGAAGGAGACAACGACGGCTCCGTTGTCGCGGGGGACGAGATGGTGGCGCTGCCCGCCTTCAAATTCGTGTTTCTGGCGATCCGTCAGGTGACGCGGCCGCTCGCCAAGCAAATCGTGCAGCGGGCCAACACCAAACGTGCCTTGACGTACCGCATGTGCATCGGCCTCGGCCGCGTCTCCCTCGGTCTCTCCGGCGTCATCGCGGAGTGGACCCGCGCCGAGGAACAAAAGCAGCGGGAGGCGAAGAAAAAGTCGGAAGAGGCGCAGGTGACGAGGCTGGCGCAGGCGGCCGAGGCGGAGATGGAGAAGGCCGCGGAGATGGCGAAGAGGGCCGCGGAGGCGGTGATGAACGCGGTGGGGAAGCACAGCGCTGGCGGAAGCACTGCAGCAGCAGCAGCAGTGGCAACGCCGAAAGTGGCGCCGACCACGTCAGCGACTGCCCCTTCTTCCTCACCGGGAGAACACCCTTCACCACAACGACCCTCCACTTCAGCAGAGAGGACCTCTGCCGCATCCTCACCGTCACCATCGCCTTCGTCGTCTTCTCCTGCGAATGCGGTGCTGTCCACCCCCGCCCCCGCCACCGCCGCCACCGTCACCCCGCGTTCTCGCTCCCTGCTGCGCAGCGTTGTCTACGGCCCGCAACTCAAGGACAGCCCCGCCGACACCTACGACAGCACCGTCTTTCTCGATCCAACGCGGACGGTGGGGGAGGCGGCGCGGGTGTTCATCCGCTACCCGGCGCGGAGCTCGTGGGACGTCTTCCGTCAGACCTTCTTGGCCCCGTTTCCGGAGGATCGCCTCGTTGCGGCGGGTGCGGATTTGCTGATTGAGTTGGTCGCCTACACGGTCCTCTGCACGTTGCTAATTGTGGAGCTGCTGCAGCAGTCTCGCACGACGGCGGCGAAGGAGGCCCACGTCAACGCGCGCCTGGAGGCGATCGAGGCGAAGGTGAACGAGCTCGTGGAGCAGAACAACGAGTCCCGCGCCTACCCGCCGTTGGAGGAGCTGCCCCCGGTGCCGGAGCTGCAGGTGACGGGTCGTCTGAGCGCGCTGTGGGGCGCCGTGACGACTGGCGCGGGTCTTGTGGGGAGCGCATTCTCCAGCAGCGACGACGACGATGACGGCAGCAGCAGCAGCAGTCACCGCGGCAGTGCTGCTGAGGAGCGAGAACGCATGTCCCAGAGCGGGAAAGTTGTCGTGCCCCGTCGGGAGGTCGGCTCGAACATTGCCCGGGCTCCCCCGCGTGACCCCGCCGTGAAAGTGAGCAAGTACGATGAATCGACCGTTGTGCAGGTAGAGCTGGAGAAGCTTCTGCACGGCGTCCGCGCCGAGACGCGGGCGTGAGCGACGAAGAAAGAGAAGGGAGAAAAGGGTTTTAAAAAAGAACAAAGAAAAAGGGTTTTTTATCCTGTCCACGTTCAGCGCTCTTTCCGGTGTGGTAGACAGCAGAAGTCGTCGGCGATCGTGCACTGCTTCGGGTAATTTCATCGTTGAGCTCCTACCCTGGCAGCGCGTATTTGAAGGATAGGAAGCGTTGCTGTCTTGGCTAGAAACGAATGATGCGTGGTGCCATCGCACAGTTTGTGTTCCTAGAGGACGCTTTTGTGGGTGTTTGCTCCTCTGCCGTTCTTGCTTATATATAGGTATGTGTGCATTTCTCGCTCTGATATTTCTTACTGTGGTTCTTATCACCGTAGACGCGGCGGTGCGTCGTCGTCGAATAAGAATATTGATGTTTGTGCCTGAAGGAGCAAAACATCCACGCATTGCGGCGGGTGGACGCTGACGGTGCGTGCTCCGCGGCGACTTCGCTGTTCTCCCACTCACTCCAATTTTACCTTTTTTGTTGTTGCTTTTACACGACGTAGTGGGGAACAGCCACCAGCGATGTTGACGTGCAGGGGCCGTCTTCTACTCTCGTCTCTTCTTCTCGTTGTGTCACATGAAAGGAAACGCATGTATGTACTCGACGGCAGGGCGTGCGCGAGCGGCATCGACCGCTGTTGCACCTCAACACGTTGTACGGCACTTGTGTGTGTGTGTGTGTGTGTGTGTTTCGTGGTGTTTCTGCAGCGGTTTCTGCAGGTCACGTTATCGGGGGAGAGGGGGCGAGGAAGGTTCATCACTTCGAAAAGCCCGTGAAACGCGCTTCTTTTTTGATCGGTTTCCTCTCTCCTTTGAATCAGTGGGGAAGCAGCGGTAGCGGGGCGCGTGCCTGTCGAAGGCGCCCAGCGTTTCTTTTCGATTGGGCACTTCAGAAAGAAGGAAAGAGGAAAGAAAAGCCACGGGTGCTTTTTGCGTGTTCTCCCGCCTTCTCCTTCCCCGCCTTTAATCTCCCCTCCCCCTCCCTCTCTCCTCTCTTACCCGTACTGCAGGAAACGCCTGCTATTGCGGTCTCGGGAACAAACCCAAAAGAATTGGTCTCTGCTTGTTGTACCGAGACAGGCGAAACCACCGCATAGAGCGTCATCGCGGGGCACACACATCACGGCCTCGCCAAAACACTTTCTTCTTCTTTTTTTTCTTTTGGCTCCGTAAGCCACATACACACACACACATACATTCAGCGACGCGTGCGACGCAAGGCCATGGAAAGCGACGAGGCACAGGGAACTGCCCCGGCAGCCGCAGCTGCGGACGTCTCCACCACCGTCGATCCCGTTGGAGCACCCCCCGCTGTGGTGCCGTCTACCTCCCCTTCGACTGACGCCTCTGCTTCTGCGTCTCCCGCCATGGCCGCAGAGGCGCGCCTGCACGCACTGGAGACGAAGACCGCCATGTGGAAGGAGGCCGTCGCCACCCAGTTAAACGACGCCTCTCGCAAGAACAAGAAGCTGCGCGAGGAGCTGCGGGCCGTGCGCGAGGAGATGGACGCCGCCCTCGGCGATTTGCGGGTGCAGCTCACGGACGAATTCCACGAACGCACGGCGATGCAGCGGGAGGAGCTGGCGGCGCTGACGACGCAGGCGGCTCTCCTGCGCGAGGAGAAGAAAGCCATGGCCGCTGCCCATGAAGCCGAACTGCAGAGGGCACGCGTGCAGCTGCGCGAGTTAATCCAGCTCGAGGTGGAGACAAACTACAAACGGAAGGACGAGCAGTGGTCAAAGGAGATGACTGCGCTGCAGACCCGCGCAGAGGCGAAGGAGACGGAGAAGGTGCAGGCGGAGCACGAGTGCGAAGTGCTGAAGATGCGGCTGAACCGACTCGGGGCCCAATACGAGGAACTCGCCTCCCTCTTGCAGCCGAAAGGGGGAGAGGGCAGCTCGGCTCCGTCGCAGGCCTCCGACGGCCTCGATGAGGCGGCGGGGCTCCACATACAGGGCCCAGCCCGTCAGCAAACCGCCGTCAACGCGGCCTTCACGCAGCAACTTGAAAGCATGAAAGCGGAACTGCAGAGCAAGGAGCAACACACGCAGTTCGTACTGGACCGTGCAAAGCAGGAGCACGAGGCGGAGAAGTCCCAGCTGCTGCGGGAGCTGCAGCTGCGTGAAGAGGAGCTGAAGGTGGCCCACACACTCTTAAAGCAGGTGCAGGTCGAGAGCAGCGGATACCAGCAGCGTGTCTCACACGCACAGACAGAGAAGCAGGCACTGGAGCAGCGCTACGCGGCCAAGGTGGCAGCGCTCAATGCGAAGCTGGCGGAGCGGGTGCAGGTCGTTGAGGAGGCGCAGGTGGTAACTAAGCGGCTGCAGGAGCAGCTGCGCACCGCCCAGCAGCAGGTGGCGACGCTCGAGGAGGAGTCCATCATGCGCGAGGAGGCCTTTCACTCCCTCATGCTGTCGGAGGACGACAAGCGTGTGGTGATGGAGCTGCAGAGGGCGGTGCAGACGGCGCGTGATGAGGCGGAGGCGTGGAAGATGCAGTACTACACCGCCCTGTCCTCTCCACCGAACGGGGCCAAAACCGCCACGGGGGACAGGGGGGGCACCCCCTCAGCGATTCAGGAGGGCGGCCGTAGTAGTGGTGGCCGTGATGGCGGCGAGGCCGCTCTGTCCACCGCCGCCTCCCCTGCGGTAGAGACGAACCACAACAACAGGGATGGAGCTTCACCGCACGCCGTGCCCGCCGCAGCGGTCCGCACGCCGCAAGCGTGGCACGAGCAGCTCGCCGCCAAGGAGGCGTCCCTCGAGGCACACGCCGCGCAGCTCGAACGCAAGGCGCACCTGCTCGACGCAGCCGAGGCGAAGTTAAACGACATGCGCCGCTCCTTGGCGAGTCAGGCGAGCATCTTGCTGCAGCAGCAAAAGGGCGGTCGGCGGGAGCGGAACAGCGACAACGGTGTTGTCTTCCGCGAGGGTAAGGACGGAGGTGGGCTGGTGGAAGAGTCGGAGCACGAAATGCTCGGCGCCTCTCCGATCATCAGCACCGCCGCATCGCTCCTGCCCTCCACGTGGCACGGGTCGCTACGGGCGCTGGAGACGCAGCGACGTCGCCTGCACCTGCCCGGCAGCTGTCGGTGCATGTTCTGTTTCTTCTCTGGTGGCGGCAACTCCGGTGCTCCGCTGCGCCTGCGTCGTGACCCCTTTGTGTTTACGCTGATAGTGATTCTTTTCGTCATGCTGATCATCGTTGTGAGTGCGATGTAGCCGCCAAACTCGTCTTGGCCTATCACGCGTGCTGGTGTTTGAAGTCCTTGTTTTGTTGTTGTTGCCTTCCTGCGGGCGCGGGTGTGTGCGCGTTTGGCCTGTGCAACTCTACCGTTGATTTCCTCATGCTGCTGCGTGTGTTATGGACCTTATTCCGTTGTATGTGCCTTAGCCAAGAAGAAGCCCGTGCTCTCACCCCCACCGCCCCTTCCCTCTTTTCAGTGGGTTTTTTTGTTGCTGCTGTTGTTGGACGCTTGCGTTACGAGGATTGCTTTCCCTTTCTTTTCTTCCTTACTCATACTCTTTCTCTATTGCAGCGGCGTATCTCACAAACGAACGAAATCGCAGTCGTTTCGGCCCCCCTGTTGCCCCCTGGTGCCCCGTCCTTCGCGTGTGTGTGGTGGGGCGGGGGGGGGGGGTCGAACGGCGGTGCGTTAATAGAAGGAAAAGAGAGAGGTAACACCCCGTCGCCCACTCTCTGCCGATGCGCGCACTTCCAGCGCAATTTCCCCTCCCCCTCCCCCTTCACGGGTCTCACTGCTCCTCCTTTCCTTCTCCATCTATTATTGTTTTCTTCCTTGACACACACACACACACCTATACGTTTCCGCCGGCTCACTGCTCACCAGTTAGTGAACGACACATACACACACACACGCACGCTCTACAAAAAGGTATACAGAAGTCATTCGGAGCCTAGTGTGTAACGGCAGTTGTGGCACCGGCAAGAGAACAAAATCAGGCGAGGGAGTCTTTTTTCCTTTTCCTGCTTGCTCTGTGCTTCACTGATCACGGTAGCACGTTTCATCTGCCGTTGATATCGTACCTTAGCACCATAGAGGAGCGAGCATACGGCAACAACAAAGATAAACGGATAAGGGCAGAAAAGGAAGACCACGACAATCGCTTGCCTCAGCCGAGTTTTGCTGTGGTTGTTACTCGCGTGTTTCCGTTGTCGACTTCTCTGTTGTTGTTGTTTTCTCTCCTTAGCTGCTGTTGCTCCGTACATCACTATCCATAGAAGTAATACCTTGTTTTTCTCTCTTTTGAGGCATAGATGTTTAACGTCGTATTTAACGTGAAGCGCCATATTAACTTTCTGTCGTCGAACATTGCTGGGTTTTGCTTCCTCCCCTTTAGGTGCACTCTTCTCTCTTAATTGCCGTTGATTGAACTGTTGCTCCCGTTGCTGAGCGGCCCAGCTTCAGCTACGTTGGTCCGTCGAACTTCTTTCATTTAACGGCGGCTCTTCCAGCGCAGGTGTCGGATCCTTTCTTTATATACCTATTAAATACGTTACTACGCTTGATCGCCTGCTCTTGTGTGCATTTCGCGTGCTTACGTGAGCGGCGTCGGTGCCCTTACGTTCCTTTCTTTTCCAAAGTCGATGTTTAAAAAGAAAGTAGCGGCACAGGCGGTGGCGGCTGCTGTCGGTGCCACCACGCCGTCCACGGCCGCCCCGTCACGCCGGCCGTCCGCCGCGCGCGGTGCGGGCAGCAAAGCGCGGACACTCGCCCTCATTGAAAAACACCGCAAAATAGTCGAGGAAGCGCAGCGGCAAAGGGAGGAGATGGAGAGCATCACGGCGGAGCAAAAAAGTCTGCTGAAGCAACGAAAGCAACTAGCCCGAGCCTCAGCGACGACGGCGGCAGCAGTCTCAGAAAAAGCGAAGCTCGTGGCCCCACCAAGGAAGGCTGCTTCCACACAACCACCGGCAGCACCGTCGACCACACTTGACACGGACACCAAGCCGGACGCGTTCACCGCCCTCATTGATCAGTTTCTCGCCGCCACTCAGCCCTTGGCGGACTTAGACGAAACCATCCAGGGCAAGAAGGTCTCACTGACCTCCTCGACAGCGGCCGACCCGGCAGAGAAGCCAAGCGCGACGGCACCGCGGCCGGCGCGAGCGCATCGGGCCCCTGTCCTGACCCACCGCAGCTTCGCAGCCTCCCTCACCTGCCCGAAGAAGTTTTACCTTTTCCAAAACCGGTCCGATCTCATTCCGAAGGCCTCGCTGGGCGACATGATGCACTTCGATGACAGCGTGGGCTTCAACGAGCTTGCGCGGCGGTGGGACCGCCTGCAGTTCGGCAGTCGTGCCCACGTGGTGAAGGAGAGCGACTTTGACCAGGCCGTGCAGCACACGGAGGAGCTCATTGTGTCGTACTTTCAGGGCCCCTACGCCTCCCTCCGCGAGCAGGCCCCAACGCTCACGATCCACCGGCCGGCGTTTGCAGTAGACTTTGCTGCGCCTGTGTCCGGTGGGGCAAAGAGCGAGGCGACAGGCTCGAGTGCGAGCGCGCCAATCGCAGAGCTGCGGGCGCGTCCTGCCATCATTCGCTACCGTCCGAAAGAAGATCAGTGGGTGTTCATCGACTCCCAGGCCGTCATCGACCCCGTCAGCACCTCGGCCCGCATCACCCACACAATCCAAAAGTTCCACTTCACCGTTCTGTGCTTTCGCATCTGGCTCACGCAGCCGCACCTCCCGATCGAGCTGCGGAAGAAGTTTCTGCAAGTGAATCTGGATGATATCACGCGGGAGAGTCTGCGAGGGCGCTCGCTAGAGTCCTCCGCGCGGCCGGCCGCCCCTATCGATCTGAAGCGCAGCGGCCTGCTGCACATCCGACAGTTTTTCCCCGGCCCGGTCACCCTCGTTGACTGCGCCCCGCCGCAGCTCATGAAGTTTATCCAGCGCATCTCGCTAGAGGAGCTCCTGGAGGAAGACAGCAGGCACTACGGCAGGGAGAGCGGACGGGGTCACCCGTTCTCGCACGGCTTCACCGGCGGCGGCGGCGGTGCCTTCGACCTGCGGAACTGCCACAGCTCCGTCGGCGCGAATGCGGGGCTGCGCAACTTGGTGGATGTGCTGGACGCGAACGCGCAGGAGTTCTCGAAGATGACGCAGGGCCGCACCGTGCGCAGTCAAAAACACAAGGACGAGACGCTGCACCGCCTCTTTGAGGCCCAGCAGCAGTTTATGGAGGAGCTGTTGCGACAGCACACCCTTCCCCTAATGGATCAGCAGCGCCGTCTTACGGAGACCGCGGCTGACAAGATACCGGTGCACCCGCTAACGGCTTTCTCCAGCCTTCTCGGTGATGAGGGGTTTGTCCACGGTTCTTCCACTTCTGCTGCAGCGGCTGTCGGCCCGTCAGAACCCGCAGACGATGCTGACGGCGCCAAGAGCAAGAAGACGGTGAAGTCCGCCGCGCGCAAAGTGAGAGGCGGCAAAGCAAAGCAGAAGTTCGGCCCCGCAGGCGCAGACGGCGACGACGGCGAGGGCGCAGCGGGTGAGGAGGGCGTGGCCGGGGGCGGGACTTCTGCTGGGGCCCCCTGCTACGGCTGTTACATCGGTCCCCAGTGCCTGCGTGGGGGGGATGCCTGCTCCTTCTTTGTGGAGGGCATGTGCCTCCCACGCAAGGTGGACGACCCCATCACCGCCAAGGACAACCACCTCTTCACCCTCCCCTCCACCTCCCTCGCGCGTAAGTCGGCCTGGTGGGCGGAGGGCAAACGCACGGTGGGCGATATACTCGCCGCCTACGGACGAGACGAGCCACGCATGCGCATGACGCAGGCTCAGCTGCGCTACGCCGAGGCCCTCACGCAGGGTCTGGTAGCGCTGAACCCGAAAGAGATCGACGCCTTCTTCGCCAAGATTCGCTATCCGCTCTTCGTGATCGACTTCGAGGCGGTACAGTTCGCCCTCCCTCCCTTCCAGAAGGAGATCGCCTACCAGTCTATTCCCTTCCAGTTCTCCCTTGACGTCTTCCAGCGCGACGTCCTCACGGAGGAGCCAACGCACTACAACTACCTGCACTTTGGCAAAGGCTGCTCGCCGAACACCGATCCCCGACCGGGCTGTGTGGCGGAGCTGCTGCGCATCGTGCGGCTGGAGCGGGAGAAGAAGCGCGCCGCGATGGAGGTCTCCGGGGAGCTGGCGCGCCTTGAAGCGGAGAAGGCGGCAGCGGAGGCGGAGGCGGAGGCGGAGGCGGCGGTGACGGCCAACGGGCGTCGCTCGCGCAAGCCGAAGGTACCAAAGAACCCCAAAATCACGAAGGCGACTCCGCTGGAGCAGCCGCTGCGGCCCTACGACGGCTCCTTCATTGCCCATTTCGCCTCCTTCGAGAAGTCGTGCCTCGAAAAGCTCGGACAGCTAGAGGAGGAGTACAAGGAGGAGATCAAGGAGTTCTGCTTTCTGGACACGCTGGACCTCATCAAGAGGGGCTGCGTGCACCCCAACACACACGGGTCGAACTCGCTCAAGAAGGTGCTGCCGGCGCTCTGCCCCGATTTTCAGTACGGCGTCTTCGGTGCGGAGAAGACGCCGTCCGACGACCTCGCCGCGACGGGGGACGGCGGTGGAGCGGCAGAAGGGCAGGATGAACAGAAGGGAGAAAACGCGATGGGTGTGTACCGGCTGTGGTACCACCTCGAGGGCGGGGGCACCGTGCAGGACCTACAGCGCGCCTCACGCGGCCTGTCGGGCAACGCGCCGTCGGACGCCCCTGCGGGTGCCGCCGCGGCCTCCGCTGCGTGGACGGAGAAGGTGCGGACGACAATGTCGAAGGAGGAGCGTGACCGTATGTGGCACACCCTGCGCATTCAGCTGCTCGAGTACTGTTCGCTGGACACCAAGGCTCTCTATGAAATTATGCGGCAGATCCACGCGGAGCGGGCGGCGATTGAAGACGCGACGCCGAAGGACAAGAATGGGTGGGTCTTCATCAAGCCAATGTCCCGCGAAATGGACTTGTAGGTCAGGAAAGGGGACTCAGATTCTGAAAAGGAAGGAAGCCGCACTCCCTTATTATTTTCTGTTTTTACATCTTCTGTGTGTGGTGCGCCGGGTGCAGCGTGGCATGAGCCGATGGAGCCTCCTCTTCGCGGATGTCGGTGGAACGGTTCACGTGGCGGGTTATTGACGTTCCGACTGTAGCGAGTACGGAGAAGTAGTAGCCGCCTTTTCCTCGCTTTGACCTCCTCTTTGCGTCTTCTTATGTCTTACACATACTCATGTCTTACTGGCCAACGATTGCGTGGGTCTTAACCTTCCCTCAGAGTTAAATTTATGTTCTTCTTTCTCTCTCCGGCGCGGCTCAGGCGTTAGCAAGCAGGTCTCACTCGAGAGAGAGAGAGAGAGATCTCCTCCTCCTACCGCATTCGCATGCAGCAGTGTGTGTTGTGTAGCATTCGGCTGACAAAAGAACCGAAGAGCTCTCCCCGCATGCGTCTTGCCGAAGAAGCCGCAAAGGACCGAACAACGAATGGACCCTCCGTCACACCCTTCCTTCTGCTTGTCTGTTTGGCTCTGCCCTCTTCGCCCTCTCGCGTCTTCGTGGCGCGTGCACTTCCAAGTGGAGCGTACGAGCAAAACAGCAGAACACGAGAGAGCACGTCTTTCACGCGTGTCACCTCACAATCTATTTTATTGATTGATTTATACATATTTTTCTGCGCACACGAACCCGCCCTCAGCGCCATCCCTGACAGTAGCAGAATAGTAACACTTCGCTACTGCACTCCCTGCGGAATGAAGGCCCTTGTCTTGTGCGACGGCTCTGAAGGCTCCCTGCGGTGCATTGAGGTGGCCTGCGCTGCCCCTGCCAAAGCCGCCAGCGCAGACACCGCTCTCGTCCTCCTGCATGTGTGGGACGGCCCTCTCAAATCGCCCTCCGCCGCTCTCGCAGGAGAAGGCGCGTCGTCGCACCCCGCTACCCGTTCTTCCCGTGTCTCCTTCAGCACCCACGCGGCGGCAGATGCGGGCTCTACTGCACCGGATCCATCCACGAATGAAGCAGCAGCGGCGGTGACGGCCTCCTCCTCCGCCTCTCTGTCTTGTGCAGAGGTGCTGACCGCAACGCTGAAGGCAGTCCACACGAATAAGTATGTGAAGGGACGCGCACACTACTGCGTGGAGACCGTCTGCGCCGCCGCTGCAGCCATGACAAACGAGAACACGGCTGACAACAGCAGCTATTTGGTGAAAGCAACGAGTGATGCTGCACCGGATAAGTCCGCGGCGCTGACGTCAGGCCGCGACGAGCAGGAGGAAGCCGCCCAGGTGAATGCGGTGGTGCGACACGCCTCTGCGCGAGCGGGGCATCACCAGGTGGAAGCTGTTCTCCTAGGTGTGGGTCAACTACAGGAAGGGAAGGTGTGTGCGGTGGGCACCGTCGCCCTGCACACCCTCCGACACCTGCGCACCCGCTATCCTTTGTATTACATTAAAAAGGACGGCGTGAAGTGGCGGCCCGCACCGGCTGCCAATGCCACTGCCTCGGCCACTGCCGCTGCTACTGCTGTTATTGCGCCGTTGCGGTTCACCGTTGTGGTTCCCATTCCCGCCTCGATCACGCCTTCGCTGCCTGCGGGTGGGTCGGCGACCGACGTGCGCACCACCGCGGAAGTCCCGTCGAGCCCGGTGAGACTGGCCATCGAGGCCGCGGTGCACTACACTCAGCAGCACTGTTGGCGCACTTCCTCCGCCGCCGCCGCCTCCCCCACAAGCGTGGACAGCGTCGCTTTTCTGCTAATCGCGCCCAGCTCCGTAAAGAGCGAGGAAGGCGACAGCGTCCCGGTTGGGGGAGAAGGCGGGGTTGGGATGGCCGCCGCGGAAGCGAATGATGCGCTGCCAGAGCATGGGGAGGCGTCGCTGGTGGATCTTTACAAGCGGTACCTTGAGACACTGCTTCCCAAGGCGGCTCCAGTGCTCGCTGCGTTAGAGCCACAGGACGAACAAGGAAAGGTAGCCGACACGCCGGCTGCTGGGGAGAAAGCGAATATGGTCAGCAGCGATGCTTCGCCAAGCGGCACCCCTTCTCGAATTTCCGTCTGCGCGTTGAAAGCCTCCAAGAAGCATCCTCGCGTCACCCTCGAGGAAGCCGAGGTGGCGCTCCCGCAGGTGCTGAAGCACGTGAGCGCCGTGAAGCCGGATGTTCTCGTGCTACCCGTTTCCCTGATCCCTGACGCGCTGCAGCTGGCGATGCTCTCCGCAAGTAAGCCGCACTGCGTCATCCTGCCGTATTAGTTCTGCGACGGATCTTTTCTTTTCTCCCTTTGCCTTGTCTCTTCCTCCTTATATATATATATATATATGTCTGTGCGTCTTTGTAAAGGCACCGAGCAGCTCCGGCAGCACTCCCCTATGTAGATTACTCCTCACTCGTAAAGAGTGGCATATACCTCCCTTTTTGTGTATGTGTGGGGGGTGCGGTGTCTACCGCTTTACCCAAAGGAAACTAAGACTGAAAAGGAATATCGAAGAAACCTCTTCCAACAGTGCTTCCCCGCGGCACTTCGAATAGCTGTGTAGCATCGTACATTGCGGTACGCACGTGCGCGTTGGGGGGGGGGGGGGGGGGGTCGGTCGTGGAAGCTGCCACCGTTTAACGTTTCCGCGCGCAATGGATGGCTTCAGCGCGTCTCGTCTTGTAGAGAACAAACAAAAATTCATTTCGACTTTCTGCAGGGAGCGCGAAAATTACGAGTTCGGATGTCACGCATGTGCGGTACACGCAGCGCGACCTTTTGCGGCGCCATTACATCGTGGTGGCTTCACGTTTCACGGCTTCATCACCTCCTTCTCCTGTCTCCTTCTTTGCTACTCTTATGCCGGTGTAATGAACTCTCCGCGTACGTGCTGGTTGTGAAATGCCCAACAGCCTTCTTGTTGGTTTTTTTGTTTTTCACCCGCCGTCTTCTCTGTTAGAGCTGTTGACTTCATAAAAAAAAAATATTTAAACTGTAATCCGATTTCTTTCTCCCGTACATCTCCTCCGCTTATTTTCTCTTTTTTGATGTTGTTGTTCTCAAAGCTCGCCCTTCGTCTTCCTCTCGTTCTCCTGGGCCTCGTCTCTCTCGCCTTCTGAGAAGGGCACGCTCCTCTTCCCAACCCCTCGCGTGTCAGCTGCGCAAGAGTGGACGTCGAATCCAAAATAAGAAAAGCAGGTCCGCTTTCCAGCTCAGTTTCATTCCACAGAAGGAGTAGAGCGAATTGGCAGCGTTCTCTATCGCTCTTCTATTTTTATTTGTCGACGATAACTTCTCTCTAGAGCGTTGGGAAGGTAAATTGAATTGTAGAAGAGTCTGCGTTCTCTGTAAAGAGAGAGTGACGGACCAACGTCAGCAGCAGAGGTGGAAGGTGTGTCACGCTGGCCCCCACGTTCTTCTTTACGGTATCGCCCGACGGAGATATATAGTGGAAGAAATACTCCTTACCCCTTTTTTTCACTGAAGCTCCTTTTGTCTTTTTTTGTGTGTCGCCTTTATTATATCGAATCGAATCTTCTTTACAGTTATTATTATTAGATACTGCGTCTTCTACACGAGTTTTTCTTTCCTTTAGAACTCATTTCCCACACTCGTTGTTGTTGTTGCCGCTCTTGTTGTTTCTCTCTCCCCTCCTTCCCCTCCGCTTTTCTCTTTCATGTTGACGGACCTGCCTTGCATCTGTTGAGACACACACACACGCGCAGACAACAATAAAAAGGGTTGTTGCTAGTTTCTGTCTTTCACCTCCGTACGATTCGCGTCGTTTTCGTATCCCTTTTCTTTTTTGTGAAACTCCTCTTTTTGTCTTCTAGTGACGTGTCCGTTTGCTACACGCTCCATTCTCCTTACTTTTTCTTGTGGTTTGGTTGTTTGGTTGCATTGCCAGTTGTGGAGAAGTTGTTTACCGCCATCACACACGATACAGGTCAGATAGATACAAACACATATATCACCGTTTTTATAGCCTCTTTGTGGCCTCCTGCAGATTATTTTGGACGTATTTATTATTATTATTATTATTATTATTATCTCCCCTCCGTATTTAGTGTGGTTTTTTTTGTAGTGATCGGCCCTGCAGATTTTTAGTCCGCTTTCGTTCCTCACTCCCCTACCTAAAAGCGCAGACCCGAGTACTTCGCATTTTTTTCTTCTTGTTTGTACTTTTGTTGCTGTATTCGGAGGCTCTCAACTGTCGTTAAGGAGGGGGGCTGCTGCTTTCCCGCACGGGAGTTTCGTGTAGCGAGAGCGCTGCTTCTCACGAGTTAGCCTGAATACTAATAGCAACTATTACTTTCCATTGAAGCTGTTCTGTCGTTGCAAGCCCATCACGCACACAGCACCAAACTAAGGAAAATGACGTCTGCTGCAGAGCGTGTTCCTGAGGCGGCCGCAGAGCACACCGGCCAAGAGGACGTCCCGGTTGGTAACCCCGCTGATGCCGAGCTGCCGGCAGTTTCCGAGACACCAGAGGAAACCCCCGAGGCGGTCTCAGCGGAAGCCCCGCCCACGAAGCCCCTCCCCCTGGCCACCGCCACCGCCGCCGCCGCCGCTGCCATTCAAGTCTACGAGCCCTACCAGGTCGACCTCATCTCCCCTCGCCACGCCCACCCCGTGCACCAGACGCCGCACCTCAACGGTGGTGGCACGCATGAGGCGGTGAGGGAGAGCAAGGCGAGCACCCGCAGCGGCTCGAGCGCCATGACCCCTGCGCCGAAGTTAAAGGGCCGGCCGTCGCAGGCGCCGCTGCACACGGCACGTGTCGCCCGCACACGAGAGGCGGCACCGCGATCGCGTTCGCAGGGACAGCCACGGCGCTCGAATCGTCGCCCGCCGCTGGCCGCCGCCCCTTCCAACGGCGCTCCAGCATCCACTGTCTTGCCCACCTCAACCCGACGTGTGCCGGCCAGAGGGGAGGCTTCCAAGACAGCAGCAGCCGCAGCAGCGGCCACGACCACTACCGCGCGTACGAGTACCAACGGCAGTTCCAGAGTCCTCCTGCGGCGTCCCCGCTTTGTGGACCCGTTGGCGACGACAGCCCCCACCACCACCACGACGTCTGCAGAGCCCGCGCAGCGCACCAAGCCCGCGCGACCAGCGGATGCGACCGCCCTCCCTGTCGCTGCGGCATTGGCGAACCACGCACCACGGTTTATCTCCTCCATCCCATACCGACACCCGACACACACACCGCAGCGGGCGCCGGCGCCGCCGGACAACTCAGCTGCAGACACCCACCATCGTCGTCGCCTGCTGAACGACCTGCACGCCGCTGGTGGAGCGCATCGTAATGGTGGTGGTGGTGGTAGTGAGAACGGTGAGGCAAGCGCGGCTGCGGCGACGTCGCTGGAGTCGACCAAGATGAGCAACGGCACTGCCGCGGCGGCGGTGGTGGCACCGCTCGACAGCAGTCGTCCTTCCTCTCCGGTTGCCGAAGCGGAAACGGATGAGACGACGGACTCGGAGGCCGCGGTGGAGGGGCACGAGAAGGATGAAGACCGCGCCGCAGAGCCGACGCAGACATCGGAGGAAAAGACGACTCTCGAGAAGACAGACGCCGCAACCGCGACGACGACTAGTGATGCTGCAAAGCTCGCCCCTCACTACACCCACCCCACACGGGAGTCGCAGATGAGGGTGATCGCCGGGACTGTCACATCGCACCCGAGCAAGAGGGTCATCCTGTCTCGCCCCACCACCAATCCTTCCTCGCTGCGCATGAGCGAGTTGACGCGGCCCTCCGAGGCGTACAAGGTCTCGCTTAACTCGTCGCATCAGGGCAGTTCTCTGGCCCGACGCTCGCGCCAGCCACGCACAGTGCTGAACGTGTTTCTCACCAAATACCCGGTGATCCGCCGGCTGGCAGACGAGCTTGGCTGGGTAATGGAAACGACCGAGGAGGAACTGAACGACTACAAGTTCAACCTGTGCTGGAGCGACACCGTCCTTTCGCTGATGCGTCTGGTGCGGCTCAGCAACTGGCAGCGCACGAACCACTTCCCCTCCATGTACCTGCTGTGTCGCAAAGGGCACCTGGGCACCACCCTGGGTAGGCTACGTCACAAGCTGCCCTTGCACTTCGCCTTCTATCCCCGCACGTGGTCGATGCGGAGTGAGAGGCTGCAGTTCACGCAGTACATGGCGGCCGTCCGCCAGCGTCGCCTCCTCAAATACTTCATCATGAAACCCAACTCCGGCTGCCAGGGCCGCGGCATTGTCGTGGCGAGGGATCCCCTCACCGCCTTGGAGGAGCACACGCTGGACAACTACATTGTCCAAGAATACGTGCACCGCCCGCTGCTGTTGGAGGGCAAGAAGTTTGACTTGCGTGTGTACGTTCTGCTCACCTCCATTCGCCATCCCTCCATCTTCCTCTTCAACGACGGCCTCGTGCGCATCTGCACGGAGCAGTACGAGACGCCGACGGAGGAGAACGTGAAGAACGCGTGCAAGCACCTGACGAACTATGCCGTCAACAAGAAGAGCACCGACTACGTCTTCAACACCGACGTGGAGCACATGGATGTGGGCAACAAGCGCAACTTCGCGTTTCTGAACCGCTGGCTGGAGGAGTCCGGCCACTCTGCGGACGAGGTGTGGCACCAGGTGAGCATGACTATCGTCAAGACAATCCTCGCCGCCCAGCCGAGCATCGCGCGCGTCTACGACTCCTGCTTCCCCACGGGTTACAACGACGGCTACTGCTGCTTCGAGGTGCTCGGGTTCGATATCCTGATCGACCACAAGATGAAGCCGTGGCTGATGGAGGTGAATCACACCCCGTCCTTCGCGACCGAAACGCCACTGGACATGGACATCAAGAGCAAGCTGCTGACCGAGGTGTGGAGCATCATCGACTGCAAGGCCACCGACTACGAGAAGGACCGCCAGCGGGAGCGGGAAGAGTTCACAAAGCGCAACATGCCGCCCTGGGCCTCGAACCACCCCCTCTACGGCAGTCAGCTCAACCCGGCCGGCGTCCGCCACGGCGCCGCCGACGATGTGGAGTCGCCAGTGACAGTGAACTCGTCCGTATCGGGCACGCACAACAACCCGGCGGAGATCCCTCCCTACGTCTACACGCGCCGCCAGCACGAGGACAGCAAACTGCGCCAGTTCAAGCGCATCTACCCCTCCGAGATCGAGGAGGTGCAACTCATGTACGATACGATCCAGAACCTGGCCCTCGCCGAGTCCGCGAACAACCGCCTCTACTACAACAGCACCGTGACGGCGCCGATGCCAGCGGCGTCGTCGACGTCTGCCGTCAGCACCGGCCCATACGGGATGCGCGGCGCCAACACGCTGCCGTTGCGGACCCGTCCGCCGTCGCTCGGGCCGGTGCTGACATCGTCGCGGGTGTACAACGGCGTTACCAGTCCGAGCACGACAGCCCCACAGCGCAGTCTCACCTCACCCGTAATGACACCTCCGCCGGCGGTGTTGGCTCCGCCGAACGGTGCGCCGCTCACCATCCCTGTCAACTCAGTTCCCTCCCTCACGATCATTCGCGATTCGCACCAAAGCTCGCCGGTGACGACGACGACGGCCACGGCCACCGCGACGGGTGGAGTGTCGACCACTTCCCCGCACGCCTTCTCCTCCGTCGCCAGCCGCGGAGAGCCGTCGGCGGCGAAGTCGCGCGTGCAGGCGGTGGGTCTGCCTTCGAACATGTCCACCTCACGCAACAGCATGACACCGTCGGAGCACGCCCACAACCACAACAACAGCACTACTCCTACTACTACCACATCGGAGCCTTCCCTTGCCCCGCCGCTCTCCTTGGCCTCCCTGGCGGCTGCAGAGGCGGACGCCATGCGTCACGACGGCGGTCGCGTCAGCAACGGCACCACACCGAAGGCATCCACCACCACAGCGGCAGCGGCAGCAGCGGGAGAGCAGACCTCGGTGCCGGCGGTGCGTGTCTTTACGCCGCGCATCTCCTCGCCGGTGGTGAACTCGCGCACCACCACCGCCGCCTCCACGCCTGCTGCCGCGGCGGCGACCTCAAAGAAGAGCACGAACAACGAGTCATCACCGACACCGACACCGGCAGCAGCAAAGTCGCCCGCGGAATCAGCCGCGGTGAAGCCGCGTGTGGCAGAAGTCTACCGTCGCCCCTCCACTCGCCCCTCCAACGCTTCGCTGAGCACGCTGACCCTGCACGAGCTTGTACCGGAGGAGCACGTGAGCCAAACGGCAGCCCCTGCTGATCCGGCGACGACGGCCTCCACCCCGGCCAGCGTCACGCTCCCCTCGCAAAAAGGCTTACCGTTAAAGGTGGACAAGCCAGAGTCGACGCCGGCCGCAAATAGCCTCCCCAACACGTACCACCAAAACGGTTCGGTCGTGACGCCGCCGGCTGGGGACGAAGCGCAGAAGAACCACGCGAACGGCTCGATGATCCGCCTCACCCGCACCTCCGTCGGTCGGCAAAAGTCACCCTCGTTGGACCCGTCGCTCATTCACCCCAATAACGGGAACAGCAACGGCGATCAGCAGCCGCTGTCCTCCTCCGTCATCGCGAAGCGCCGCTCTCGCTCGACGAGCAGCAGCGGGCGGGGTGCGGGGAACGGTGCGACGACGTCGGCGGCTCCGCCTCGCTCGCGGCAGAAGTCAACGGACCGCGAGGGCCGCAACATGTCCACCCACCCCGAGCCCACGGAGGAGGAGCTGGCGCGGCTGGTGGAGCTGCAGGCGCAGCTGGACTACGAGTCCGCCGCAGACCCACAGCCAGACGACGAGGATGAAGATTACAACCTCACCGAGTAGTCCTGTAACGTTTCCGACGTTTGGATCGACGTGTTTAGAGGGAGGGGGTAAAGGAAGGGGCTTAGAACTTGTCTCATCACTTCTTCTTTTTCTTCTTTGGAGAGCATTTAGATGTGTTCACAGCTTTTGTACTTTGATTTTTTGTTTCCGCAGCTGTTACTGTCGTTGTGGGGGTTTCCACGCCAATGTGGAAGCGCCGCTGTGAACGAGTCGCGTGTGTGTGTGTGTGTGTGCTACACAGCGGATTCCTTTTGTTGTTGTACGTTTGTTGGAAAGCAGCATTGTTGGGCTCTTCTGGTCTCTTTTTTAATTTTTTCTTTATCTGTTCCACACGAGACAGTAGTGCGTATTATTAGTATCACGGTTACTGTTCCGCGATAGCACCCGAGGAGCATTAGATATTTATTTCCCAGACGAAGGCGTCAAAAATTATTGCCGTTCGCTAAATGCACAGGCTACTCTTTGTTAAACTCTACTATATATATACTCTCTTATACGTTCCGTTGTCGTGATTGTATTTGGCATGTTTTGTTGGCGCTGTTTGACTGTTTTGTGGGGGCCATTTCTTTCGCCCATTTCTGTGGTCGCGTTAATAACGGCTATCTGGCCTCTCTTCTTCTTCCTTCACACTTGTGTTGTTTTATTGAGTTTTACCCGCTCTTTTGCCTTTTCCCCTCATCAACCAGGGTCACATCAAGAAATTTTGGTCAAGCACCCTCTCCCCCTCCCCATTGTTTTACGATCCTGGAGATGATCTACTTCGACCGTTTCGAGGCTACACGAGTTCTTCTCTGTTTTTTTTTTCTGGTTTTTGTTCTCATTAATTTTACCTAACAAGCATTATTATTCTAAGCGTTGGATAAGAAGGAAGAAAGAAAAATCGAGCTATGCTGCTGGCGTTGGTTGATACAGTCGGTCGTAATATCGCCCCCTTTTTCAAGTGCCCGACAGAAGCCCGCCGATGCGACAGCGGTGTCTTGCGGCTGCGTAAACAGAAGAGCAGAAAGCGTCGTTGGCTTTTGCCATGCTTTCCAGCTGATCCAATGTACTGGTCTTGTGTGTGTGTGTGTGTGCGTATGAATATATACTGTAATACGTAACACGGGTACTGCGCAGCCGGTTAGGGTCTGCACGTAATTACTTTGCACGCGTCTGAAGAAAGAAAAGAATGTTGTTTTTTTACTGCTCTGCTCCCATCACCGCTCTTCACTTCGTCACCTACCTCGGTTTCTCCTCCCTTTTGTCTGCTGTTGTCGGACTTCGAAGTCTTGTTTTATGGTTGAGCGTGACACTCAAGGATCACGTAAATAGCACACTTCTTTGTCCGCGGTGCAGAAGACGTAGCAGTCAGCCGCGCAGCCTTGTTTCTTTCTGTGACTGGTTTCTTTGGTGGCCGCATCATCAGTAAAAGAGGAAAAGAAGAAAGTATCTCAACGATGCCACCGAAACGACGCCTCGCCGCTCCCTCCCCGTCTTCGTCGTCCCCACAAGTCGCGACGACGTCTCCTGCGCCAGTCTCAAAGGACCGCAAAACTAAGTCGTCCAAACGCACGGCGTCCGTCACCTCGGAGACGCACATGGATGGCGCGACGAGCAGCAGCGGCAGCGGTAGCGTGACCTCCACCGAGCTCAGGCTCCTCAACTCGCCGCGGGAGGACGCGCTGCATCGCCACCACAGCAGCACCATCGCCACCGACTATGACGCCGATGGTGAGCAGGACGACGCCCACGGCTACGAGCAGCTGCGCGACATTATCTTGCCAGAGAGCGGCGACGGCGACAACAGCAGCGAGGACGGCAAGACCAATGACGCGGACGAGGTTATTCTCTTCCCACACGCCGAGGAACTCGCCAACGCCGCGACGGCGCTGGAAAAGGCAGGTGCAGCGGACCGTGTGGTGCGTCTCGGCACCACGCAGCACCTCGATGAGTCCGACAGCAGCGAGGATGAGGCCACGCTGAATCGCGTTGGTGACATCCCGCTGGAGTGGTACAAGGATGAAAGCCACATGGGGTACGACATCGAGGGGAAGAAGCTCATGAAGACCGAGCGCTCTGCCCTGGAGCGGCTGCTGGAGGCGACGGATGATCCGAACGCTATGCGCACCATCTTTGATGCCCTGCACGATGAAAAGAAGACGCTGACGAACGCGGATTTGCAGATGATCTTCAATCTGCAGCGCAACCGCACAACAAACCCCGACTACGACATGTACTCGGAGGTGATGGAGGACACCGTCATCTTCGACCCCCTCAACCACCCGCTCGCCCGCAGTGGCGGTCCCTCCAAGAAGGCCTTTGTGCCGGCGTTGCACGACATGAAGGTCATCGCGAAGATGGTGCGCCGCCTGCGCAAGGAGGAGGCCGAGCGCAAGCTGCATCCCGCCAAAGCGGTGGAAGAGGAGAAGGAGGAAGACCAGCTTTTGTGGGATGACGGGCACGTCGAGATGGACACGCACACGCACTTCAAGTACTTCAACCGCGTACCGAAGCCGAAGATGCCGCCGCCGGGCACGTTTGAGAGCTATCGCCCCCCTCCGGAGTACCTGCCAAGCGAGAGAGCGAAGCAGCGCCGGGCCCGTCTGCGTGCGATTGACCGCAAAGAGCACTTTCTGCCGCAGTCCTTCGATGCCCTTCGCCACGTCCCCTTCTACCACCACACCATCCAAGACCGTTACCAGCGCTGCCTCGATCTGGCGTTCTTCCCACGCGCGCAACGCACGCGATTGGTGGTGGACCCCGACAAGCTGCTGCCGGAGCTGCCGGACCCGAAGGACCTGCGGCCCTACCCGGAGAAGCTGTCCTTCCACTACAAGGGGCACACGTCCACGGTGCGCAGCGTGTCGGTGAGCCCAAATGGGCAGTACCTCGCCACCGGCTGCGACGACCACCTCGTCCGCGTCTACGAGGTGCTGACGGGGCGTCTCATGAAGCGCTACGACCTCGGTGCCCCGGTGCAGCAGGTCGAGTTCTGCCCTGCCAAGTCCCTCAACATCCTCGTCGCGGCGGTGGAGTACAGCCTCGTCTTCATTGTCCCCACCTTCGCGGCGCACAGCCTCGTCAACGATCACACCATTCGCTTTCTCCGCGCGCCTGGAACGTCGGCTGGCAAGCAGGAGGCGGCGCACGCCCTCGGTGCGGTGGAGACGTTGGGCGGCCATGCCGTTACGCAGACCGCGCTCGACGCAGACGAGACGGTGCACGAGACGACCGCCGACCTGCACGACATTGAGGAGCGGGAGAAGCGGGCCGAGTTTGTCGACGCGAGCGCGAAGGAACGCAACGCCGGCATTGTGGTGAAGATCGCGATGCACGCCAAGGTGAAGAAGTTCTGCTTCCACATCAAAGGCGACTACCTCTGCGCCCTGTGCCCGAAGGACCACGTCAAGTACCGTCAGACCATCATGCTGCAGCTGTCGAAGCGGAAGGTGTTCTGTCCTTTCCGCAAGTTCTCGGAGGTGGTGACAGACTGCCGCTTTCACCCCCGCGAGCCGCTCTTCTTCTTGGCGACGACAAATTCTGTGCGGTGCTACAACCTCATGGCGCACCGCCTGCAGCGCCGCTTCAAGGCCTCCGGTGGCGTGACGACCTGCCTGTCGATTCACCCGGAAGGAGACAACTTCTTGGTGGGCGACACCACGAGCCACACCTCCTGGTTCGACATGGACTTCTCCGATAAGCCGTACAAGCGAATGCGCTCGCATAAGGGCGTGGTGAACTCGCTTGCCTTCCACCCCAACACAAACGCCTACCCACTCTTCGCCACCGGCGCCTCGGATGGGCAGGTGCACGTCTTCCACGGAATGGTGTACGACGACTACAACAAGAATGCGTTGGTGGTGCCGGTGAAGATTTTGAAGCATCAGCGTTCGGTGTACTCCGTCGCGTGGCACCCGACCTTGGCGTGGTTGTTTACGTCCACCGAAGACGGCGTCGTGACGGCGTGGACGGAGTAGTCGCAGACCAGCGAAAAAGACGTTGGAGAGCATCACGCTCCTTCACTGAAGCGGGTGTCAGTCGGCCGTCTCATTGTTTTGGTGTTGTTGTATCTATGTATATGTGTGCGTGTGGTCTTTCTTCGCTTGTGGTGTTCCTCCTCTTCCTGTCCCGCGGCACGCGATGTGTGTCTCAGGGGGAGAATCGAATTTGTTATAGCAGCAGTACGTAACTTTAATAGACGACCGTCACTCTTTAATTGCTTAAGAATTCTTTTATTGGCTTGTGAGTTTGTTTAATGGCGCTCTGCGTCGGGTGCGTCTAACGTGTAATACTGTGTAAAAGGAAAATAAGAAGAAGTGTGGCTAGTGCAGCGTACCGCATTTCGTTTACCTCTGGCGAGTACAAAAATATATACAATAAAGCACCACTTCGGATAGAGGTTGTGTGCCCTCAGGACTACAAGAGTGTGCTTTGGTGCCTAATCATCGTGCGTACACGTTTGTTTACGTTTAACCTCTGAAATAAGAATAAAATAGGGAATGTGAATGTGAATGTACGTGCAACACACTCTCTTCGGTGTGTGTCTGTCGGTGCGGCGTGGACTATTCTGCACTGCGAAGAAAACGGCGACGTGGGATCCGCGTTGTTTCCCTTCGAAATGGAGCGCGCTCTCTCTTGCTAAGACTGTGTGTGTGTGGTCGTCCTTCATTGCCTTTGATTCCTATAAATGCAGAACACGCGGTGGCTGGAAGAAAACCACCGTTTGTTCCTCCGTGAAGGCATTTGGAAGAGCAAGGGGCGCTCCCTCCCCCCCCCCCCCGGTCGTTCTCCCCTCCTCCTCCTTCCTCCTCGCAAGACTACTTTCATTTCTTCCATCTTCCTCTCTGTTTTCTGATACATTTTATGTGGTCTTTCTTTCCCTTTTTCAGAGATCATCAAAGCTATTCATGGACAGCCAGGCTCCGGCGGAAGATGCGGTGCGCACGGCCATTGCCGTTTGCGGCTGCGGACACGACGGCCGCCTCGGCATCGGCAGCGACACCCCTTCAACACTCCACGAAATCGCACTCTTAGACGACTTTCTCTCTGCGCCCGCGCACGATGGCGGCCCGTCATCGTCTGTCCAAGCCCCCGGGGGGATACTTCAGGTTGCCTGTGGCGCGTACCACACGCTGCTGCGCACCACAGTGGGGCTGTACGGGTGGGGGTCACATGAGGACGGCCAATTAGGACTCGGCCGACCCTCCAAGAATGCGGCGGCAGCACCAGCAGCAGCAGCAGCAGCGTCGACGACGAGTATGGTGAACGGTGGGGACAGCGCCGCAGATGTGGATCGTGCGGTGGTGCCTGCGTTTTTTGAGCGGCCAACTCCCATTCCATTGTTCCACCTTATCAATGGGGAGAGAAGAAACGGTACAGGCAGTGGACATGCACCAACAGATGCCGCGGTACAAGGTGAGATCGTATCTATCTACTGCGGGGCTGACCACTCCCTCGTGCGCACCACCGTCGCCGTTTACGTGACGGGCCGCAACGACTGCGGTCAACTCGGACTGGGTCACATGGAGGCGGTGTACACGTGGACTTTCCTGTGCAGCGTTGCGGCCCCTCTTCACGGCGCCGCCTCCTTTCGCTCCCTGCCGAGTCATACCCGCAGTGACGGCTCGTGTGACAGAGTACTGCAAGGGACGTTGACACACATCAGCGGCGGCACGCATCACACACTACTCGCCTTGTCAGACGCCCTCCTCCTGCGCTCCACGACGGACGAAGCCGCGTCTGCCCCGCAGAGCCGCCTCTTCTTCTATCCAACACTCCTGCTGGCGTGTGGACGGGGTGACTTTGGGGAGCTGGGCTACGACGGGGATGCCTGGGCCGTCCTGCAAGCGAAGGCGCAGCGTCAAGAGCGTGCGCTGCTGGCCGAGGCCGTGGCTCAGCAGAAGCGCGGTCTGACGACCTCCACCGGGAGCAGGCCGGACATCGAAACGGGCACCGCCGCGTACCCGTTCAAGTGGAAGGCTGCCGCAGGGGTCAAGCAGCGTCGGCCGCCGTTTAGCTCTCCGTTTCTGCAACCGGTAGAAGTGCGAGAGCTGACGGACTGCGCCACGGAGTTGCCGGCAGCGTCGGCACGCGAAATACGTGCAGCGTTGGTGCTGGACGACTTCGCAAGTGAAGGCGACGCTCGCCTTGCGCCGTCTACATCTGACGCCCTCCGACAGCTGCTAGACGGCAACTCTGGCTCTCCACCACGCGACACGGCAACGAAATGGCAAAGGCACTGGGAGGTGGAGTCACTGCAGGCGATGCACCACCACTCCGCCGTGACGCTGCGTGAAGTCAAGGCGTCTACCCCAGTGGGTGCTGCGCCTCTCCTCGTGCTTCATTGGGGCTGTTACTACTGCGCCGAGATCGAAGACGCTGCTGCATCAACTCCGCGCCCGTTGTTCAGCAGCAGCAGCAGCAGCAATGACGATGACGATGACAAAGCCAACTCAGCGGCAAAGCACCTTCCGTTGGGCCTCTTCGCAGGAGACGAGGTTTTGTTTCGCTACAACGTCCCTTTGGATGGCGCGGGCACAGACGCTTCGGTGGCGTTGACGGGTGTGCAGGTGATGGGCACTGGGAACCTGGGCCGCGGCTCCGACGAGGATGAGGCGCGGACCTGGGTCGACGTGCCGCTCTTTCCGGTAATCGAGCCTCACTCCACGCAGGACACGCCTTTCTGTGTCTCCTCCATCAGCGGGCGCGCGCACTTCCTCCTAGCCGTGTCGAAGCGAACGACAACATCCTCTTCCTCCTCGGTGGAGGCAGTGGGCAGCTGCGATGGGGTTTCGGTTATGGGCTTTGGTGACAACCTGCATGGTCAGCTAGGTGCTCCTGCGGCGCGAGCGAAAGCTGAATTGTCAGTCCAGAATAACAGCGGTGATGAGGATGATAACGCCGTCCTGACGCCGCGCTTGGTGCTGGGGGTTGGTGACACGCTGCGCACCGCCTCTGCGGTACAGAAATCGCTGCAGCAAGCTGCCGTCTCTCGCGCGCACCGTCGCTCTGCGGAGAAGGGGAGAAGCGAAGCGGACTGTGCAGATCGGTGGGTTGTGGAGAAGATACGAGCTGCCGGTGCGGGCGCGCGTCACTCGGTGTTTGTCGTGGACGTCCGTCCGCTGAAGATGAGAAGCGGCAGCCGCAACTGATGCGTAAGGAACTGCGTATGCTGATCCCTTTCAAAATTCAAGATTGCGGGGAAGGTGGAGGGGGCGAGGGGCACACGTGGACTCTGAAAGATGTAAAAAGCATATAATATATATATTAATCGAAGTGAATTAATGCACCGCCGTGCATGAGTTAACCAACGAAGCAGAAAAACTGTCCAATTTTGACCACAGAAGTTGTAGCTAATAAGTGCGTTGCTATGGAGATTTCTTTGGTTCTCTTCCCTGTTCATGGATGCGAAGCGGCAAAAGATGAAGCAGATTCTGTAAAAAAATTGTATCACGCGCTTCACTGGTTGTTGTCGTTATTGCTCCCTTGCTGCTCTCACGTGCACTTTCTGACCAGTATTTTTTAATTCCAAACTCCTTTTTCTCTAACAATTTTCCACCGAATTTTTGTCACCCTACACAGAAACTATTATTCAGAAAGGTATTCATTTCGTGGACGGCGTGTGTGCGTGCGTGTGTCTGTGTACTGGTTGTACATGTGCGGCTCTGACACGTGTCAGCGTACGCAAAGGATCGGTTGCGGTTCTCCTCCTTCATTTCTTCTGTTATTATTGTAATTCTTCACAGTGGCCTTTATTCCTTCCCCCCCCCCCCTCCCTCCATCGTCTTCTTCTGCCTCGCAAGGTTGAATGTACGCCTCCCGCTGCTCTTTGCCATCCCTGAGGCGGATGCGGCGAATACTTCAATCTCCCGCGTCACCGTCCGTTGCGCTCTCCATCAACGTCCTTCACACGTCCAATGCGCTGCCATGTAGTGTCGAGGGCAGCAGAAAGCATTTCAGCGGAGGCGCTTCTGCCCACACACAATTCTGCTGCCGTCGCATCCGTGATCCTCGTGCGGCGTTGACGGCGGCAACGGCGCGAGGTTTCTCTTCAGCGGCGCTGACGGTGACACGGGTGACGTGTGGGGCTTCGCCGTCTATCCCCGCCTCTGCCTCTTCCACCACAACGCAGACGAAGAGCGCTGCTTTGCACGCGTCTGCGCCGCTGGAGAACGGCGCGGCCGAACTCCCCGTCAGCCGTGCCCTCATCCAGGAGATACAACTCATCATGTCCCGTCACGCAGCAATGAAGTGGATGCCCGTGAGCGACCTGTACGCCGACCTCTCCCCGCGCACACGACGTGAGCACGTCCGCCCACACAAGTCGATGCTGCAGGTCCTACAGAAGGCGAAAAGTGAGCTAGGCATCTCCATCAACGCCACCGGTGTGTTTTACGCGGTGGGCAGGATGCCTGTAGCGAAGCATGAACCGAAACAGACGCCTCAGCCGCCGCAACAGTTGACGAAGTCGGTGTCAGCGGCGAAGAAAAGTCCCTCACCGGCGGCACAATTGGTACAACGTGGCACGACAGCAGCAACAGCTGCCGACGCTGCCACTTCTCCTTCACCCCTGTCTGTCTTGGAGGGGTTTATAGCACCTGTCATACCACGTGTAGATTTTTTCTTTGATGTGCAGCTGGAGGAATTTCCGCTGCCTCCGTCAGACTTCGACGTCACCCCTGCCCATCTGCAGCGGCAGGTCACCCGCTCAAGTGCAGACGGGGCGGTCATTGCGATGAGCGACTTCGTAGCCTACATCCCCCCGTTCTTTGCCCCACTCCGGGATGTGCTGGCCCACATGCCGGGCTACACCGAAGAACACATACAGCGCTACTTCCGGGCGGGCACGATGGAGGTGGTGACGGTGGACGCGGAGAAGTATATCCGCGTGCACAGCGGCTACGAGAAGCTGTCCCTCGCCGGCTGCGAAGCGGCGGAGGAAACTTTTCGCCAGTTTCGCCCGCTGCCGTCGCTGGCAGTGCACTTTGAGAAAGCCTTCGAGGGGATGACGGACAAGTGGATGCCGCTGCCGGTGTTGCTGAGTCGCGTGGACCCAGCCGTGGTGGCCCAGCTGCCCTTCCAAGGCCCCTCCGCCGTGATGTACTTTGCGCAGATGCAGCACAAATTTGCCTTCGCGGTGCGGCATGTACCACCGCAGCAGGACGGCGCCGCGGCCACGACGGAAGCGGCCGTGCTGCTGCGCCGCCCCGACTACGGCGGGCTGGAGTGTGACACCACCCCTACCCCGAAAGTGGTCAGCTATCTTTTCTCGCTTATCCCTCAGGAAGGCCAGGTGGAGATGTGCGACGTGGCGCGGCAGCTGCCGGGACCCATTAAGGCGGAGCTGGAGGAGTACTACGGCGGTCTCGCACAGTTTTTTGCCAAGCACGCCCCTCTGTACTACGTCCCGCCGGAGACGCCTACGGTGGTGATGCGACTGCGCTATCGGCAGCGCTTTCACATCGCCACCCGCCCACTCGAAGAACAGCTGAAGTATGCAATGGACAACAACAAGAAATCGAAGGTGCGGGTGATCCGTCGCCGCATTGCGTTCCGCGACAACCCGTCGCACCCTTTCCTAGACCCCGAGAACTTGGCGAAGGAGCTGAGCAACCACCTGCCCAGGCGTGGATTCGTCTCGGTCAAGGTGTTCCTTAGTCGAGGCATTCCAGAGGAGCTGGTGATGTTCATGCCGCCCAAGGTGCACAACTTCTTCAAGAACTACCCGCAATTCTTCACCCAATTTGAGTACCAGAAACCCGGCGTTTGGTGTCTGTGCAGACCTGACCAGCCGCTCCCTCGCGGGGTGATTCGACAGTCCTTCAGCGAAAGTGATCTGGTCCGCATGCTTGCCGAGTACCTGCAGAAAAAAGGTCCGCGTTCGGTCTCCAACGTCCTGCTCAACACGCCACGCGGGGCGCAGGAGATCTTGAAGAAGCGCTACGGCGGTGTTTACTTCTTTGTCACCCGCTTTCCGCAGTACTTTCATGTGGTGCTCGGCTCCGACAACGGCAACGCGCAGAGCAGCGGGATTGTGCATCTTATTCAGGTCCCAAGTGCGGAGTTGGATGACAGCGCGATGGCGAACGTTGCCGGCAGCCTCAACAACCCAGATGCGCCAACGACTGACTTGTCGACGGAGAAGTTGGGTGAGACTGAATTGGAGGGTGAAGACGGTGACGATGATTACGATGGCCTCGATTAAGCAGACGAACAGGAAGAGGAAAGGAAAAGTCTTTTAAAATATGCAAGACAGTAAAGCATGCGTGTGTGTGTGTGTCTTGCGTTGTTTGTTGTTGTCGGCGTCTCCGTGCTTTGATCTCTCACCTTCACAGGCTACAATACAAACTACTATTATTATTTGTACGGTACCGCAGAAGAGGTGGCTTTGCTGTGTCGGGTTTTCTTTCTTCTTCTGAAAAGAACCATTTTGATCTCTTTCTTGGTTTTGTTGTTTTGTTCGGTTGGTTGGGTGTTTCACGCCGCACGAGTGTGGTGGTGGTGATGCCGTCCTTTTCTCGCAATCGTTGAGCTGCGTACACCAGCAGCAGCGCCTTCGAAGCACACCGTCTCTCTCTCTCACTCTCACTGAAGCCCTCGTCACAGAACCACCTCTCTCCCTCTCCTGCACTTTTCATGTTTGGTGTTCCCTCCTCTCGCAAGCTGCCTTTGTCACGTTGAAAGCAGGTGCACCTTATTTGCCTCGATAGAGTCGTACGAGGCCATTCGTGCCTCTCTCTCTCTCTCACCACCGTAGCACTGCGTGGGTGCTGCTGTTGTGGACACCGTTTCCGTGCGGCAAAAAAAGACCATAAGCTGAAGAAGAAAAGGGCTCTTGTGTGTGTGTGTGTGTGTGTGTGTGTGTGTCGAAGCAGCACCGTCGCATTGTGCTCTCCTTCTTCTCTTGCGGAGAATTGCCATGCAGGTCGATCTGCGTCGCCGTGGGCTTCAGTCCTTCAATCCAGCCGAGTTTGCCAACTCCGACGAACATCTGCAGCTGCTTCTGCAGATCCGCCAGCTGGACCTGTCCTTCAACTCCCTCTACACCATTCGCGGCCTTGAAGGGCTGACGCACCTCACCGTGTTGAACATATCCAACAATGGCCTGCGCTCTTTAGGCGGTGGTCTGCCGCTAACTCTGCAGGAGCTCGACGCCTCCCACAACTGTCTCGCCACACTTCAAAACGCAGCGCTGCTTCCTTTGCAGGCCCTCACCTCGCTGGACGTTTCTTTTAACGAACTGGAGGATCTCCGCGGGGTGCCGAACGTGACCGCGAAGCTTGCCTTCCTAGACGTCCGCAGCAACCGTCTCGGCTCTCTGCAAGGGCTCGAGCACTGCGCTGAGCTGCGCACGCTACACGCCGAGGCCAACATGCTGCGTGAGGTGGGCGACGTGGCCTCTCTCAAGTCCCTGTCGAACGTGACGGCGGTCTTTCTTGCTGGCAACCCAATTCTCCTGCGGAAGCGACTGCTGCGTCAGCTCCGTCTTCTTCTGCCACCCAGCGTGGATCAGGATGACGTGCCGACGACGGCGCCGCCAAGCAGCGTGCGCAGCTCAACCGCGCCTCCGCCCTCCGCACCGGGCACGCTGTCCGTCTGCTCGCTGGAGAACAGCACCTTTGCGTCCTCCATCGGCTCCCGAGAAGGAGCGGAGGAGGAAGAGCAGCGGCAGCAGCAACAGGCTCCTCCCCACACAAGTCAACTCAGCAGTCGTCCCGCCAGCGTTCACCAAAGCGGTCTGCCCTTGGCTGCTGCGGACTGCTACAACCCCCACAGATCCGCTGCTTCACGACCTCCCCTGCGCATGTCCTTGTCGCCCACCGCGCACAACGCACCGGCTCCGTTGTCCACAGCAGGGGTGGGCGGGGACACGGACAGTCCATCGTGTCGACGCCGTGCACTGCCGCAGGAGCATCGCCTCGGTGACTCACCCGCCTCCGCCTCTCCCGAGCGCTTTGTTGATCCATCAGTGATGTCAGCAGCAACTACAACAACAACAGCGGGCTCCTCGACGCTGAGGCGCTCAGCCCCGCCACCGGGCCTGTCGCCGTCCGCTCGGCCACCCACCACTTCGCACACCGCAACGGCGGCCTCTGTGTGGGAGCGACCAAGACCACCCCAGCAGGACAGACGGTTTGTGTCTTCGGAAAGGACGAGTAGAGGTCTTTCCCGCGAGGAGCTAGAGGAGCAGCTGATACGCGTTATGGCCGAACGCGATGCCTATCGGCACGAGGCCACCACCCTACGAAGGAAGGTCGATGACCTGCAGCAACGACAACAACAGCTGCTGTTGGCGGTCCATGTAGAAGCGGAAAATGAAAGAGAATCAAACCACAAAAACCAACAGCACTCTTCCTCGTCCGACTTGATGCCCTCTGCGTTTTCTGACTTGCGATCTACCACGCTGAACAGCATTCCATCGCGAACTGTTTTGAGTACTGATGCGAGTCACCTCAAGGATGCATCGGCGTCAAGTTTTCAGCAGCAAAAACAGGACCATAATGCGGCGGCGGCAGCGGCCACGCGTCCTTCTCCGCGGGTCCTGGCAGTAGAAGTGTCCGCGTACTCCTCCTCGGCTGCCTCTGAGGTGGGTGAAAAGAAACTCATGGGCACCGTAAAGTCTCCAGACGAAGTAGATACGACCAACAGCATCCGTGCCGATCCAACACCACCCCCGTCACGCAACAACCCCCTGCGCAAGACAGCGACGCTGGCGAATGCGAACGATCGGCGTGCCGTCGCCGCCCTCTTCATGTCAAAACTCCGCAGCTCCTCCTCCGATTAGTGGTTGCGCTATTTAAAGGGAAAAGAAACGGAGGAGGGAGAAGAAGGCTCTGCAGAAGAGTTGCGGTGCCTGTGCGGTGATGGAGGCGGTTACACACAGTTGCAATGCGGCACTCTTGCGTGGTCGTCTTGCTGCCCTTTTCTTTCCTATTTCCTTACTTATGTTAGCAGGGCTTCCCGGCAACGTGTAAAGCCGTCCAAGTTTCTCAATGGATAGAACAGGTGGCCGCAAATTCATGATCTGACACGTTTTGTAGCGCGCGCCTGGATACATCTGTCCCTTGTCTATAAAAGCAGCGTGAAGATCATGGCAAGACCAAAAACAAGTCGCTGACAACGAAACCGTAGCGTGGTTTCTTGCTAGACGGCCGGCAAACCTTAGGCGTCTCAGCAACTCGGCTTTTTCAAAAGCACCTGACCACTTTCTGGTTCTTTGTTCCCCTTCCCACTCCTCCTCCTCCTTACCCCCCCCCCCCCCCCCTTTTCCGCGCGTGTGCCTCCGTTGCGGTGTGTTCAACGAGGTGGACACCCGACCTCCGCTTTCGTACCGCTGGCGTTCAAGAATTCGTGGAGGGGAAAAGAAAGACAAATATATATATATAGTGTGTGTGTGAAGCGCAGCGCGGCACACGTTCATAGATTACGCATCATCTCCCATAGAGAGCGGCGAGGAAGGAAAAATCTACCCGCAGAATACGACGTCCTTCTGCGAGTTCCGCGTGACGCCCGCATTCCATAGAACCCGCGTGCAGCATCTTAACAACCACGGCACAAAACGCCAACAAACAAAAAGTGAGCTTTCACACTTTGAATACTGTGGTTGGCGAGGTACCGGCCATCCCCACTGATGTTCCGTCGCTGCCGATTCGCGTTGCACTCGCTGCCGTTTGTGCCGATGGCCCTCAGCACACTCGACACCTTGCAGCAACGCCTCGAAGCCGCGCACTTAGGCACCGCCCCTGCCACCACAAAAACGTCGTTTTCCATTGGCGGCACCAATAAAGCGGATCAGCTACAGTGGTTCAGCCCGCAGAGCCCCTCACCGTTCTTTGTTTCACCGAAGCACGACGGCGTACGCCTCATCTCCTACGTGCCACCGCGCACGACAACAGCATCGCCTTCCGACACAGTCGTGAAGTCTCGCTCCACGAAGCAAAAAAATGCAAGGCGTCTTGCCGCAATGTCAAGCAGCGAGGCAGGAAAGGCGAGGGAGCCACCTATGACGTGCTACTCCCGCTACGGACGTCCCATCTACGGTCTCTTCTGGATCGAGGAAGAGCTGCAGCTGCTGCGTGCCCTCTGCGGCGACCCGACGCTCATTGTGGACGGCGAGCTGTACCTCCACCAGAGCCTCATGGACGCCGCGTCGGACACCTCGTGTAGCGCACACACCGTAGGAACTCACGACTCTGCACGTCTCTCACGTGCCGCAGAGACGAAGCCGCGCACCAAGAAGGTTCCCCTGTCTGCTCTTTCGAGTGAAGGCGACCCCACGATCAACGCAGCCCGCACAACCTCCTCTGCTGAGCCGTTTAAAACCGGTTTCCTCGCCGTCTCCGCCCTCGTCCATCGTCTGCGCGGTCCCAGTTTGCAAAGCGCCACCGAGAAGGACATCCTACAGTACGTCCCTGCGCTGCCCCACCTGTGCGTATTTGATATCCCGTCCTATAGCCCGTCACCCAACCCCTTGAGCGAGCTGTCGATGTCCTCCGCCTCTGCCTGGCCGTCGCTACTGCTTTCCGGTTCATTAAACCCTCGCGCGAGTTTAAAGGAACGGCGTGCAGTCACGGCGGAGCTGCAGCGAGTGCGCCGGGCGGCCATGGAACACCTACACATCCGCGACGTGGAGCAGCTGCGTGTCGTGCCCAACGCCACGCCGTTCTCGCAGCGGCTGCGCGCCATGAACTTCCTCTTTGAGCTGCTGACGATCGCAACGGCGTCGCCGGTGCTGCAACGTCACTTCTGCCCCTCGCAAACCAGGCGGGAGGGCAACACAACGGCAGCGCCGGCTGCGGCGACAGACGCCGTGACCTACCACGGCGGTCACCACGTGTGTCGCATCCCCTACCAACTCGTCACCTCCCTCGCGGAGACCACGCAGCGCCTCCTGCCCGCTTACGTCCGCCACAACTACGAGGGGGCGGTGATACGCAGCCCACTGAACACCTACAACTTCAAGGAGAAGCGGAAGGGCACGATTGCGGCTCTGCTGGCACCCCTCCTGCGGGCCGCCCCGCGCGAGCACAAAAACGGTCGTGCGCGAGCAAACCGTAGCAAGCGCGGTCGCGCTGCCCTTCTCCTCTCTCTTGCCGGCGAAAGCGGTGCATCGAGCGGTGGAACGCTGATGGTCCGCGCGTACTCTCACGGTGTCCCCTCCGTCGAGCCTCTCTCCCCCATTGCCCCCTCCGCTGCAGCTCTCAGCGATGCGGAGCGAGAAGCGCTCGACGTCGTGGAGGCTGGACAGCGAGCGGTGCAACGGGACAAGCTGCTGCCAAGGCGCTCCGAGACCGCCGTGAAGGTGCTCGCCTACCACGATCGCGAGTACGCCATCCTTCGCCCCCTGCTGAAGGAGCCGTCGAAGAACCCAAACACGCGCGTGCTCGTGTCGATCCCGCGGTCGTCCGTGAGCGCCCTCGGCTATCCAATCAAGCCAGACACCGACACCGAAGGCGGGGAAGGCGAGGTGGGCGGCAGCAGGGGTAAAGCCCCTAAAGCACCGACAGCCAAGAAAAAGCTGTCGAAAGTGGCAGGGCCATCTCCTCCCGCCGCCGCCTCTTCGGAGGGCAGTCCCGTGGTCGTCTTTTACGGTCTGCAGTGCTTAGCAGAGAATGGGCTCGTCTTCAACGTCTCCATGCCGAAGCTCACTCTCACCCAGCAAAGGGCGCTTCTGGACCACCTCCTCGCCGCCGGTAAGCGCTCCGCCGCTGCGGGACGTGGGGCGAAGGATACGAATGCGGCTGCGCAGAAGAGCAGGGCGAAGAAAACATCGAAGGGACGGCAGATGGCGTCGCTGACAGGGCTGTACGCGACGGTGAAGTTCAGCACCCTGACGGAGCACGGTCTTCCGCGCTTCGGAACCGTCAAGGCCATCCGCGGAGGCAAAGGCTGGTTTATGTAGTGAAGCTCGGGCGGGAAAGAAGGAATGAGCAGGGGCGTACTCGTGGGACGGGAGCGAGGACCCCTCGAGATCCGTTCGCATTTCAGTAGATAAACGTTGCTGGATACAAAAAGAAAAAGACAAAGGAAGCGAACTTCACCTAACCTTCCTCTCCTCTGCTTTGACTTCAGCGAAACAAGCCGAAGGAGTCGGCACAGAGATACAAAATGTGGCGGAAGTTCCCCAGACACAGTACGGCTGTTGTCGTCGTCGTCGTTGCTCCTTCGCTCCGCACCTGCGCCCTTCTGTGTACTTCGTCGCATTCTTCCTAGGGCCGATAGTGCCCTCTAACTCTCTCTCTCTGCCTGTCTCAGCAATTCAAGTCCTCGTTTCGCTCTCAACTCGCCTCTTGGGGGAGAATCTGTTTGCTCATCCACTATCACGTCAGCATATACATATATGTAATTGTCCATGCGGAGGCCGCTTTTCCCTTCGCAGAGGGAGACGTCACGCCGTCCGAACGGTGTTCGCAGCAGCAGCCCCTCCTCCGCCGGCATCTCAGCCGCCGCCGACACCGCCAGCGCGTGGGTGCGCCCTCGCCTCCTTAACGCCACCACGCAGCTGCTGGCTCTCCAGCCCGATGATCCATTCCGCGTGTTGAGTGCGCACTTCTCGACGGAAGCGCTCCTGCTCGGCGCGTATCCAGAGCCCTCCTCCACCGTTGCTGCCACCGACGAGAAGGAGTTGGAAGAGGAGGCGGTGGTCGCCGCCAGTCTTCGCTCGAGTCCGTGTCCCACACGGCCAGCAGGGAAGTCTGTAAACGGGTCTGCGGCAAAAGGAAAGGCGCCAGTTGGCCGCGGTGACTCACGCCCAACGAGCGCCGTGGGAGCGCCGCAAGTGTTGGAGTACCTTGTCGAGCACAGCTGGGCACGGCGCCTTCTGCAGCCCTATGGACTCCACGCGGTGACGCGGAGTGTGTGCCCGTCGTCCGGCTCCATTTTAGACCCTCCTGCAGCGGAGTCGAACGCTGTCCCCCATCGTACAGCAGAGCAACAGCAGCAGTGGATGGAGTGTTTTGCCCTTCTGCACCGCCAGAGTCGGCTGTCGTCGTCGGAGAAGGTCATGGCGTCGCGGCGTGCGGTCCAGATCAACGGTGCTGTGCTCCCACCGGTAGACTACCGGGCCACGGAGGAGGTCTCTGCTTCCCTTGTTCTCCTCTATATTATGTGTGTCATCGAAGAACACATTCGGCGAGTCGACTGGGGACCTATGACGACCGACGGCGCCCCCCATTCCGCCTTTGCCTTCCGTCGCCTCCAGCTGTCAGTGAAGCTGCTGGGTCTGCAGCTGCTTGTGGCATTTATGAAAAGGCAGGAACAGGACAGAAGTGATAAATGCAGCAGCACCACAAGCAGCAGCAGCGGAGATGGCGAGGACGCACTGATGGGTGCTGTGGATGATGCCGACCCAGACGATGCTTTATCTGATGTGGCCGGTCCGTGTGAGTCGTTCCTCGCCCCTCTCTATGCTTTGCCCCCAGATGAGCTAGAGCAGTTTCATTGTTGGTTCCTGCAGCGTCTACGCGCGGTGTCAATGAACTCGGCGTCTATTGTACACGATAAAATGGTGCCGCAGAACAGCTCCGCCGTCAACACGGAAGCGCGCGTATCCGCCGCGTCAGATGAGCCATCAGCCCTCCCACAACTGCAGTCACACGTCCTTGGCTCTCTTCGCACAATTCTCAACAGTGACAGCTGTGCGGCTCCCGAAACGCCTGCCGTCATCTCCGTGGACACTTTTGTCTCGATTATGCAGTGCGTGGCTCCAGTTCTCGTCTCACATCAATGCACGGCCACGTCGATGGCGGTCACGCTGAGCGCACGAGTAAGGAGAGGCGCATGCATTGCCGGTGCGCACCGTACGGAGACACTGAAGTGGGCCACGACACTTCTGCAGCGTTGCACTGCACACCTAATAAACGCCGTCCCTGCGCACGCCCACGCGGTGCAAATGCATCCCCCTCCGCTTCCGTATGTATGGAAAGCGTACGTGGAGCAGATCGCCAACGCGCTCCATCATCTTCAGCACGATGCGGTAAACGGCGAAAACAGAAACCGCGTGCGGCCTGCCCTCTCGAAGGTATTCGACGAGGTCGGCTCTGACGAAGACGTGTATGTGTCGGTATTTGCTCACGCCTTCGGAGACGTTCCGAACTGCGTGGTGATGGAAGCCTTGGTGGGTGAATGGGTCTCCCGCGTCTTTGAGGCCTGCATTTCCGTTTGAACGCACCGCTGTGAGGAATTAAAAAGTTAAAACTAATACGATCTCTCTCTTGTTGTTGTTTTAGCTGTTTCAGCTTTCCCTGTTGTGTTCGGGGTTCACACCTTTCTGCGGAGTCGATCAACACCTCGGATCACGTTTCTCGTACATGCGGGTGTGCTCCCCCGTCGCACGATTTACCTATCTGGACACAACAACATCACCATGCTTCAACCCTGCAATCATGCCCCTCTTCTTCCAATCCCGCGCGAAGCTTAAGACGCGTCGACGCTTCATCTATGCCTTGTGGAGCGTTTGGACTTTTCGGGTCACCGCTGCATGTACTCTACAGTTCTTTTCCCCCACTTCTCTTTGTCCTCCGTCGCCTTCTTAACGAATTACGCACCTCAACGTCTCACCTCACGTGGCAAGAAGAGAAGAAGAAAGGCTCGTGGAAATACACTTTCAGTGCAACAGCCCCACCCGCTGCGTTCTTCAGCGTGCCACTGCCCGCGCTTTCAAGTGCTTTTTATTATCATTAGTAGCTGTTGTTGTTGTTTTTCGCGCAATGGGTAAGAGGTCGGAGTTCACGCGGTCGCGCTTCAAGGAGCTGCGGCACAAGCGCGAGGAGCGGGTCCAGCGTTCCCGCGATGTCCGCGACCGCCGTCACGGCATCGACAAGTCGAAGCGTATGATCGACAAGGTCATCGTTCAGCGCCCCCTCCCGAGTGCGGCGCAGACCTCGCTGCTGCTGCGTCAGTTTGCCCAAGCCAGCCGTCTCGCCGCCCCGAGCACTGACCTGTGTCTCTTGATGCGTCACTACGCCACCATGGCGGAAGAGGCGGGGACGAAGACGGCCACATCTAAGGAAGGGGAGGGGCGCGATGACGGAGAAGCGAAATCGACGAGCTCCTCGGCAAAAGTCGCGTCTCGCAAGCGTGGGCGTGAGAGTGAGGCGGGAGATGACACGGACTCATTATCGCAGGGCATTGTATTTCTCGACAGCCTGGCGGATGCGCTGCTCATGACGGAGAGCACGCCGGCGGTGCTGGATGAGGCGGCGGCGGAGGGCAACGTCGGAGAGGATGACGAGGACGCGGCGGCGGAGGCGGCGATGGAGGAAGAGGATCCGCTGACGCTGCTGCAGGACATCCTGCAAGACGACAGCGGCCGCCGCGTGGTGAGCACGCTGCTGGCCTCGCTGAGCGCCGTGCACAGCACGAAGTGTGAAGCGGTAGCCACGGCGGTGCTGGAGCAGTTTGAAGAAAACGAGCACCTGCCCCAGCACCACGTCGCGTGTCGCGTCATGAGCGCACTCGTGCAGTACGGCTCGGACGCAACGCGGCAGCGAGTCCTCGATCTGCTCCGCCAGCGCGGGACGACCACTGAGGCGGTGGTCCAGCTGCTGTCCGACCGACACACCGCCGGCACCATTGAGCGTCTGCTCGAGCACCATCGCGCGCTTACTGCGTCGTGGCTCTGCGAGGTGCTGTCGCTGACCGCCACCTCCTCGTCCCCCAAGAAGACGCAGACGAAGAGCGCAGCGAAGAAGGCGGCAGAGGCGGGGGAGGACGACACGGATGGCGTGTCGACGGAGAAGCTGATGGAGCTCATCATCGGCGCCGTGTCGGGGCAGGTGCTGCTGCAGCTGGTCCAGACCGGCGCGCGACGGGAGCTGCTGCGGCGTCTGACGGTGTCTGACCTTCTGCAGACGAAGCGTGGGACCACCTTCTTGACCCAGATGCTGACCCTGACGGCGCCCCCGTCGACCGAGAACGGCAGCGAGGCGGAGGCGGAGGCGGTGGTCCTCTTCGACGACTTACTGGAGCGCCTGGGCAGCGATCTCGGCCTCATGGCTGTTGACAAGCGTGCCAACTTCGTTGTCCAAGCCTTGGTGCAGCTGCTGCCTGCGATGGGGTCGCAGAGTCTCAAACAGCTCGAGTGTCTGCAGCGGGCGCTCGGTGGGGCGGCGGGCATCTCTGCCCTCGCGGCCCACGGCAACGGCGTCCACGTAGTACTCTCCCTCATCGACACCGCCTTCCAACTTCCGGCGGAGTCGGCGGTGGAGGAGGTGGCGGAGCAGCTCATCACGCGTCAAACAGTTAAGGAGATGCTGCACCACCACCACGGCAGTCTGGTGGTGCGTCGCCTGATGCCGCTCATCTCGCGCAAGACCTCGAAGGTTGGCCGTCTCCTGCAGGGGATGGTGGAACAGGACATGTCGAACTTAGTCTACACCGAGGCCGGCAACCTCGTCGTCCAGGCCTACCTCAAGGCTCTCGGCAAGGCCGGGGCCTCCTTGCTTGCGCAGAAGCTGGCGAACAACAGCGAGGAGCTCGTGTCCATGTGCTGCAGCCCCTACGCCTCGCATGTGGTCTTTACCCTCTTTGAGCTGGTCGACCCCGCCACGCACACCTCCCTGTGCAACACACTGAAGCCGCACGTGCTCCGCCTGTCCACCCACGTCAACGGCCGCTTCATCGTTGAGAAAATGATCGCCGCCAGCCGCGACATCCGCAGTGACGTGTCGAGTCAGTTCATCGCTCTCGCCCAGGAACGCGGCACGCAGCACCTGCTGTGCGTCCTCCTCGCCAGCCTTGACCCGCGTGGCAAGAAGCACGTGGTGGAGAAATTAATTATGCCCAACTTCTCCGCGCTCGCCACCCATCAGTGCGGCTCGATCGCTTTACAGAAGCTGATGCAAGCGGAGCCGGACCTGCTCGCCGCGGTGCGGGCACGGCTGTCCTCCAACTCGCTTGTCCGCAGCGATCTGGCGCAGAACTTCTTTGGTAAGTTCGTGGTGCAGATAGCCCAACAGCCGCAGCAGCAAAAGGCTGCCGAAGCGACGAGAGAAGAGGAGTGAAGGCCAAAAAGGAAGACAAAAGGCGCAGAGGCTCTCCCTCTCAAGTAATGCGACGGTCGTCTCAACGCTTTTCTTTTGTTTTCGTTGGTGTGGTTGTTTTGTGTAACCGTGTGAGGAAGTCGCCCCCATTTTTTCCCCCTCTCTTCGTGGAGAAACGAAAGAGTGTTTAACTTCGATAAGATTCGTTAAAGACGCGTTAAAGTAATCGTTGTTGTTCTGATCGGTAACCTTCCCTTGTGGAGATTCTAAAGTGATAAAACATCTAGAGAGAGATATTTGTGTGTGTGTTCTCTGCAGCCCAATCTGTGCGTGTTATTCCCTACGCATGCGCATCAGTTGTCACTGGTCTCCCTTTCCTCCATCGCTGTGGTCGTACAGCTGTGTCACGCACAGTTAAGCACAGCGCTATTTCACGAGCCGGTGAGTGTGAGCTTCCTTCTCAAGTGCCCACGTCGAGCACGCATCACGAAGAAAGGTTCTGCTTTTTGTGGTGGCTGCCGATGTGGCATGGCGGGAAACCATTTGAAACTTACGCGTAACAACTACGATGCACCACCTCAGCAAGATGTGTTTTAATTCTTTTCCTTTCTTCTCCCAAGTTTCCTTCCTGCTTTCAACACTCAACTCTTCTTGCATCACACCACGAACGAGAGAGGAAGAAGAAAGAAGAAAGAAAGACGAGAAAGTGGCAGCGTTTTAAACCTGCGATCGTCTTTCGGTGCTTATCTCATTCACGCATCTACAACGCAAAACCCCTGTTTTCTTCTTCCCCATTGCCGATCATGCCCCCTCCTTCTCCCTCCCCTACCCCAGCCGGCACGGCGCCGCTGCCCCTCGCACAACGGCTGCAGCAGCTACAAGCGGCGTGCGGTAAGGTGTACGAGACCTACGCACCTGCGCCGTCCTCACCCGGTTCTGCGGCAGACGCCGCCGCGGCACCAAAGAAACTCGACCACCACGAGCGTAGTCGCCTGCAGACGCTCGTGACGGAGCAGGTGAGTGCGCTCTACCAGGAATCTTTTGCCTCCTCTGCGAGGGTGCAGATCGCTGGGGCGGAACTGGAGAAGCTGCTTCGCCTCCTGCCTTCCTTGGTCGCCGTCAGCGCCCCACCGGCCTACCGCCCACCGTTGTTGATGACTGTTGTTCGTGTTCTGCACCCGCGAAGAAACGACAGTCCAACCCCGCACGTGCCCGACGCGGTCCTCGCGGGCGTTCTCCTCTCCCTCGTCCGCCTCCTTCACCACCCCGATCCCTGGGCGGCGGGTCAGGTGTCGAACGTCACGGCCACACGCGCCTCCGCGGCTGCACTTCTTGCCCAGCTCCTCCGCCACTTTGTCATCCACGCCCAGGAAGCAGCCGTCGTGGGGCAATGGCGGCAATGGCAGGAGCTGGCAAACAACGCTCTACTCGACGCCGTGCGGATATGGATAGAGGAGATGGATGTGCAGCGCCCTCCGGCAGGCAACGGCGCGGCGCACAAGCGATCCATGCCCGCCAAGCCGTCTCCAAAACTGAGTCCGTCGGCGGCGTGCGTCCTCAGTCAGCTTTTGGATCTCGTCGACGCCCTCGTCGAGCACCCCTGCGCGCACTCTTTACCCAACGACGCCTGGCTGCCTGCTCTGACGTGTGTGGTCCGCCTCGGCGGGTCTCCACAGGAAGCACCGCAGCACCTAGAGCTTTCTTACGCTGTCCTGCAAGTGCTGATGCACGTGCGAGAAAAGGGCGTCGTGTCGCCGGGCGTGTGGCGCCAACTAGCGCTGGGGGTCGTGGCGAAGTCGATCCCGCACGGCTCCGCTGACGCCCCTGACCCGATCCCGGCCTCCTCCCTCTCCACCTCGGCCACCTCCTACGCCGCTCTCTTCTTGAAGTATGTTCACCTGACCAAGTCCCTCATGTTCGTCGCCGTGGAGGAGAGCTCGACGGACAGCAGCACGGCCCGCGCCACCGCTGCTGAGCTGCACACCGTCCTCGCCGGACTAGTGGAGCTGTCGTCATCTGTTTTGATTGAGAAAGCCAGCGCAGCGGACTCTGCGGCGGCGACGTCGTCGTCGTCCGGTGGTGGCCGGGTGTCGCTGCTGGCGGCCGTGGTGAAGGATCTTTTGACGGTGCGCGAGGAGAGCCACAGCGCCCCTCGCCAATACGCGCGGTACGTGCAGGGGATGTTCGCTGGGTCGACGCCGCTGGTGCCGTACATCATTCAAGTGATGGCTACGGAGTGTTACCGACAGATGCCGTTGCTCGCCGCGCCCAATGTGCCCTCGGTGCTCGCCACGAACGCGGAGATTCTGCAAGGCGTCTTTCTCTGGTCCATCCACGCGATTATCGATGAAGGGCTGTTAGACTCGACACGGCGCACCGTCGTCGCAGCGGCGTTGCCGTACGCGCTCTGCGACGCCGCCGACGCGGTTCTAGGGCAGCTGAATGAGCGCCTTTCCGTCATCCTCCTATCGAACCCGGCGCTGGCTGCGCAGAGGGATGTGCCGCTGTTGGCCGTGCGAGTGATCGCGTGCGAGGGGCTCGCCTTGCTGCTTCACTTTCTGCTGTTTGTGGTCGCATTGTACGGCATTACGGACGAGGTTTCGTGGAATGTGCACTTCCGCGATCGCCTCCACGCGGCCGAGGCACGTGTCATGCGCACCGTTGGCACGTTTGACTGTGGCGTGCCGCACGTATTGCGTGCGTTCACCGACGCGCTGGATCGCATGAGCTCCACCTTAGGACCCACTGCGGCCAAGGTGAGTGCATTACTGCCCAACTCGACGCGTCCCTCTTTGGCCTCTTCCGGCTGTCACGGCGCGTTGGACAACTTATTCGAGGTCATTCCCATTTTTTAAACCTCTCCGTCGCCTGGGGCACTGCATCTTATTTCGCGAGAGTACAGTCCAACGCCCCTGGCACGGAAGCCAACGGCGCTGGATGCGTTCCACGACGGACGCCTTTTCCGCTGTTGCTATCGTTTCTTCTGGTTTCTGTAGAAAACAAAGAGCACCCGACTTCTCACTTATTCCCGCTTTCCTATGGCTTGACACGATGTCCTCGAGACCGGCTTTCCCACCTCTTGTCTGGCAAACGCACCATTCATACAAGCACCGCGGAGAGGCGGCGCCACTCCTTTCCACGCACACCCATCGGGACGAGCGGCGGAGGCAACAGCCCAGCCCCGCACAGCCGGGAAGCGGAAATCACCGCGCTGAAGCTCGCCGCGGCTCCTCGCTCCCCCTCTTCTCCTTTCCCCCCCCCCCTCCACTCCTTCTTTCTCTCCTTTCCCCCTAACCGCCAGCAGCGGCGCGACACGCACAGCACCACCGCACACCGTCGGCTGCTGCGCGGTGCGATGCAGCAACCGGAAACAGCCAGCGGCGGCGCTGTCTTTTCGTGCTCTGGGCGGCCTTTCCGTGCGGCGCCGGAAATTGGCGGCGAGCGAAAAGTGATGAGAGTGGGGTTTGAACCCACGCCCTCGAAAGGATTGGAACCTTAATCCAACGTCTTAGACCACTCGACCATCTCACCTTGTACAAAACCCCTGGAGACCGCACGCCCCATATGTGTCCCACAGGTCGCCGTGGGTTTGTGGGGGTATCGGGGCGTATAGCTCAGTGGTAGAGCGTCCGTTTCGCATACGGAAGGCCTAGGGTTCGATCCCCTATTCGTCCACTTTTTGACACAACCGTCGAGAAGCATGGTGTAGTAGCGAACCCTGCGATGAACGGGCGCCGCTGGTCTAGTGGCATGATGGTACCCTCCCAAGGTATTGACCCGGGTTCGATTCCCGGGCGGCGCAGGATTTTTCGTCAAAACACAAAAAACTTTTTGCAGAGCAGAAAGAATAACCTACACCCTACAAATCATCATCTACCATAAAGGCGAACCTTTACGTCAGAATTGCATAAATTTCTCTTTCTTGGTTTTGCAACAGACTGTAAATATCGATAGTTAAATACATGCAAAGAAAACAAACTATTCAACAGACTCTACGAAGTGGGTAGCGCGCCTTACGCTTCCCCGCTGGGTGGGCGGGGAGTTCAGGGTTGGGCGGGTGGGAAAAACTAAAAGATGGAAGAACTGCTGAATTCTAGCAGTTGAGAAAGAGAATACAAGGAAAAGGGGAAAAGAGAGAGGTAGGATGAATAATTCTTCAGGCTAGGTCATTCTATTCGCAAGCTCAAAAAAACAAAAAAGAAGAATCTATGAAAGAGAACTTTCTTTTTGCCTAAAAGAATTCTTTTCGTTTGTGATCAGTGCTGATGAGGGCAGGCAACGGATACACGCTGGACAGGTCAACTGAAAAGAAGAGGAAAAAGTCTACTGCCAAGTTTTGACGGGAGCCGTCCCTGCCTGCCGTTTTCAGAATCCATTAAGCCTGCACCGCAAGATAGCAACCCATCAAATTAGTTTATTTATTTGGATCTTTTTCACGTGGAACGGGAACCAAGACTAACGCAGTGGTGGACTTCTAGAAAAACTAGTCCGTCCTCTTTAAGGGCGGAGTGGGCCTTGGTGGGCGGGAAACGAACGGAAGAGAGAACAAGGCGGAAGTCAAAGACTCTCCATGGAAAAAGAGAAAAAGTAGAAAGAAAACCCCGAAGACGATATTCACTTCAGTTATATTTAAACCGTAATTCACCTTCAAACATTATTTTCGCCACCTCACAAAATATATGAAAAGAAGGTTCGACCCTGCGGGAATGCATCGCCGCAAGTGATCCACCGCCAGAACCACGGTGTCCGCTTCCAGCGTGTTTATGTGGCGCTACTCTGCTGCGGACCATGTTTCACCAACGCTCATGATTTCTTGGGGCTCGTCCCGCATCAACACCGCTTCCCGACTGGCTCCAGCGGAACTAGTGTAGAGGTCATCGTTGGCATTATTGTTGCTACGGTTGGCGCTATCGCTCGTGGGCAGTTCTTCTGTGCCAGGTCCTATCATTTTTTGAGTTGTGCATGCGCCGTTGGAGGTGTGCAGGCCGGCTCCTTCACTGGAAAAGGTGTCCGGCTGAGCTGAGACAGCCTTCGTCTAAGGAGCTTCAACGCCCAATAGAACACTCCGATGTGGATACGTAGGAATGATGAGCTGCGGAGGATTTGTGCGTACAGTCTCCCCATGTCGCTGTACATCATGCTGGGCTTCGGATCAGCAATCTTCTGGATCGGGTGATCTGCCATGTCCACTTTGTGAGCTGAGTGTTTGAAATATACCCCCTATGAAGTCAGTGACTTCTCCCGTGTACCTCTCATTCGTGTTAAGAGAGACTGGACATACTTTTGCGGCGGTCAACATCCTCCTCGGCGCCGTTTGGGGTGCTTGACCCGTGTCTGCGTACCGTATGTTGTCGACCCACACGTCGATTATGGTCAGGGCTCGGTCGTTCACGGCGAACACGTTCGCTAACGTCAGGAAGCCCATGATCCAGCGAATCGTGTTCTCTTCCAATGTAGCTTTGCCATCGTCATGTTTTGCTAACAGCGGAATGTATTTTTGCTTGCGCTGATTCTGCGCGGCCCTTGCTGTGAGGAAATTCAACGCGCCTCGTTTGATTAAGTGTGCTATCAGAACTGGGTCTACTTGTTTCAGCTCGCGGATGATCTGATGCGCATTCATTGTTGTGAGCTGCTTTGGTGCTGGGTTGTCTGCCTTCCGGCTGCTGAGAATTTGAGCGATTCGTCCAATACCGTTCGCGTCCTCGACCACAACTTGAGGGGATGCCTTGTAAAGGTTCCGTGACGGTGCTTTTTCCGCTATGAAGCGTACTACAATTTGCTATGGGTTCACCCGCAGGATATTCTTCGCCGTCAATCCTTGACGATCTCCCCAATGGCCTGCTCTTTTCCACGCCTGGGGGACCGCTGCGTGCTCGTGCGGTTTGTCTTTCAGCGCTTCAATGACAAGCTCTGCCTCTCTCCTTGTTGCTGGTACCGCTGGCTTCTGTGAAATTTGGCTAACGGATTACGTTTTCATCACATCTTTGCGGAATTGTCTTCGACTTGCAGGAGTTTCATTGTTGCTCGTGTTGTCACTGCGTCGGTTGATATTGTGTTGTTGCTGACCTTCGTTTGCGTAAATGCGTTTGCAGACCGGTAGTATATGGTCTCCGGCGATATTCTGTCGACGCCGGTCTTCTTGGCGGGTTTCCTGGTTGCCGCAATGCTGTGCACCAGTATGCGGCAGATATGTCTGCGGTTTTGCCATACCCTTGGGTGTTTACCGCTTAAATTGTGGCCACCACTGGTATCATTTTTAAAGCAGCTTTCCTTCCGATGTAGGTGCGGCGGCGCGCGTTCGATTATTTTCATAACCTCCATCTGAAACCGCGAGCACCCTTGCAGGTATCTCATTCACTTTCCCGTGCATGTTGACGACCTGTAGCCACCTTTTTGAAGGTCGCTGCACTCAGACCTCCAGTGCCCATCTTTCCACTGCTCTTCATCCATTTGCGGGTTAGAGTGAAATGCGACGAGGATGCTCTTAACACTTCCCTGAAGATGTCGTTCTACCTGGTGGAGCTTACTGCCCCAACTACTCCAACGATTTTTTCCTTCTATGTGGAAAGAAACCTTGAATTGCGCACCCGGGTCTAGGTGTATTAACTGCTGATACAACTCTGTAGGCGTTAGGGCTTTCAGTGCGGCACGAGACACGATGATTAGTTGTTACTTTGTGTGGGAAATAGATATGATGAAAAGGGTGCGGTTGTTCACTGCTTTGTGGACTGGAATGAATCCTTGGGAGCCGCTGCTTTTGGTGTCGGTAAAACAGCTTTTTGAGGTTCTATGATTGTTGTTGCATTGAAGATGATAGTAACGGAAAGCAATTCTTGGAAAGCAAAACGCAGGTGGATCGTTTTTGAAGTGGAAAAAGGTCCGTTTCTACCGGCAGAGCTGCTGTTTAGCCCTGCAGTGTTTACTCACTTCACTTTTTCAGACTCAAGAGAAAAGGAATGGTGCCGCTACTGCCCGCACTGGAGGCTCCGCGCTCCTCCATTTTCAAACTGGGGCCGTTTCGCAAGACAGCCTCATGCAGGTGGAAGGGCTCTTCCAACCAACTTGCGAGGCTGTCACTGCACAGAAGATCCTTTGTGCAACACTAATGGGGCCTTCAGGGTCCGTCGGGTCTTTTGACGAAACGGTGCGTAACGTAAGAGTGATATCTGCGGACGTACTGTCCCAACCTTGAGCGTGTTTGAAACCTCTTATCGAAGGTGGCGCAGTAAAGGCAGGTAGTTCTTGCGAGAACGGGCTGGGAAGAACGTGCCGCTGGTGTGGAGTATCTCCACGTGTGGCAACGGAGAGGCGCTGGCTCAGCGTGTGCAGATCCACATATGAGGGCTACGGAGAGCTTCGCCGCCCAGACCACTCTGCAAGGACCGGCGGTGGAGACGAAACTCTTCCCTGGGACACATGGAGCGCTTGTTGCGAGTCCTCCGTTTCCGCGTCAGAACTCTCCGACACGAAGTACACCTGAACTGGCCAGCCGCAAGAGCTGGGTTCGTCGCGGGTGACGGGTTGCGGTCCGATCGGATGAGCTGTCTGTACGTGGTATTCTTTGCACGATGCGTTGCGCTTGGAAGAAGAGTAGGGGCGCTGCGTCATCGTGCTTTCTGTGTCCACACACGCGTAAATTGGTGACGGGTTTTCCAACCCCGCTGTTGCGTTCAAACGCAGAATAATCTACACCTTACAAATCATCATCTACCATAAAGGCGAACCTTTACGTCAGAAAAGGGGAAAAGAGAGAGGTAGGATGCCTAATTCTTGCGGCTCGGTCATTCTCTTCGCCAGCTCAAAAAAAGTGGACGAATAGGGGATCGAACCCTAGGCCTTCCGTATGCGAAACGGACGCTCTACCACTGAGCTATACGCCCCGATACCCCCACAAACCCACGGCGACCTGTGGGACACATATGGGGCGTGCGGTCTCCAGGGGTTTTGTACAAGGTGAGATGGTCGAGTGGTCTAAGACGTTGGATTAAGGTTCCAATCCTTTCGAGGGCGTGGGTTCAAACCCCACTCTCATCACTTTTCGCTCGCCGCCAATTTCCGGCGCCGCACGGAAAGGCCGCCCAGAGCACGAAAAGACAGCGCCGCCGCTGGCTGTTTCCGGTTGCTGCATCGCACCGCGCAGCAGCCGACGGTGTGCGGTGGTGCTGTGCGTGTCGCGCCGCTGCTGGCGGTTAGGGGGAAAGGAGAGAAAGAAGGAGTGGAGGGGGGGGGGGAAAGGAGAAGAGGGGGAGCGAGGAGCCGCGGCGAGCTTCAGCGCGGTGATTTCCGCTTCCCGGCTGTGCGGGGCTGGGCTGTTGCCTCCGCCGCTCGTCCCGATGGGTGTGCGTGGAAAGGAGTGGCGCCGCCTCTCCGCGGTGCTTGTATGAATGGTGCGTTTGCCAGACAAGAGGTGGGAAAGCCGGTCTCGAGGACATCGTGTCAAGCCATAGGAAAGAGACAGAAAGGTGACAGAAGTGCACTTTTACTTGTTCGAAAGACAGAGGACGCGTCAGCAGGTTTAAGGACGAAGGCCGGAGAAGTTTCTTCGCATCACCGAACGAAAGCTGAGTGCTGGTTAAACAGCAGTTGAGCTTTTTCTCACGAAAGCGAGAAATGAAGTAATCTGACGTGGGAGCTATGGACGTTGTGGGAAACAGGAAGATCGAGAGGAAGACGGTGATGGATTCAAGAGCACGTGCACCTTTTGAATGAAGGTTGAATTCTTTTTTTTCATCGACGTTGTGCAGGAGCGCAACAGGAAAATAATGGAGTGGACTATGTAGAGAATTCGAAAGTACTTCTTGTTTCTGTGTCTTTTGAGGCGCAGCAGATTGGTGAGTGGAGACATTCTAGCGCAACATTGAAGAAATTGTGTAATTTCTCTTGCGACACTTGAAGTGGTCGGACAGAAAGTTGATGGTGGGAAACAAGCGAGTAGGTAGCAAGCGGAAAAAGAGACTGTACGGTGATGGACAGTTTGGACGTTGTAATAGTGTAGTTTTGACTTTCAGTTCTGAAGGAAGGCTTTTTCTGTGAATAATGCTTGCACCATTTATTGTTTTACTAAGTAGAGCATAATAATCTCCAATGATAGCGAACGCTATTTTTCTGCGAAAAGCAACTACGGAAAGAATAATCGAATACACTGTCGTGTAAATGAATAATTGACGCTAATAATGTACATAGTTTCGAGTTTGGGACAAGCGTGCATATTGGCTCGAAACTGACAGAAACATTTTCCCGGCTGCTCATTTTCCTTCCAAACTACGTAATCTGTGTCCTCTAACAAATGATTTCTCCGTACTGTTTGCTAGGCAGCAAACTCGTATCGATAACTGAATGCAGGAAATGAAACCTATTTTCCAGAAAAAGGAGAAAAAGTGGTCTGCTCGGACGAAGTAGGAAGCGCGGAAACACCTTCACAATGTGCTTCATTGTCGTATCAAATTCTCCTTTCTCCACGGACTATTTCTTCTTAACACGAAACACCTCTTTTTTGTGTAATGGTGAAATGCTTTATTGCCGGTTGCATTCATGAAAACACCATTCGAATAATTCGAACAGAAGAAAAAGAATTGTAAAATACAAATATGCTCAACGTGAACGCTAAAGCATTTGTGCCTCCCGGGGTTGTTGAAGGTGTGCCTCCGAGCTTTACTGCAAATGCTTGGTATCGCTATCGCCTCAACGTACCTATTGCGAGCCGGATGAGTTCTGTTCATGAAGAGCGTTATTTAAACAATATATCTTCCTTGCTCTCGTTGAAATACTTGTATGCAGAGCGTGGCGGAATTGATGATGAGTCTTTGCAGTATTTTCTCAACGAGCAGTTCCTTTTATCCAACAATACTGTTTCAAACGAAAATGCCGAGCATACCTCTTCGGGGTTTTTGCTTTCGCGATCGATCCTCACACTGTACACAGACCTCACTGCAGTGGCGAATTTAAATAATTCGAAAGGCCTTCTTGTGCACCTCGATTTGCCCACCGAATGTAATGGCGATGTCGCTATGTTTCTGGCAAACGCTTGGGAAACCTTCTACGCAGCGGTGGCAGAAAACAGTCGTGTTTCTGCTCTTGGTTACAGCCGCTCGGTGGTGGGGTTGAACGGGAGGCAAACGGGCGGTACGTACCGCCATCATTTTTTTGTGGCGTGCAACACACCAGAATTACTCGAGCCAATTTTGTCAGGGCTGATGACCGACTGCCCTGTGCGTGTTCGCAGAATTCTGCCGGTCAAATCTATTGTACCATACATCTGTTGTCCTCATTTGCAGCTCGGTGTCGCAATTACGTTCGGAAACGATGCAAGGCTTAGTCTTACCAAAAACCGAGAAGCTGACCTGGACATCGAAGTTAAGTATAAAACAGATGATTTTCACGAGGCGCGGAAAGAAATTACGCGGGCTCAAAGGGCCTTTAAAGAGTTTCTCGTCAGCGATGTTAAATGGGACAGAACACACATTGTGCATCTTCACGTTGATGCAGTTTCTACGGCTAAATCAGTCCTGGTTTCGATTTGTGACTTAATTTGGAACTTAGGGGTCTTCTGCGACGATGCCGGTGCCAGTATAATTGGTGTTGCGTTCTCTTCAGATTTTGACGATCATTTTGTTGAGCAGCTTGTGCGACGCAACAAAAACGGTCCTTTTTACAGCTGCGCTATTCTGGACGAGATGCTGCAAAAGGACCGTTCACTCGACACCCAAAACATTTGTTTTGGTGGATTTCCGTCGCATGTCAAAACCACGTTGTCAATGACAGCCTACGATGGCGCCGTCGCAGCCCTCGAGTTATGGCAGCGGTTTGAAAAGCAGATGCCCACCACTGAACTGTTGACACGAATGACATTCGCGGACGCAGCCGACAGCTTTGCACGCACTCCTTACATCGTGCGGCGAAAGGCTGTGGGTGCCTGCGTGCTCATCGGAACCGACGCAATGGGCAATATCTTTGGAGTAGATGTTGCTCATAACAGCGTATTTGGCTTGCCCATGTGCTTTGGCGGTGCAGTCGGCCCCATAATAAATTGTGTGTTTAAAGGCACCGTGTCATCGTCTTATAGAAGCAGCTTAGAATATCGCGTTATCGTCGACGATCTTCTTGTTTTTGAAGGCAAAGAAACAAAAGGGATCCCGTACGCGGAGCGGCTGCGAATGTTGAGCAGCATCGGCGTTGAAGATGAAACGACCTGGCCGCACGCGAACCCAGCACATATTGTTATTCTGAAGGCCGAATTTGTTCCTCTCGAACACACAAGGGAACTTGCGGAGACGCCCGTCTTCGATCACAACAACCTCGGCATCGTGTTTAGCCCTTCGGTGCAACCGGAGGACGAAGTGATCTTACCTGTTTTCGAATGGGTTCCGCCGGCGTCCCTCACAGCACGGTTTGCAGTGGAAAGCATCGATTCATCAGATGACGTAAGCGAAGGATTCAGCCGCGCGTTTTTAGGGGTCTTTTCGAGCAACGTGCAGAAAAAGATTTTCATTCCCTACGAAGGCGAGTACGCCGATTACCACAAAGAGGCGTATCCAAATCTTAAGGCCGGCTCGCTTGTCGAATGCCTGCTTCGGCGTGCGGACGACGGTGCGCACTGGTGGGATGTTTTGAAAGAGTTGGACTCGACCGAGAGTATTGTCGCCAACTCATTCGACGAAGTTGACGATCTTGTTCACAGTCCCGGAGTAACGCAAGAAGAAATGTTATGGCTGCTGAAAGCGCCATCTTTCCAATGCGAGCGTTGCCATAAAGTGAACGATATAGGTAGGCGAAACAATAGACACAACGCATATTGGTGCAAAAATTGCTGGATAGAAACTGGCCACGGCGATTGCATGTATTGTGGACGCGCGTTCGCACTTGGCATGTTAGATGGCAGAAGTAATCTTTTTTACTGCGAGAACTGCTGGAATGCATTCTCGTCAACGAATACAGAAGCGGAAGTAGGGTATCACGTCCCTCCACCACCAAACGCGACGTTTACGCAGCAGGTTACCACACGATGTGTGTCACTGCTAATCGACCTCATGAATGCCAAAACACCCTCCAACGACGTCTTGGACTTGTGCTGCGGAGGCTCTGTTTTGCGGAAGTGGATGCGCAACAAAACCTTTCGCTACGTCGGCATCGACCTCAAGCGTAGCGTCATTGATTCACTAATCTCGACCATTAATAACGCGAAGGAGAGAGCGCCAGAGGGTCAGTACGATGTAGTCTGCGGCGATGTCTTCTCAGACGACTTTTGGATCAGCACAATTGTAAAAATACATCCGCGTCAGTTCCACGTAATCAGTTGTTTTGCGGGCCTTCATCACGCGTTCGAAAACGAAAAGAAAGCTCGACATTTCCTTGGCAGCGTTGCAAATGCTCTTGTCCCCGGAGGCACCTTTCTCGGCACGTTCATTGACGCCAGCGTTCTCTTCTCAAAGGGGAAGAAGTACTCCAACAGCATCATGAAGGCCGGATGGTCCGAAGACTCAGTGCCGCGAATTGGGCACACTTTTCAGTTCACCACCAACAACGGGCCGCTGAGAGACGTGAATGTTATCCCGATCGACTTCCTCATTGCAGTAGCCGCCGAATACGGTCTGCACGCGGTGTCAGAAGCTTATATGACTTTCCGCGAATTAATTGAGAAGGACGCCAGCTGGACAAAGGTCCCGTCTGCGGATGAGAAGGAGTACTTATGCGCGCTGCGAACGTTTGCCTTCAAAAAGGAGAGCAACGAGCTGGCTCCTTCGTCGCCAGGAAAAAAATCAGACTCGGACGGAGCATTTGCGATGTGATGGGCGGCATCGGGGAAATAATGAAACCGTGTTTTTTTTCTCCTGTCGTGACTTTCGCGAATAATTTTTTCTTGAGAATTCGATACTCAAATTCCTGTACTGACTTGTTTTCCTCTCAATCTCACGTGTGTGGAAAATTTGTGTGTTAATAATGACGCATGTTTCTTTTTCTGTCCTCGAAATTCTGTTTTGTGTGTTGGGTAAACGTCTTTTTGTTCTCTGCGTACAAAAAGCGAAGGTCTCTGCTCCCTTGTTCTTTTTCCTATCTTCCTTTTCTTCTGTTGTTGCATCTCGATGACAACCCCCTTTTTCCTCTTTTTTTACGTGTGTGTAGTGGGTTAACGCTCTTTGCAGCAGAGTCGGGGATGCAGCGACACTTTTCGTGTTTGATAAATATTTGTATTTGTTTTTGAATTCTGGCGTTTCTGAAAAGAAAGGAAAACAATTAACTTCATAACTTTTTTTGTGTCAAAAATAAATGGATCAGGGATTTTTACGGGCGAAGGCTAAGTTTGACCCTGAAACAAAAACAACGGGCGCGTGCATGTGCTTTTGGACACACGATTCCACGGTTCAGTGCACGTGTGTCATCCACGCGTCCTCTTCATATTCACATTATCATGATTTTTTCCTAATGCTAATGTTCTGATCATAAATTAACTATTACCGTTTTCGCCTTACAGTAAAAATTGCCTTCGACAGTAAACAAAACTCGAAAGGGGTGAGACGATATTATATTTAATCATCGCCGTGTTTCAACCGAAAGAAAAGAAAAGAAATACTGTGCTCAGTTAAAAGCTGACTTCTGAATCATAAAACGACAGCTGAGCTAAGCTTGCGCAGTGAAGTTGATTTCTTGACAAGAAGCGCTGTGGACGCTATCCTTTCTTTTCCACACGGTGCCACCAAAAAGAATCGTTTTTTCTCGTCTCTCAGTTGAATAGCTGTTGTATGTGTGATGACTTGGTGTAGGATTGCCATTTTATGGTTGTTTCTGTTACCATTTCCTTTTCCTTTCTTGTCTTTTTCTTTGTCATAGTGGAATTCCTTGAAAGCGAAAGCAGTGGTCTGCTTCTTTTCCACAAGTATTTTGAATAGCGCACTCATTTGGAGCAGCTGCGCTGGCGGTTGAGCTAACCAACAACCAGGTAACTTCAGTCATTTGTTTACACATTTTAGCGGTCTTCAAGATCAAAATGCCGCCCAAGGAGCAGTCAAAGGCCTCTCTCAAAGCGCAGAGGGCAAAGGCCAAAAAGGAAAAGCAGTTGCTCGACGCCCGAATCAAAGAGTGCCAAGAAAAGTGCGCGGAAGCCAAAGGTTTTTTGGAGCCATCCGGTCGCAATGCACAACCAAATTTCACCAAGTCAAAAGCAGCACTGGATGCCGCCGTTGAGGCGTACGACGCCAGTCCTTATCCATTCTTTCTTCTGGGGCAGTGGCATCGAATGCAAGGGATGCCCACGGAAGCGATCGAGAGCTACTCTCACGCGCTTGACTTAGACCCGACGAACGTGCAGGCACTCGAATGGAGAGCGCAGTGCTATCACACCTTGCACGACTTCCCTCATGCCATCGAGGACAACACAAGCATCATTACTTTAGAGCCCGAAAACGATCATGCGTACAATATGCGTGGCTTGTGCGTGCTCGAAAGCTGTGTTCCGGGGCTCCGCCTGCGGTCTGCCGACTTTGCCTCTTGCGTGGATGACTTTAATACAGCTGTTCGCCTCAACGAAGCAAATTACTACGCAATGGCAAACCTAGGTAAAGCTTGTGAGGTTCAGGGAGACAGCGACAGGGCGATCGAGTGCTATGGGCGCGCACTCCGGGTCAACGAGGCCTACGCGTACGCCAGGTTTCGTCGCGGCTGCACCGCCTTGCGCGTGGCTGAGTCCATCGTGCGAAACCGTCAGCAGGAGGAAGACGACGAGTTCGACAATGCCGCACCGGACGCAGCCGAAATTAGCGTAGGATCGTTGCAGCAAAGTATGATCGCTGACGCGACAATCAATGGACTTGAACGTAGCATAAAAGTCTCTGTGCCTCAAAATGGGTTCGCTTTGTTAGCGGACGCCAAGGCGGAGGTCCGACAGCAGTTGGAAGAGGAACATTCAGCAAAGATGTCGGCGCACCTACTGCATGTTGCGGAGAGCGACTTTGCTGCCTTGATGGATCCCAACCCCGAAGCGAACAAAGCTGCGGGGGATGCGATGGTGGCGCTCAACAGTGGAATCTGTGCACTTTTGAAGAGAAACTTCAAGAAGGCAGATGAGTGTTTTAAACTGACTCAGGAGATCCTCCAAAATCGACCTGCTTTGGTTGAAGACGGAGAAGCAGAACCCATTGAAAATGCAGATATGATCAAGCAGGTGCTGGCAATCCGGAAAAGAGAACTCAAGCTCGAAAAAGACCGAATGCGATCTGCTGTCGCTTGAGAAAACGGAATCTGCCTTTCACCTCTCTGAATACCCTTTGATGTACAGATGTAAGATCAAGTAACAATCTTTGCAGGCTTGCAAGGCACCTTCTTCCCCCTTTTTTAATGTGCGACGTACAGTCGAAACAGACCGAGAACGTGAGCTCTTTTTTTATTTTATGCTGAAAGGTCTGTGCGCATTGCACGTGCACTTACTCAAAAAAGTAAAAGAAAACATATGTGAACCCCGAGTCACGACAATGCCTTCTCCGACAAACAGCAACACGTGAAAAACGAATAAAACAACGGCAAGATTTTGTGTCTCTCTCTCGCTGTATACTATTTTTTTAAATATGCTGAACCCCTTTTGCTTTTAACACATGTATATCAACTGCGTTGCGTGAGATACTGCAGGCAACATATGCCTTTTCCATCTTACTTCTTCACCTCTAATGCTTCTCTTTTTGTTTCTGACGAACGTACGCTCAATTATCGCCTTCATTTTTTAATGCGCGTTGACGGAACGAAACGCACTCACGACATCAGTAGCGAATAGCTGCGCACACCACACTCGCGGAAATCCTTTTTCTTTCTTTTTCTCCAACCATTAGTAGTGTCTCGCCATGCTTCGTGCAACGTTGACGAGGCGTAATGGGTTTAACGTCAAGGAGCTGTACCCCTACGGCGTGCCCAAACGCACTTTCCCCTACCGCGAACATCAGAAGCAGATTAGTTTGGCCCCCACTGCTGGTGGGTTCTACCTCACCAAATACGCTTTAGGGTGGCCTTTCCAGATTCCCTTCGAATGGCTCTTTTACCGCTCATCCGTTGCCTTCTTTGTGTTCTGCGTCACCTACGATATTCTCTTCGGCCTGCCGCACCCTTTCATGAAGGAGGTCCCGCCGGGTACCCCTCATCATTTCTTCTTCGGCAACTCCGGTGGATCTCCTCATCACCTCTGGCAGTATCAAGATGGGTGGACGGTGCCAAACATGTCTGGCGGACGGCGGTGGTGCGACTAATACGTGTGCACCCTTTCACGTATCTGCACCGTAGTCGACCTCATGGAATAGACGAGGGAGAGACGAGAACCATCACATTCCGACCCAAGACTTTGTCTCAAACTCTCTTGTTTTATTTATTATTGAGACTGTAGAACTGCTTAGTACAGCCTGTAGTGATTGCAGCTTAGTTTTCAAGGAAATGCACGTAGAGTGCTTTCGCTTTTGTTTCAACAAACGAGCGCTAACGGTGCGTTATGTGTGTATCGCCAAACAAACCAAAACCACCAAGAGAAACATCAGGTGTACTCGTTGGCACCTCTGCAAAGGAAAACCCAGAGAAAGCAGGACGTTACCAGTCTGAAAAAGGTGTTTTCTTTTAATCTCAAGCTGGAGATACACAATACTGCCTCGCAGATCAACAATGAGACGTGGCCGCAGGCTGTGGTGCTGGATTACTATCTTTTTCCTGCGTGTTATGCTCGTGGCGACTGCGCTGACTGTGAGCGCAAATGGAGCTAATGAGAGCCGTATACATAGCTACCTTTCAACGTTTGCATTGCATATGTTTTCTTAAATTAGAAAAAGAAATTATAGCTGTGCTCTTTACCTTCACGCCTTCCAGACCGTATCGGTGCAACGACGTGTTTTCGAATTGGCTACTACTTCCTCTCCCGCTTTCTTGGCAACTGTTCTCTTTTTTTTTTCCGATACTTTTTTTTTTGAAACTTCGGTCCAACTGCTTTTTTTTTCGCGTCTGCTGTGACATCAAACGTATAGAAGCACAGACGTTTTCTTTACAAAGTATTTGATTCAGTAGTGATAAGTTTCGTGGCGCGTTCACTGGTTTCTTTCTTCTGTTCAGATTAGGATAGAGACAAACGTAAAAGTGGAGGAACAGCCTGTCAACAAAACTGTTGATCTCGTCAACGTTCCTCTGCCTCGTTCTGTGTGCATGGACGTCAGTCACTTTGTACCTCTTTCATCTTTCATAAAGTCATTGGACATATTCTTCACGAAAGATATATTCTTTCTTTTCGCTATTTCTGCGCCTCCTGTAGTAAATCTGGCCGCAAGTGTATTTGAAGTGATTTTCAAGACTTTTTTGGCCATCTGCGACGAGGCATTCTCGCAAAGGGACAACGACCTTCTTAGCAGCCTTCGCACTCGTGTCTCGTTCTTGAGAGAGAACAGCAATCCGGCCTAGAAAGGCAACGAACTCGATAAACACCAACAGGAATACCAACCTGCTGCTTGCCCTCGAAAGTGCATGCGTAATAATGTTTTTGTCCCTCACCGAGCATCCAGCTGACCCACCTCCACCAAAAGCACAACCAGAAGCTCTGAAAATTGACCCCGAGGTGTATGCGGTGCTGCAAGAATGTCGGTATCGAACGCTCACTGTGGGAAACATTACGCGTCGTAAGTTGGATGAAGAGATAAGCGCCCTCGAGGCTTTGCAAGAAGCGGAAAACACGCAGCAGCGGTGTAAAAGCGGCGACGACGGCAACCGCGACGCTTCAAACGGGCGAGTAGAGGAGCACAGCGACGCCCAGCGGAGTGAAGTGGCCGACAAGACGGATTCAGATGAGGAGCTCTCGTTATTCATTCCAACGGTGGGCTCAGACTCAGATGGTGCTACTTCCCTGACCGAAGAGGATCTAATGCGAGCGCCGAGCAATTTTGCGTGCTTCCCGAGACCTGTCATAAGCAACAAGAGCTGGAGTCGCACCGGCACGCGTACCTTAGCTTCCAACGGAAACAGGGGGAAGGTGCGGAAGGGAGAAAACCTCTTTCCATGCCCGTTTGGGCATTGGGAGTGTGGAACGTTTCTTGGCAAACGCGTCTTCGTCGAGGCAAGCAACACCTTTCTCGGACGTGGCTCGCAGTCGGTTGTGCTGGGTGGAAGCATCATCGTCACGGAGACGGTGAGCGGCGAGGAGAGACGCCTGGCTAGCGTCCCCGTGGCGATCAAGGAGGTCGTGTACGACGCCCGCCAGAAGACCGTTCGCAACATGATCGAGTTTGCGTTGCGGTTTCGGCTCGAGGTAGACCACCCTGGAATTGTGCACATCTTCTGCGTCGGGCTCTACTACCCCCCGTTCTCCAGCCTTTCCGAACTGGAAAACGTACCCATCTATTCGCACGTGTCGCTCGCCTGTAGCACGACGGGGAGCATCGCCGACGTGCTGAAGCGCACCGGACCGTTCCCCATGCAAGAGATTCAACGGTGCATGGCGGAGGTGCTGGAAACGCTTCAGTTCATGCACGAGGAACACCACAAGGTACACAACGACGTCAAGTCACACAACACTCTCATCTTCGACTACACGTCCGTCTTCTCAAATTACAAGTATCAGCTGGCGGACTTTACAGGACTTACATCAGCGCGAGCGGCGGCGGAGGTGAGGCGGGATGTGCGAAACGGGCTAGGCGAAAAACTCACCCATGCCATCGTGGGCGGGACGGCGGCGTTTATGTCACCCGAAAGCTGCTTGGGTCTCGGCATGCTGACGAGCAACGACATCTGGTCTCTTGGCATTACGGCGTACCACATGGCGACGAACACGCTGCCGTGGCAAGCGTTGGAGCGCCAATTCCCCAGTATGATTATCAACGGCTTCCGCTGCAAGTTCTCCCTGGACACCATATTCGGGGAGCTCACCGACGAAGGCGCAGCAGCGTCCGCGACCTCCCCAGCCGGTGCGCGCGGACAGTCGCCTCACGTAGCGGACGGGAGCGTGGAGAAGCATAGCGGATGCGAGAGGCCGGGTGGGAACCACTGCATGTCCAATAGCAACAGCGGCAGCGTTGGAAGCACCGTGCTCCGCGACAAATACGCTGACTTTGGTCCCATTCTCGAGGAATTCGATCATTCCACCCTTCCAAAGGACTTTCAAGACTTTGTCCGGCAATGCTTGATTGAGAATCCGATGGAACGACCCACGGCTCGACAGCTGCGTGAGCATGCGTTTGTGAAAGACATACAAATTGGAAGCGGTCGCGAGAGTGCCACGACGCCTCTGCCAAACTAACTCACCGAGAGAAAAGGGAGAGGATGACATCGCGTGGCGTACACGACAGCAGCGTTCGAGAACGAGATCACAGCGGCTAGGGAAGTAGCATTATGACCGGCCGTGTTTCTCTTCTCGACCGGTGACGCTTCTGCGCCCGCCAACACACATACTTAACTTTAAGGTTAATCATAGTAGGCAGTTCCTTTTTTGTTTTGTGCGTTACCCGCAGCCAGAGTGGGGAAGCCGTAGAGGCCCAGTAATTGTATCTCTTTGATAGTTGGAGGAAGCTAATCGCAGCCTGCGCAGACGGCTCTAAGATTTTCATTTCCTCTTTTATCAACGTGGCTTTCCGAAAGGCTGGGTTTTCATCGCACATAACTTTGCGGGAAGTGGCAGGCGGAGGTGCCCGTTTCAATAGTCTTTCTTTTATTCTGAGACGGTTCTCAACATCCGTCTTTCGTCTCGGTCCTTTAAAAAGAGGAAGTGTCTCCGGGGCGCTTATGGTTTTGATATTGTAAGGAATATGTTTCCTGCTTCCTTTTTGCTAGGACGTGGCGAAGCCAAAACTTGTGCAAGCACCATGCTACCACACACACACACACACACAAGAAGAAATAATGACCAATGCCTTTTCCAGCGTCACACCTATGCAAAGCTGTGGTTCTGTTTTTCCCCTTTTTCTCTTTTCAGTAGTTCCAGCGCTTTGTTGCAGAAGACAACGGCAGGCCAAATGCACAACGCTTCTATTATTCTTTTTTATTGCTGTGATTAATACTATCGCGTTGACTTACGCATATCGTTCGTTGATGTAAAAGATATTGCTCACTAATAGAAAAAGAGAAATATATCTATATGTCGATAAGAGGTAATACAGCAATTTAAGTGTGCGCGCCCCGCATGCCCCATCGGAAAACGCCGGTGCAAATGCACGCGAATGGTTGAGTGTGTGCAAGGGCAAAACAGAGTTGTTTTTCATCCTAAAATCTGGTCGGCGTTGCCCTCATTGAGCGTCTTTGGAGGAAACTGGCTGTGCTTGTCTAACCTTTTTCCCTTTGCAGTACTGCAGCTGAAATTCAAGCCGCGTGTTTTTTTTCTGTTGTGTTACAACGACGATCCTTTTACCTTCCAAAACGAAATTCTTCTTTTTTTGTTACCTGGCTTTCGTTCTCTCTTCATTTATCTAGCTTATTGAAGCATGTACGTTTTTTTCTTTGTGTTTCCCTTTTTTATTTATTTGGAGGAGTTTAACGTTTTGTTTTGTTCTCAATCACCTTTACGCACTTTGTGGACTTTGAATAGCCCCGGTAAATCCATCCTATTGCAGAATCGAAGCAAATCTACCACTCAAATAAGAAAAACCGGTGATGGCAAGACGATTCTCTTGCTGGGGCGGGCGCTTCGTTGGCGTAACGCTCCCACAAACGTGCGCTTTTCAGCCAATTTTTTTCGTATTGTGTGTTTGTCTCTGTGTGGGTAATGGCGTTTTCCACGGTGCTTATGAGGATTACGACCATTTTTGTTCTCATGTACTGCTGTCTGTACAATCGGATTCAAAACTGTGCACTGGAATATCGTTTTTGCTTCTCTGTTTTGTTGTCTGTCAAGGGCGTTTAAAGATCTCTAAACTGCACACACAGAAACGCCAAGTACAACAGTTTCACTGTTTCATACTTTATGTTTTCGGTCATTTTCCTTGAAGGATTTCACATAGGGTTTTCACTTTGTTTTCTTTCTTTGCTCCCTTTTCGTTTTCCCTTTCCCTAGTCTTCTTCAACTGGATTCTTTACCTTTTTCATACCTCTTTTTGTTACTTCTACATTCTCCGTCGTTAGTAGTAATGGGTATTTCGCGGTGTTCTGCACTCACGCACTTTTTCTTTAATTTCTTTCTCTACCAATTCTTCGTTATTGCTTGGATTTCATCGAACATATAGATGAGTGTGTGTTTGCCGTCATCCGCTTTTAGCTTTTCTCTCCTTAACCGGACAGTATTGGAGACCGTCTGATCGCATTCAGAAAAAATAACACGTGGGCGACCCTTAGCTTTTGTTTTTCTTCCTCGAAGACAGTAGCAAGAGTGCCAAACACGTCCAGTGAGTAACTTTCCTAACTCCCCGATCAGTTATATTATTCACACGCAGCTTTTGTTTCCATAAGCGTCGTAATATCTATATATTTCCCAAAAAGCATTATTTTGCTATATTTTTGTCTCCTAATGATCTCTCCTATTTCTCTTCCTTTTACATATCTTCTTGACTTCGAGAAGTGTCGTTTAGCATCACTATTTGTTGGTCTGACTCAGAAAAAAGAGAGGTATATACATGTATGTGAGCGGTTAGACTTAGCGGTAAAACAAATTATTGATATCGTGAAAAGCTTTATACTATTCGATAAAACGAACCACTGCTAGCCACCCACATCAATTTTCTTCTGTGAAAGCTCACATTTATTATTCACATACTTTTCTGTCTCCTTTTGAGACATCTTGTCACTTACACAACGTTTTTGAAAGCGTAAAGATATTTGTGGGTGAATGAGTGTGGTGTGTGTGTGCGCGAGTGGAACTCTCTTCCTTTTTCCTCTTCTCTTCGCGCAGGTTCAGCTGTTGCTCTCTTTCCCGCCGTTTTCTCTGTAAACCACAGAACCTTTTTCGCGTTACCAAATTCTTCTTTTTCCTTCTTCTTGCTGCGCATGGTGAACGTATCAATAACGACATTTTCTTTCTTTTCTTTTTTTTTTCTGGATGGGAAGAAATCCCGTTCGCTGGTCTGTTTTCAGAAATTAGCGTTTGGACACGAGTGCATCGAGTTGCGGAGGTGATGTGCGCGTCTCGCGACAACAAAAGTGGGTACGTAGTGCACCCGGAGTTGGAGGCGCTCTCTTCCCTACACAGCGAGGCAAGGTGTTCACCCTTTGAACGCTGGAATGTACGTTTTGTATGTGGCGAATGAAAAAAGCGTGTCATTTGCAGCGTTAACAAGATCCTTGACTAGCATAGCTGTGGGACGTTGTACTCTCCGAAAGTGCGTACGCGACGGCGCTGGAGGAAACAAAGACACTCGTCGTCGTTGTTGAAGGGCTACCGCCTGCCCCATTTGCTCCCTCCCATTTTTTTCTTCTCTGCGTCCTCAGGTGCGTCGTCGGCTTCTGTAATACGTGGCGTTCTGCCTTCAGAACTGCAACGGCGAAAAACAGCAACAACAACTGCCCTTCTCGGCGCACTGAATGCGGAGATCTCGAGCTGGGCGCCTCCGCTGAAACAACAAGTCATTTTATCTTCTCATATGGCGTCATGCTTTTGAAGCGTGAGAAAAGAAACCTTTTTCCCTTTCTTCTACCGTTTTCATCTGCGTCTCCTCTTTCCCACCTCCACAAACAACCACAACCTGCTCTTTTCTATTGTCGGCGTCTTTACACAAGTGTGGGAAATTGAGGCCTATTGTTTCCCTGTTGTGCTACGAAGGCAGCATAAGAATTCTATTTTCGCTTTTGAATTCGGTTTGTTTCGTTGGAAGCGAACTTGAGCTTCTCTTCAAGTAAATACGGCAATACGTGGAAAAGAAAACCGACGATACAATTTTCCAACAGCTGTGCCTACGTATTGAACCTGACGACCATTTTTGTGTGCTTTCGTTTTGTTTTTGAACTACTGACTTTCTTTCGAATTTCCTCTCTCGTATTTTCGAAGCCTGCGCCAGGAATGATGTCATGTTGGAATGGTAGGATGTTGAAATGTACCTTAGTACCCCATTTTCCTCTTTTCTATCCTTGCGACAGTCTTCGACTTTCGCCTCTCACTTCTTTTTCGAGTCCCGCCCACCCGAGCCCGCACCGCCCCGCTTTGGAGGCGGACTTTGAAAAGGAGTCTGCCACTTCGTATGTATATATCCCGCGTGAAAAAGATGTAAAATGAAAAATATGGTAAATTCGCTTTCTGGAAAGATATGCCCTCAACCGAGGAGGAAGACACGATGGTGTCGGGCAAACACCGTTAATGTATGCATACCCCAAAACGGGCCATCAACAATAGTTTTCCCTTTTCCTTTCCTCCCCTTCTCCATCTCTACACGTGAAAACATGAAGCATTATTCTCATTGTTTTCTAAATATTAAAGGTTCTTAATGGCCGACAATGCATCACCTTCAATAGTTCGACAGTATTTCGAGCACCCTCCGCGTAGTCATCTCTACCGCGGCTCACCTACTGGGGCTTCTCTGATCCTCTCCGGGTCCCCCACGGATGCAATTCCTGGCCGAAGGAAGACAGGCGAGTGCGACGGTATCGACGCTGGTGAAGGTGACGCGGCGGGTTCCTCAACGCGGAGGCCCAGCCAGGATGGTACGAGCGGCCTCCGGGAGGCCGGCGAGGGTGCCGGAGAAGAAAGTGGAGACGCTGATCCGCGGAGGGCGCTCTCCACGTTGCTGCTTACTGGTCTCATGTACACCGTCACCATTAGCGGTGCGTACGGTATCGAGGAGTCGGTGATGGGGGGCGGCGTGATGCTGACGATCATCTCCGTCGTGGTGATCCCTGTCGTTGTAGGCGGGCCAACGGCGCTCGTGGTGGCCGAGCTCGCGTCTGCGGTGCCTTCGAATGCTGGTTTTTTGATGTGGATCAAGCTGTCGTTCCACCGGACTGTGTACTTCGCCATGGCCATACTCTCTCTCTTCTACATTGCGACGGACAACGCCCTCTACCCCACAATGTTCTCCGAGTACACGTGCACCGCGGTGGAGTGCAGCACGGCCGGAGCGATCTCTCTGCGGCTGGGCATGCTCACGTTGACTTTCCTTCTTAACATGTTTGGCGTCGAGACGGTCGGTGTGGCCAGCGTCGTGCTCACTGTTCTGACGGTAGTGCCGTTTGTGCTCATGTTTTTGAAGCAGCAGCTCGACAGCCACTTTTACGTGAACTGGCCAGCAGTGACGTATGTGCCGACGGATTCGATGAACTGGCCGATGTTTCTGGCCACTGCATCGTGGTGTCTCTCGGGGTTGGAGCAGGCGGGCAGTGTGGTGGAGGATATCAAGGACCCACAGCGTACAATCATCGGCTCCCTCATTCCGTTGATGGGGCTCGCCTTCATCACGTACATCCCCCCGATCATCACCGGGGCGAGCGTGTCGCACGGCGCGATTGACCTTTCGCAGTGGACGACGGGGTATTGGGCTGAGGTGTCGTACCAGGTCGGCGGCACCCCCCTCAAGGTGATCACCGTCGCGGGGAGCGTCCTCTCCGCGTTTGGGCTAACGCTCTCCGCACTCTGCACCTCCACGCGCATCTTGTCCGGCATGGCGCTCACGGAGGCCTTCCCTGGCAGGGTGAGTGAATGGCTGTCGTTCCGCAGCGCACGCTATGGTACCTATCCGTGGACGCTCATCCTCAACACGGCGCTCACCGCGGTGTTTTCGTCGGTGCTGACCTTCGGTGCGTTGGTGAAGATAGATCAATGCCTCTACGGCATTCGTGTTATCGTGATCTTAATCTCCTTTTATCGTATCCGGCACTTGTACCCACACCTACAGCGGCCATTCCGTATTCCACTCGATGGGTGGAAGCTGCACGCGATGATGGGCGTCGCCACCGCGTCGTATGTCGTGCTGACTGTCGTTTCCGCCTGGGAGGTGGAGGTTGCCATTTTGTGTACCGTTGTGGTCGCGGTGGCTTTCGTGGCGGCTTTTCTGTACTGCCACTTTTACCGTCAACACGACTTTCTGGGCCGCGTGGTGACCGAGTTTGCGGTGGATTCGTGTGAGGACGACGCTGCCCCGTCCACGCATACGCAGCCGGCTGGGGAACCAGCGAGGCATAACGTGCCAGAAGGACAGAAGTCGGCGAAGGCGGAAGCGAGAGAACAAGCGGATTAGTTATGTGTGCATTTATTTACTCATGCAGGAGCTACCTTAAAAAAACACATTAACTACCTTCTGCAGCAGATGCCATAGCGTTTAAAATTTTGAACAGGATGCGTTTCAGCATCAATAAAATGTTTATCACGTGCCGACTAACGGCGCTCTTTTTCTCTTTCTGTCGAGGTTTGCCGCCATGTGGCAAGCGTTGGAGGGACGACGTAGTACGCCTTTTGACCTACTTTCCTCCGTCACGATAGGGCCGCTCTAGGTGGTTGCGTGTTGCTTGTTTGAAATATACTAAAATCTGCTTCGTCATTTTGTTTATATGCTAGCGAAGCTGTCTTCACAAGCACCACCTATAGATATTCAAGTGCTCCTCAATTATTTGAATATATATCTCGCTTTTCTTCTTGGATATTATCCATCAAATACCCACGCCGACGACTACATCTTTGGTGTCGTCGCCAATCGATCTTTTTTTTTTGTTAAAGAAAATTACGCCACTCTACTGCATCGTTCTACCTTTTTTCTGCTTTCCTTCTTTTCAGTTTGCGGATCCCACAACAACAACAGCGATGGAATCAGTGGGAGAAACCGGCGTCTCCGGTGACTTTCCACGAGGGGAGAATAAGCCAGCCAATGAACAGCTCTCTTACTATCTGTGCTTTAGACCTTGCGAGTTGCATCAACAGAGTTCCCCCCCCCCCGCTAGGCTAAGGGCACGACAACGTCTCTCCGGTCTCGTCTGGCGCCTGCGATGTAGCTTTATTCAGCCGCACGTGGGACAGCCAGCTTCTTCCTCCTCCCTCTCTCCCCTCTTTTCGGCTGCAATTTTTTTCTTCACTCCGTCTGTCCTGCACCCAAACCGTCTTGTCTTGTGGTTGTACATCTGCGTGTGCGTCTGCTTTGGATCACGCGTGACGGCGCACACAAAAACGACTCTCAACAACAACAAAAAGACGAGACGTAAGACACGTGGCAATTGCTCCTGTTTTCTTCTGTTGCAATCCGTTGTTCGGGTATCCCTGCACATCCAATGGCCTCTGCGGATCTCTGCGAAGGCGTCAATGCGGCCCTTTCCAGCAGCAGACGTTTCCGCAAAGAAGCTCTTTGCTATCAGTGTGCGCTTCGTATGTCCATGCTCTTCAACTACCCCCCACCTCGCACGTTGGGCCAGGTGCAGCCGACCTCGACAGAGGCAAGAACGGCATCGCTGTGTCCCATCTTGGATGACGAGCACCACCCTCTCTTCACCATCGTCCACGAGACCACAGAGAGCGCGCAGCGGTATTTCGCAGGGGCGCTGTCGCCTGCCACTGCAACAGGAGCACACGGCGATGCATTCCACGCAGCCATGGGTGATGGCGACGCACAGGGAGACCGTGTCACGAAGGGATCCACCGCCTATGGCATGCTGGCCGGCGACGCCGCTCCAAAACACGCCGTCTCGTGGCTTTGCATCGCCTGCATGGGACTCTACCAATTCATCGACCTCATTCACGCTCCACTGGCGGCGGCCGAGGTGCGTGCGAGTCCGTACTTCGACTCCGCCGCGATCACCATCAATGTCAACGTGAATCGGAGTTTCACCTTTACCTGGCTGGCCGTGGCGACGCGTTACTTTGACGTCAAAGGCACGGGCGTCGACTGCCCATCCGCAACGTCGATCGTGAAGGAGGAGCTGAGCAACTTCAAGGACTTCTACATGAGCGACCTGCGGGCGCGCATTTTGCCGTATCTTCTGCACCGCCATAGCGATGTTGTCGCCTCCGCGACGGCTCCCTCCTCCATCCTGCGCAGCACCACGCTGCCTGGCATTTCCGTGTACGCGAATGCGGTCAACAAAGCTCTCGCAGTCAAATCCGCGGCGACACAAACGGCAGAGGCGTGCGGCGACGGGCAGGGGGTGAAAAGGGCGCGCGTCGAAGGCAGCGACGGCACCACCGAGGGGAGATCCGTTGCGCATGCGACGGCGGCGGACTGCGCCACGAGCAACGCGGCTGCCGTGCGCCCTCCTCCTCTTCGCGCCATGCAGGCTTTCCGCTACAGCGGCAGCAGCGAGAGTCTTGTCGGCGAGGTTTTTTGCCGGCACCACGCCACGGAGGGCCTCATCACGGAGGGGTACCTTCCCGCTGCCTACTGCGGCAATCGCTCGACCGAAGTGCTGCCCTACAGCGTCATCTACGACTACGCCATTCCCTACCTGGTAAGGGAAGGTTGGCTCCCTTCGCCCTCCACGGCGGGCGGTGCGAACCCTGATGGCCGCACTGGCGCTTCACCGGAGGAGCGTCGTGCCGCCGCCACCGTTTCCTGCCAGCTGCAACACACGAACATCTTTCTCATGGGCAACTACCGCAAGATGATGCGGAACATGTCGCAGTCACCGTGGTTCCTCGACGGGCAACGGATTGGCTCCTACTCGCTGCAAGAGGTGGTGGCAAATCCACTTCTGCCCTTCTTCTTTCCCGATCTGCCAGCGGCGCCGTCGGAGGCGCAGCGGGAGAGCGGCCACGGCAGTGCCGCTGCGGCGTTGGTAGACACGAAGGACGTGGGAGAGCCTGCCACCGCAGCACCCAAGGTAGAGCGCGGTGCACATGCCGCACGATGGCAGTCGGTAGCTCCATCCGTGGCGTCGTCCACCTTAGTCTTTGGCTACAACCGCTACAAGTTTCACAGCGCTGGTCGCGAGGACGTGGACGTGCGCATGCTCGGTGATGGCCGCCCGTTTGTCTTGGAGCTCATCTCTCCCATCCGTGAGCACTTCACGGACGACGATCTACGCCGGCTCGAGACGGCCATCAACGACAGCTATATCGGTAGTGTCGAGGTGAGCCACCTGCGCCGCACAGACGCGGAGGTCACGGTCCGTCTGGCGCGGCACTCGGAGAGCAAGGTGAAGCGCTACCGGTGTGTGGTTTGGTCCAGTCGTGCCATTGAAGATTTTGCGACGGACGCGCAGGTGCAGGCGATCCATGAGATGAAGGACTTGACAATTGCACAGAAGACACCGCTGCGTGTGTTGCATCGCCGCTCCTTGCACCCCCGCCCACGGCTGATTCACTCCATGAAACTGACCCCTCTCAACCCACACTGGTTCTTGCTCGACCTCGAGACGCAGGCGGGGACGTATGTGAAAGAGTTTGTGCACGGAGACATGGGCCGCACCACGCCGCACCTTGGCATGCTGCTCCATGCGCGGACCGACATAATCCAACTGGATGTTGTGGGCATGGTGATGCACGACCTGGATGTCGGGTGAGGGCGATGGCGCGCTGTGAGCCTTTTTGTTTTGCAATTGTTTATTTCTTCTCTTCGATCGGTGCTGGGCCGGTGAAGCCGTGAAGGAAACTGAGCAAGAATGTGTTAACTGCCGCTGTAGTTAGCTTTGCAGGTGAGAAGGAAGCTGTTCTCCAGGTGTGCAACACCTCTCGACGCAAGAGGCAACCGTTGGGCTGCCTTAAATTGTTTTGCACGTATAACATGGCGGAGGCAAAAAGAGGATAAGGCCCTTCACCATTCCTAATGCGCAATAAAAAGAAGAGAAAAGTACACCCGCTTGCTTGTTTCGCGATATTCAGAGGTTGAAGGTGTGTATGTGTGTGTGCTCATCATTTCGAGCGAGACACCTCCATTAGAGGAACCAAAACGAATTGTTTCCTCTAAGTATTCGCGCCCTGCACGATCCCGCTCTGCCTCTGCTGAAGAATCGGCTGTGACATCACAAAAGAGGCTGAAGGCTGCATAGAATATACCTGCTGCGTATTCCTCTCTCTTTATCGGCCCCAGGAATGCCATATGTACAACTGCAAAATAGAAACAGTTCTTTTTTTTCTTTGAAACCACAGGACTCTCTTCCATACCCTTCTCTCTCAGGGCCCACCGCACCTCTTGACGTAAAGGGACGGGAAATCAAAAGGAGGCAATCGTAAATGAAACAGGTCTCTTTTTTCACGCCAACATGAACGTCGAGCTCTTACGAAGGCGTGGCGGGGAGCGTGGAGAATCGAAAGGTGACCCGCCCGCGTCGTCGCCCCCTCCCTCTCTTCTGCGCATGAACCTCGGCCGACTGCGGCGCGCAATGATGCACCCGCGCACGAGTGCAGAGAGGATACGTTTGCTGTTTCTTTTTCTCATTGTATTCACCCTTTTACTTTTCATTGTGCTCGCGCTTTTCTACCTGCGCCCGTCTTTCATGTTTGAGGAAAGCGAGTCAGCGGAGGCGTGGCTGCGACGTCACATTGTGTGCCCCACGGACATCCTCATCGGCATACCTCCTCCACGTCGCAAAACGGGTAGCGGGAAAGGAGGAAGCGCGGACACCGTAGAAAACCGTACAACCGCTTTCGCCTACGATGTGAGCCGTCAAAACGGAATCCCTGGCAGCCCGGCCACGCTGGCGGGTCTTGAAGGATTCTGTGCGGCGCGCGTGTCGGCGGTGCCGCGCTGGGCGTCGGGCAGCTGGCGCACGTGGCGGGACGCGGTGCCCTCGGGGGCCACAGGACCCCAACGGAGCGCCATTTTTAACCTTACCATCCAACAGAACTTTCTCGGCAATGCGACCTACACGGCGGTGGGGAGCCCTTTTTGTCTTGCAGGTGGGGCGTTCTACGTGCCGCAGGAGCGCATCAACGCCGGCGGGATGGAGGTGTTCACGGCAGAGCAGCTGACGGTGCTTCCACTGACCGACGCGGTGCTCCACAACGCAGCGATGGCAAGCGCGTCGGCCGGGCTGCACGTGGTGCCGGCCATGGGACTGCTGCTTTCCGGTTTCTGGATCGCCACTCACTTTTTCCATCTCATCACCGACGCTCTGGAGACGCTGTACGGTGCGTTCCACACCATGGAGGACGGTGTGCTCTTGCACATCCCCACGCAGACGGTGATGGTACGCAGTGACGCCACCAACTGGGCGGACCGCCGCGGCGACCGTGCGAGAAAGATCGAGTTCAGCGCCGCCTTGGCCAACAGCTTCGCTTCTCCGCTGCTGAAGGGCGGATCGCCGTACAACACTTCGTTTTCGTTCCGTCCAGACTCGCCGTACTGCGTGGGGCGTGATGGGGAGCGGAAAAACTCCGCTACTCTTGCGGCTGGCAACGCCGCCACCGCGGCAGGTTCTGCGGCTTCTGCGGTGTGCTTCTGCGATGGATTGCTGGTCACCACGCACAACCACCCTTACATGAACGCCAGCATCTACTACGGTATCCAGGACTGGGCAGCGCAAGGATTCGGCGCCCCGCCGTATGTGAAGTCACGTAGCGTGCGCGATATGGACCGCTTGCGACTAGCGCAGTCCCCCTCGTGGGCCGCGCAGTTTTGGCCAGAAGACGCCACCACCACCTCCTTCAGACCCAACGCGACGGCCGCCGTCAGCCTCTATCGACCACGGGTTGTGTTCATTCATCGAACCACACGTCTCATCGCCAACGCGGCGCGCTACGCGGAGCAGATGCGCGCAGCCGGGTTTCGCGTAGCGGAGGTGCACATGGAACAGCTCTCCGCCGCCCAGCAGTACCACCTCGGCCGGTACGCGGATGTGGTGGTGGGGATGCACGGTCTCGGCATTGGGCACGCGCTGTGGATGGAGCGGGAGCCGTACGGGTGCCGCACCGTGATTGAGTTCCGCCCCTGGGTCATCCAGTACATGCCGCTGCAGCCGCTGCGTGTGCTGGGGGAAACCATGCAGTTTCACTTTGTTGCGATTGTACCGACGGACGTCCGCTTTGGTCCTTCTGTCAAAGAGCCTGAGAAGGAGCGTGAGCTTTTGATGTCTGTGAAGCGGATTACCAACGCGTTCAGCTTTCCCAGTTTCACAGACCAGACAGCCTTCTACGATGATGACGAGGTGGGCCGCGTGATTTCGGCGGTGCACCAGCACTTGAGTCAATGCCTGCCAAAATGAGACCATGAACATTTATCCTGTGCGTACGCGTGATTGCCGAGATAGGGAAGGAATAAGGAAATCTTTAATGTGGTGTAAGGGAGACGTAGTGGTTTTGAGACAATCTCCCATTATGTTATCCACTATCCTGTACATGTCAGTGCGGTGTTCAAGAGACAAGAGACCTCGCCCTGCGTGGAGCAATGCCCACAAATATTATACAACGATTTAATGCGGACAAGGAGCCACTTAGTAAGTATGCTTCTCTCCCATTTTTTTCTTCACAACACAACGCTTTGTGCTGCTTTATACGTCGATCACAGCAAAAAAAAAAACCCGAAACAGAAGGCGTGCTGAGCATTCTATGTTTTCAGTTCTACTCACGCGATGCTCTCTGCTTGCACTAGGGCTGCTGCTAGCCTCTTCTCGATTTCTTCTTTGAACTCATCGTTTTTTCGTTCCGTTCTCGTGTCTTTTCAGTCCCTTTCCTTCCCCTTCCTCTCTCTCGACACACCGTCTACGGTCGTTCCGCCAGTTACGTCTGTTGTATTGTCATCTATTTTTTTTTTCTCAAATCTTTTATCGCATTCGTTTCTTCCAGTTTTTGTTTCTCCTTTTGCAAGCGTTCTTTTTTTCACTTCTCTATTCATCTCTTTTTTCTTTCTGAGGAGTTGCAGCGCTTCCGTCGTGCTGACTTCCTCCGCTTTCCGCCGTCAACCCGCGACTTCTGCAGCCGAGGGAGAAGGGGGAGAGAGAGAAGAAAGAGGGAGCAAGCTGAAGAGGAAAAGAACCCCTCCTTTTTTTTTTGCACCTCACATACACTGCAGGAATCCTCTCTCCTCGTGAGCATTCTTTTAACCATTTTCTTTACTTACTTACTTTTCAACTGCCAGCAGCAGCGGGGTCCCATGTCGAAGCTGCCGCAATTGGCCATGATCGGCACCAGCCTGATGGTGGGCCTGACCATGGTGATGGGTATCAACGCCATCAACAGTGCCCCCAGTTTTATGCTGAACTACTACGAGTACCTGGCCGGCAGGGAGGGCGCGAAGCCACGCTCGCCTGTGTTCTGGAAGCAGATTTTGAACTTCTACACCGTCGTCACGATCGTTGCGCAGGCGGTGCACGAGCCAACCAACCTCACCTCCTTCATGTGCCGCTTCTCCCTTCTCTTCCGCCTGGAGGTGAGTTGCGCCCTGATGATTATCGAGCTGCTAGTAATCTTGCTGATGCCCCACACGCACGTCTCGGAGTACAGCGCGATCGCGGCGCTGATGATCGTCGCCTACCTGGGCGGAGCGGCTCGTGCGTACTTTGAGAACACGGGCTACGCCATGTTCGGCCCTTGCCCGCCCGTCATGCTGTCCGGCATGCTTGTCGGCTCCGCCCTCGCCGGCGCGCTGCTCTCCGTCGTGCAGATCGTTCTCCTGGCCAGCATGCCGTCCACCTACAACGCGGGACTCACCCAGTCCCTCATCTACTTCTGCACCGCCATCGGCATCATCTGCATCTCGGGCCTGTTGCTGACCTTGCTGCTCTTCAACCCATTTGCGCGGCGCTACATTGCGGAGTTCCGCTCGCATCGCAGTCCGTGGGCGAACATTTACCGCCACCGCAAGACGGTGAAGACGCTGTCGGGCAAGTCCTCGGCCCAGCCGGGCGCGAGCAAGAGTTACTCCGAGGCTGCCGGAGGTGCCGTGGACGCCGGGGCGCAGCGCTACCTCGACAACTCCTCTTCCTCCTCCGATGCGGAAGACGAGCGGGAGCTCCACGAGGCGGTGCTGGAGAACGGTGACCACCGCTGCGAGGATGTCCTCTTCGACGACCGCGAGTACGCCAACCGCGAAGAGCGTGAGGCCGCTGCGGCAAAGGAGGCGAGGAGAGCGGCGGACGGCAAGCTGACGTGCGCTGACTTGAATGAGCATCGCTCACTCTCCGTGGAGAAGGCTGCGGCCCACGACGAGGGCGAGGTGGACGAAGGTCTGACGACGGCGGAGCTGCTACAGGAGGTGAAGCTATGGCCGGTGATCAAGAAGATCTGGCCCATGATGCTCACCTGCTTCCTGACCTTCGGCATCACTTACCTCATCTACCCCGGCATCATGCTCGCCGTCGACAGTTCGAACGACTGGTACACTACGCTGATCATGACGGTGTACAACTTCGCAGACCTTTTCGGCCGTATCGCCTCCATGTGGAAGCGTCTGTGGCCGCCGCGCAACTCCATTCTCATCGTGGCCATCTCGCGCATTATCTTCGTCCTGCTCATCGTCTTGTGCGCGTTGCACAAAATCCCTTCGAAGGTGCCGCCGTACATCTTCGCTGCGTTGATGGGAGTGTCGAACGGTTTCATTGGCACTCTTTCCATTGTGTACAGCCCGGAGACACCGAGCTTAACGACGGACGGCGAGCGTGCCATGGCGGGTCAGGTGACCGGCGCATGTCTGTTGATCGGCTGTGCGGTCGGCTCTCTAGTCCAACTGGCGTTGGTGCTGCCCTTCAACTAAGATGGATGATCTTATTTTTCTCGGTGCCTGGACAGCAACCGACCAACTTTTTTGATTTCTGACATTTAAAGTGCTTTATTGTTATTATTACTGTTCCATGGAATCAACAGCAGTGGCGAAAAAGGGAAAGAAGCGATTACATAGGTAAAGCCGCAGCGAGCGAGCGAGCGAGAGAGAGGTGTGTGCGAGTGGGGGTAACAACGCTAGTAATATATACAGCAGCGGGCACTGGTGTGCTTGTTGCTATACGTACCATCTCCAGTTCCTTATTTTGTCTCTCTCTGTTTTTTCTTTCTGTGCTCTTGCTAAAGGAGCGTGCAAGACTCTTTTTTTTTTTGGTTTCTTTGGGACAAGTGTTTGATTTCCAAGGGAACGGCACCCAACGTGACATCGACGCCGCGCTCTCGTCATATCCAGCCAAGGAGCCTTTTTGTTTTTCTTTCTTGCTCTTTCATTAAACATCACCTGGAGCGAAAAAGAAGGGGGAAAAAATATATATAATAAGAGGCAGAACAACGCGCATTCTCAGCGGTGTTTCAACAGGAGCTTATTATCCTTCTTTCTAACTTATTATTATTATTATTAATATTATTCCGATTAACGTGAAAGAAGATAGTAGAAAAGAAAACAATGCGGAAGAAGAAAAAATAATGGATGATGCGCAGCACACCTGCAACGCCATTAAACTCAACAGGCAGGGCATCCAAAGAAGACTAGTCTGTTGTGCTTGACAGCAGGGGGTGTTACGCTTCGCAATAACAAAGGCAACAACAACAGTTAAAAAAAAATGTATGATAAGTAAGGGTAAAGCAAAGGTCTCTCCTTTGTAGAAAGAGAACTTCACTTTATTTCTGTCTGTGTGGAAAGGTCTTTGGATAAAAATATCTAAATTGTATTCGCCGCTCTTTTTTTTTTGATAGCTTACAAAGAGAATGGAACGATGAAAAGAGGAAGAATGATACGAGGAGGATGAGGAACAATGGCTCCGACGTTTGCTGATGACGCGATTTCTACCACTACTGCTCTCCCTCGCCTTATCTTTGGGGCTTGCAAGATCAACGTTCTCGCAACTTTTGAGTTTTTTCTTTTCCACCCACCCACCCCCGCGGTTGCCCACCACGACAGGGATCCTTGGGTTTGACCAATTCAATTACCCTTGTTTGCCACTTCGTGCGTAGTGCTACCGAGTAGAAAGAAAAACCCACATCATTTAAGTTTTTCTTTTTAGCTTTCTTTAGGCAGCAGTTTAATCGCAAGTTGATTTTAAGTTTGTTCAGGAGAGTTTTTCGTCAAGGATGGCCTTGATTCCGCGCGGACAGTGGGGGGTGATGGAGCAACACCTCGCCAATAGCCCCTTGCTGCAAGAAGGACCCGTCGCGGTCCGGATCTTTCGCCAGACGGCGGACGGGACAGGTCCCAATGCTATGCCAGGTCGGCATGTGCAGCGGTCGGTTGATGCTTTTCGATGGCACGACCAACACGACCGTGATGTGGAGCAGCTGCGAACTGCCCTTCACGCAGGTGGAGTTTGTGGCCCCGGAGGTTCAGCAGCGCATGGGCGAGCTGTACCAGATCATGAGAAATCAGGGGGGACGATTGCAATCCCTCGAGCAGCAGCAGGGTATGAACGCGAACGCTATCACGTCCGCACTTTCATCCCTGCAGGTGAACACCACCTCAGCCTTGGAAAGGCATGCGTCGGCTGCGGCTTCGGCTGTTTCAGCGTCGCTGGCGTTCAGCGCAGGAAGGGACGCCGATATCGTCACGCAGTTACAGGCTGTGACGTCGCGGCTGGAGTTTGAGCGAAAGTTGGCTCTGCGTGAGCGTGAGAGAGTTGCTCAGGTTGAGCTCCGACTGAGTCGGATGGTGCAGTCGGCGGGCAGGGACTCCCCTGAACTCCTCAGCCTGCGCAGTGAGGTGGCTCGTCTGGCGGAGACGGTGCGGACCTTGCAGGACGAGTTATCCCGTGCTCGGGACGCCGCGGCGGCCGATAGATTGGCGCGCGACGTGGAAGTGGCGCGTCTGAAGGAACAGAGCGTGCACGCGGAGAAGCGCTTCGAGGAGCGCCTGAACGACGTCAAGGAGGCACAGAAACAGTATCCAGATCAGATGGATCGAATTGAGCGCCTCCTCACCACCACCGCGACGGCGGGATCCGACGATGAAGGAGACGGCGCTACGACGCTTCAGTGGAGCAGGGATGTCACCGCGCGCCTGGTCAAGGTGCAGGAGGCTGTGACACAGACAGACCAGAACCTTTCGACCTTAAAAGATCAATATACGAAGTTTGCCTTTCATTTTGGCACAAAGACGTCGATTATCGAACAAGACATGAAGCTGCTCGAAAAACGGGTTCTGAACGACTTTGATGAGATGCGGCAGTTGCTGGCCAAGACTCAACCTGGGAAGACCCATTTGTCGCGTCCTGCAGCTGCTGAGGACGGACTCCACTCGGTGCGGATCACCCCGCCCTCTCCGAAGCACACGACGGCCGACGCGACGGAGAACAGTGATGAAGAAGATGTCTTTGACGTGACGGGCGTGCGTACGTGGCGCAGCGCGCTTGAGGGCCTCACGTGGACTGAGGTAGACATTGCCCTCCGTAAGCTGTTCTTCGATGGGCAGCTTAACGCCCCAACCGCCGAGGCGCAAGGGTGTTACTCCTCTCTTCTGGACTGGGTTCAGAGTGCCCAGCAGGTGCCCAGCCTGTTTGAGTATCAGGCCGGGCAGGGTAATGATCACGTTTCGCGGCTGACGGTGGCGTTGAAGTCGAACGCATTCCCGGAGCTGACGTACGCGAAACTGGCGACGGCCCGGCGGGACAGAGACACCGGCATAGATGCCCTGATGGGTCTCATCAAGACCATTGCGCCCGCGAAGAAGAGCGGCGTGAAAAAGGGGAGGTGCTGCTTTAATTGCGGATCTTCGCAGCATTTGGCAGCCCAGTGCCCGGCTAGGGGACCGCGTTCCTTTTCAGGTTCGCGGAAGGTTGCACGAGCGTACAGCGCAAAACGTTCTACACCGGCCGACACGTCAAAAAACCAGTCCAGGGGGACCAGGTGAACCTTTCTGTTTCGTCCGCCTCCGGTACCCCGCATACCGCTCTATACGACGAACGTATGTCACGGCACCGGCAGCTCAAAAGCCGAGCAGCATGCGGCGGTGGGGAGTCCCCCTCAACCCTCTTCGAGAACGCTGCAGGCGGGAGTACCCGAGCAGTTGCTGCAGAAATCCATTCCCGTGCAGAAGGCCGAGCCGACACCAACCCCACGACCTGCGGGGATCGGCGACCGCGTATACTTCAACGAGCTTGCGCCAAAGAATCCTACGCTGGTGATGCTCGAGGAGCGAGCAAACGAAGTAGCGCACCGCCGATTGGAAAAGAGCACCTGGGAGCAGCGGGCGTCGATCTGGCGAATGTTCGAGGAGTTTTGCGACAAGATGGGACTCCCCGCTGTGTCGACCACCATTCCGCTCTTCCTCGAATCCCGTGCTTACAAGGGGTCCACCAAGGTGCAGTATGGAGTGACGTTGAGGACGATGCTGGATCCGACGGTGACCGCCTTAGACCAATACCTCCAGGGCATGCGGAAGGTGGCGGCGACGGAAGGTGTCAGGCACGTGGTGCCCTTGACACTCGAAGACCTCGGACGGGTCATTGCGGAGACGCCAGCGTGGCGCGACAAGGTTGTGTGGCGGCTGGCATGGATCACGGCGAGTCGCTGGGCGGAGATCGCCGGGCTCACGACGGACAATCTGCTGGTGCAACCCCATGGCAACATCATACTGGACTAGGCGGCGGTCCCCAAGGCTTCCAAGAGCGACCCCTACCGGTTCAGCCGGTATGTGTGGATCAAAGGACAGGATGCTTTCGATCTCCTGTTGTTGAAGACCCGATTGGGCCCAGGGGAGCCGCTGACGACTATCAGTACGAGTCAGGCCGCCCTAAAGTTGAAGTCACTGGGAAAGGGCTACACTGCGCACTCCATCAAGGGAGGGGCGGTGAAACACGCCATGCGTGTGTCGGGATACACGTGGAGTCCCCCCCCTCCCCCGATGTTGATCATGCAGGCTGAAGCACGGGACACTTGGTACGGGTTGACGGTCTTTCGCGAGCGGCTGCCACGTACTTTGCGCATTTTGATCGACAACACATCGGTGCTGTCTTCCATGCGTAAGGGAACGACGAAGGCGGAAGCGATGGCGTTTGAGTTGGTGCGTGTGCGCGATTTGTTGGATGCTTATCGGGTGTCAGCTACATTTCGGTGAGACCAGCTTTTCTTGTGCGCTCCGCTCTTTACGTGTGCGTGTCCCTGTGCGTGTGTGCACTCACGAGCCCTATACATCTCCTGATCGGTACTGCATTTATATATATATGGTTTCTCTACGAATATTTCCACTACTATCTCACAGTCTTCCCCACGTAGGCAAGCCGTTGACATTGTTCGCTGTTTGCGCTCCTTTATGCTCGACCGAAGAAGATAGAGGTGCGGCTCCCACAAATCGAACAGCGGTATGTCGTACGGGATGCCACGCTGATGGAGCAGAAAGGAACATTGTTGAATTGACAGAAAGCGCTTTTCCCGTGCTTCCATTGTGGTACTTGATGCTGTGGGGAAGCCTTCGTTAGAACACAAGGAGGACTTTGGCGCGTGTGGCAATGTATGTCGTCTTCCACCATTATCATTCGTCTCTCCCCCTTCCCGTCTTCAATCTGAAATTGCCCACCATTCTTCCCCAAATAATAATCGTAATAACACGCATCCATCTGCTGCAAAGACTGTAAGGTGTATATACGTCTCACAGCGGTGCCATCTCGTCTGCGGGCTGCTACGTTCAGCTTCTCCTCTCCCTTCTTCCCTACAAGTATCCTCTCCGGCGGCTTCTCTGCACTGTTGTTTCTTTCCACACCCTGCGCAGCACCACCATGACGTTCCTTTCGTTTCACGGTTTTAGCGACTTCTTCGTCTTCGTGGCGAGCGTGCTAATGGGCATCAGCTTGATTATGGGTCCGAATACGGTGAACTCGGCCCCTAGCTTCATGCTGAACTACTTCCAGTACATCTACCAGGACGAGAACGCCGTTTCGACCCATTCATATTTTTGGGCCAACGTGCTGACCTTCTACGGCGTAGTGACACAGATCACGCAGATGCTGTTGGAGCCGACCAACCTGACTCGCTTCTTCCAGCGCTTCTCCCTCCTCTTCCGTCTTGAGGCGGCGACGATGCTGATGTTGGTGGAGCTGCTGATGGTGGTGATCATGCCGCACACGTGCCGCTCCGAGAGCGGTGCCATGGCTGGCCTAATGCTTGCCGCCTTTATTGGCGGTGTGGGCCGCGCCTACTTTGAGAACACGTGCTACGCCCTGTATGGCCCCTTCCCGCCCAAGTACCTGGCCGGTGTCATGATCGGCGTGCCCTTATCCGGTGTGATTGTGTCAGTCCTGCAGATCATCCTGCTGGCGGCGATGAACGACTCCTACAACTCCATTCTGACAGAGTCCATTATCTACTTCGCCGTCTCGCTGGGCATCATCTTCGTGGCGGGTCTGTGCGTCGTGCTGCTGCTCTTCAACTCGTTTGCCCGACGCTACGTCGCGGAGTTCCGCTCCGAGCGCAGCGTGTGGGCGAACATTTACACCAACGTCAACGAGGAGCCGCAGGTGCTGGAGGCGATCCACGCGGCCGACCGCACCCTTGCCGACCGCTTGGAGGACTCTAGTAAGTCCACCGGTGGTGCTGCGGCGGAGGGCGTCAACAACGAACCGATGTCCGGCGCGGCGCAGCTGGACAGCGCGCTGGCGAACAAGGAGAAGAAGCTGGAGGGCGACTTGGACAGCGAGGAGGGTGAGTCGGCGGAGCTGCAGGCGGTGCCGAACATCACCTCCGCAGAGTTTCTGCAGGAGGTGCGGCTGTGGCCCATCGTGAAGAAGATCTGGCCGATGATGGTGGCCTGCTGGATGACCTTCATGGTGACTTGCCTCATCTTTCCCGGTGTGCTGATCGTCGTCGACGCGACGGACAACTGGTACACGACCCTCGTCGTAGCAATCTACAACTTCGGCGACGTCTTCGGCCGTCTGCTGTCCGTGTGGAAGCGTCTGTGGCCGCCGCGCAGCGCCGTCTTCGTTGCCTCTCTGGTGCGCATCATCTTCATTCCACTGCTGCTGCTGTGCGCCAAGCACGTGATTACTTCGCACGCTGCCGCGTTCGTGCTCAGTGCGTTGGTGGGTGTCTCGACCGGTTTCATTGGCACGCTGTCGATGGTGTACAGTGCAGAGACGCCCGCACTGTCAAGCGATGCGGAGCGCGCTAGCGCTGGTCAGCTGACCGGCGTGTGCATACTGGTAGGCTGCTCCTTCGGCTCTCTGCTTCAGCTGGCCGTCGTCCTAGGTCTGTAAAGGAGAAATGCACCTACAGGAGGCAGGTATCCCGCAATGAGCAGAGACAGCAGCAGCGGAGCTTCCACGGCTAGGGATTGACGAAGCAAAGCGTTGAGTAGCTGCGTCAAGAGTTGATTTAACGCACCCCCACTCCTATTCCACGACGCCGTCTTCCGTTGCTGTCCTCGCGCTTTTTTCTTGTGGTGTGCTTCCACGATTTACGTTGACTCCTGAAGGCCAGCAAACGAAGATGTGAGAGGAGTGGTGAGTGTACGTTACACCATGCGCCTGCGCGGTGTTATCAATCGTTATGGCTGTCCTCTCCTTAACAGCTCTGGCCGGGCTTCTTTTCACATTAAGTTCTTCTCTTACCTTTTTGTTTTCTGTTTGACTTACCCTCATAACTCTTCTTGTATTTTTCTACTATCCGTCTTCTAACGTGCGGGTACTTGTTTCTCTTATTTGGTGAGTGTTTTTGTTAAGTTACTTGCTTTCTTTGTCATTACAAGCATGTTGACACACACATATTTATTGATGTTTGGGTTCGAAAAATCCTTTATAAATTAATTTCGTATGCTGGTGTATTGCTTTTCCTGACTTGCAATCTACTACTACAATTTTGATCAGTGGGGGGCGAGTGACATACATTAAAGGCGTTTTCATAGTGATTCGCCTCTGTACTTCCGCCCTTCTTTAAAAGAACTATGCATCTCTGCGAGGCGCACACGCAATGACGTGTCTTCTCGTGTAAGCGGGTGGCATCGGTTTTATTTGTGTGTGTGTGCCTCCCACTCTTCTTGCTGTTCCTCCCTGTTTCCTTTTTTCGTGTATTCTTCGCCTCTACCGCTGCTTTCGTATTCAACCTCTCTTAACCTATTTTTGTTGACCCTTTAATAAGCGAGTTGAGAGAGCGCGGTGGGGTGGGAGGAAGCGGGGAAGAAGTGCCGAAGCCTTCTATTACTTTTGAAAATACCACACACGGCGGAAGCGAACTCGCATAGATTTGGGCGATCGCGTCTCCTTCTGTGTGAAGGTGTCCACGCGACACGGGCTTGAATGCGCACTCACAAGAAAGACAACAGCAGGAACCGAAATCAACCAAAATGAGGAGACCTCTGTTACGGGGCCCAACGTGTAAACCAGCAAGCAGGAAAAGAAAGAGAGCGTGATCGGACGCTTTGCTGGACTAGTGTTTCTTTGTTTCTCTGTTTAATACTTTTTTATCGTTTTCCAAGTTAGTGTCATCAGTGAGTGTCTCATTGTAGCTGCTAATGGGCAAAGATGGTGTCACGAGCGTGCCAGGTGGAACCTTCGTTCTAATTCTTTTTTCCTTTACAAGGAGGCTAAATGTGATGGGGCGGCGCAATACATAATGAAAGCGAAGAGAGCAGCACTGCGAGGTGCGACGACGAGCATAGCGTGGGAGGACTGACGGCACTCAAGGAAATCGTATTTGTGGCGACCACGAAGGAGGCCACAAGAGGGCCAGCCTGTTAGCTGCCGTGTCATGCGGTGCGAGGACACTGTCGGAGAGCGTGCTTTCCGCCGCCCCACGCCCGACCCGATCGTTGGTGCTGTGAGTATGGAAGGACGGAGCGCGTGCTTCGTGTCCCGCCTGTTTGTGCGGGCTGAGCTCGCCGGTCTCTTCGACGCAAACCACTTTTCTTTATCCTGCTCAACGACTCTTTCTTTTCGTCCGTGACGCCCATCGTCACCGCATTCCTTTTTTGCACCGACCAACATGGTCGCAGTGCGCGTGCTTGCGTGCAGAGTTGTGGTGATCCGTACACGAGAACGATTATTTATCCCCGCCGCACACGCGTATCCACATCTATATATCTATCTATCTCTGTATCTATGTTTTAATGTGCGTCAGAAATAGCAGCATTTGACGGCCACTCACCGCTTTTCGAGTTGATGCACTCCGCCTCTCCTCTCCTTTTTATTTGAAAGAGGAGTTGTGCTTTGACGTGCGCACGCACATACCCATCCACCCACGCGGAGCTCACCACAACAAAAGGAACTAAAAGACGTCCACTGCGTTTTCTTCTGTGCGGCATCGCTGGTTTGTAACGGAAGGAGAGACGCCTTTTGCGCTTCTGCCTTTCCAAGGACTACTGATTGGCCAAGGCGCACCGTGCACGGACTTCCTTAACTTCAAATACCGTTTCAGTCATCGCCCCTGTGGGTCCTAATAGTAGTGTTTTATTGCTCGTACCCAGTTGGAGCTGTTGGCGGCACCTTAGCGTGTGTGTGCGGTGCTGCTAGAAGAAAACGTTAATATAAATAACAGCGGCAGCAGTAAGCAGAGGCGGAAGCGATTCCACGATGCGGTGGTGCGGCGGTGGCACTCCGCACGTCCTTAATCCATTTCAACGAGTCCCTCGTCGTACGCTAAATCCTTCTCGTACATCGCTGTCTCTGCCACTACCACGTGCAAACCAGTCTGCACAGCCACTTGTCGTCCTCGCCTTCTTCTTTTCGCGGAAGCCGTTGTCGCTGCTCTGTGCTGCTTCGTTTCTCAGTAGTCTCCGTCCGTGTGTGTACCGTCGCACATCGGCTTTATTCCACGGAGGTGTGCTTTGGACGCGCGTGGCTTCCACGTGTAATCGGGCCGCATTAACCTCCGCTGTCTTCCCCATCGCACTGCACACGTCGGTGACACGTTATTCGTCTTCCGCCTGTGCTGGCGGCGGCTTCAGCTCCACGCGCGCTAGTCTTGGAAGTGGAGTTTTGCGCCGGCCCACGAAACAAAGCCGCGAAAGTGAAGAGGTTTTGAAAGAGATGGCGCTGAAGGACGACACACCAACGCGTCCGCGACGAGGAAGGCCTGCCGCCGCCGCAGGTAGTGACGGAAAACCAGCGCGAAAGTCAGCCGGCATCACGGTGAAGCGAAGTGCAGCCCGCACCGGACAACGCGGCCGACCGCGGGGGTCGGCGTCGGCCACTCGTACCCACATGGCTGCTGCCGCTGCGGCTACCGACTCGCGTTCACCTGCAACCGCGAAACCAAACTCTGGTCACGATGAGCAGCAGCCCCTTTTCAGCCGACACGATGAAGCCCCCTCCGACAAGGAGAATCACGGCAACAGCAGCGACGGCGACGGTGCGGAGGAGGCGCAGGATGCAGGGATGGACAACGGTCAGTACGAGCTCTCACCAGAGGCCCTCTGCTCCGAAACAAGTGCGCGTCTTCACTACCCTCGCCACGCCGTGCGCTACGTTCTCATGCAGACGAAGGAAGGTGCCACCGTGCCTTTTCTGGCGCGGTACCGACAGGGCGAAACGGGCCGCATGGACGAATCGCAGCTGCGGCAGGTGCTAGACACCGCCAAGGAGGTGAGGGAGGTCCACCGGCGGCGTCAGTTTATGCTGCGCAGTCTGGGGAGCCGGGGGCTGCTCACCCCTGCCCTGCAGGCCGCCCTCGCATCGATGGCGCACGTGAGTCAGCTGGAGGACGCGTGGGAGCCTTATAAGGAGCGCCGCACGAGTCTCGCTTCACGCGGTCGTGCCGAGGGACTGGGCCGCTACGCCGTGGCCCTTTTGCACTACAACCCCGCCGAAGAGGAATGCCGGCAGCTGCTGAGTGATTTGCGCGCCGCGGTCAGCCGCGTGGAGGACGGCGAGCGTCTGCTGACTGCCATCGTCGCAGAGGACGTGCAGCGCGGAGAGGCGGTGCGATGGCGCCTCGGCGATTACTGCCGGCGGACAACGCGGCTGACGTGTGCGGTGGTGCACAAGCCGCGCAAGAAGATCGCGAAGGACATGCAGGAGGAGAGCTTTGAGCACTTGAAGAAGCACTTTGCCTTCTATGACGGAAAGGCGTGGGCGGTTGATCGCATTGCCGCGCATGTCGTGTTGGCCTTACAGAGAGGCGAGACGAAGGGCGTGCTGCAGGTGGAGACGACGCCTGGGCCGAAGAGTCACGGGCTATTCATGCACACAGTGCGCGAGGAGTTTCCTGGTGTGGCTCGTCTGCTGCCTCCGCCAAACGGACAGGCGTCGACAGGGAATAGCAACACGAATAGTGCGGCTTCTCCCGCTGGGTCGTCAGACACGCTGCGGGACGCGGGGTATTGCCGGAGGGTTCTCCTCTCGGGCCTACAGGGTGCATATGAGTCTCTGCTGAAGCAGCTGAACACGGCGGTGCGGCGCGACTTGAAGAAGAGCGCGGAGCAGGAGGCGATCGTCGTCTTTGCGCACAATCTGCATCACATGCTGCTGCAGCGGCCCCTCTCGCACTCGCGCCTCCTCGCCATGGACCCCGGCCACACCCACGGCGTCAAGTGTGTTGTGCTCGACGAACACGGTGCTGTGGAGACCTTCTTCACCTGCACCTTGATGGACGAGGCGAAGATGCGCCAGTACGTGACGCAGGTGGTGGAGGCGCGGAAGGTGAACAAGATCGTGATCGGCAACGGCACCGCCTCTGGGGAGACGTCGGAGTTGGTGGCGGACCTCATTAAGCTGCGCAACTGGAAAGACGTGGAGTTCGCGGTGGTGAGCGAGGCCGGGGCGAGTGTCTACTCCGTCTCCGACATCGCAAAAGAGGAATTTCCCACCCTGAGTGTGATGTACCGTGGTGCCGTTAGCATCGGCCGTCGCGTGCTCGACCCGCTGAGCGAGCTCGTTAAGATTCCTGTGCGCAGCATGGGCATCGGCATGTACCAACACGATGTGAACGAGAAGGAGCTGATGAAGGAGCTGGGCTACGTGCTGGAGTCTTGCGTCGCCAAGGTCGGCATCAACGCGGTGAGTGCGAACCGCTACGTGATGGAGAAGGTCCCGGGCATTCAGAAGAAAATTGTCGATCAGATCGTGCTGGCACGACACGCCAAGAAGCTGCACAGCCGCGACGATCTCCGGCGCGTTCCTGCCATGACGGAGAGCGTCTACGAGCAAATCGCCGGCTTCTTTCGCTTTCCCAACTCCCCCGAGCCGCTCGACAACACAAACATCCACCCCGAGTCATACCTGCTGGTGCGTCGCTTGATGAAGCTGTACGCGACGGGCGAGCTCGCACCGACGGGTGTGCGGGACCGACTCGTAGTAGCAGCGGCACCGGCTCCCTCTGCGACTGCCGGCGACGACAGCAGCGCGGAGGGTGTGAGTGTCGGCGACGTCCACACTCGGCAGGACGTCGCACGTGCGCTGCAGCAGCTGTCACCGGCGCAGCTCGCCGCACTGGCCGCGCAGCGCCTCTCCTGCACCGTAGAGACGCTCGAGTTGGTGCGGCAGGAGCTGCTCCACCCAGGCCTCGATCCCCGCGCGTCTTTGCCGCACGCCGGCTTGTTGCGTCGCGAGGTGTACGACGTGCGCGACCTCCGCGCAGGCGATCGTCTCTCCGGCGTGGTGCAGAGCGTGACGATGTTCGGCGCCTTTGTGGACTGCGGCCTGCACGACTCAGTGCTGGTGCGCGGCGACGGCGTGGACACGCTGCAGGTCGGCGCGTATTTGCACAAGCGCATTCGGTTTGACTGCCTCGATCACCTGAAGCGGCCCCGCATGTTCCTGCTGCCGGACCCGGACGCGGTGAAGAAGCTCGATGCTGGTGCCCCGGGTGGGCCGCACCGTCTGCATCTGGAGTCGGAAGACCGGCTGGGCAGCGTAGGGGATAACACCACAAAGTCCGACGTGAATCTGGAGGAGTTCGACGATGATGCGGAGCCCAGCACAGCTGCAGCGAGCGTTGATGATGATGCTGTTGCCGCCTCTTCCTCTCCATCGCTCTCCGCCACCATCCTGCGCGAGCGAAAACGGCGGGCGGCGGCAGAAAGTGGGCCGTCAAAGCCCAGCATCGCCGCTCCGCTGCTGTCAGCTCCCGCGGCGTCTTCCGTCACGCCACGCACGGTCGCCAAGGCGCATCCGACCACGCAGCGAGAAACGCCTCCACTCGGTGCGAATGTGGAGCAGCGAGGGCACAAGCGGCCTCGATCGTCTTCGCCAGAGACACTGCGCACCCAGCCACACCTGAATGTGCAGCAGCAGCACCAGGGGCCGCTGTTCCTTGACCACGTGCCGGTGGCACCCCTGATGATGGCCGTGGCGAAGGGTCGTGCGGCACCGGCGACTAGTGCGATGACTGCGCGTGTGGAGCAGCACCGCATGCCGACACCAACGCCAGCGTCAACGACTGCAAAGCCTGCGGCGGTGCATGGGGAGGCGATCGATGTGGATGCGCAGAGCGAGGCGAATGGGTCGGGCAGCTCCGGCAGCGACATGGTGTTCTCCTTCTAAGGTGAGAGAGATGCGCTCAGTACGTTTCCTTCCCTTTTGCTGTCCCTCCCTTTCGTTTTTTCTTCTGAGCTGCTCTTCGCCGGCTCTCCGGCACGCTCCTGTCACGCGTGCATCGCCTGTGCGAAGACTTTTTATCGCGCTCGGCTTTCCTTCACATTTCTTAAGAGAGGACGACGACGAGAAGAAAAAAAATCCCATTCTGTTTTCTTCGTCGGTATTTAACTGTTTGTCACCGCAGAGACACCTGCCTAACAAAAAACGTCAAATAGAAAGTACTAGTAGTAAGAAGCGTGTTGCCGGTACACATGCGCCGGAGGTTAGGAGCGAATCTTCCGTTCACAAAACACACAGACGTTGACGGGATTTCTCGGATTCCTGCTGGCGTGGTGCCCGGTGGGAGTAGAACGCAGATGGCCAACTTTCGTTTGAAAAGTGAAAGGAAGAAAAAGGAGGCCTCGTATTATACTGCCTTTTCTTTTCCTTTGCTCTTTTTCATGTGAAGAAGTTCGTCGATGTGCTGCAATTTCGTTGACAACTGTATCGTGTGTCTCACCGCACACCAAAACAAAAAAGGCCAACAACTGCGAAAGCAACGGCGCTTTCATTCATTTGTGCTGCTTGAATCATTCTCCTCGTTCTCTTTTTAAATCTTAACCCCTCCCCCCTCCTCCTCCTCACGTTCGATGCACCCTGTCCATTGTATGTGCAACAACGATGCACTTTCCACCTGCGTTACCTGGCTACGTATACGCCTTCACAAACAAAAACGGATCTAGTTTTGCTTCTTCCTTCATCACACTTCTCTCGTTGGCAGCCTTTTCTTTTTTCTTTTTAGCTTTCCGATTCGTACATCAGCATCAGACACTCCTTTGCACTAGCTATCGACTTCCGTCTAGAATTGAAAAGAAGAAAAACTAAACTAAAATCTAGCGCCAATCCCGTTAAAAGTAATTTGAGTTGGCATCGCAAACAAACAATCAAAGAAAAAGCGAAACATCTCTGTCACTACCGGCTACATTTGTTTTTCTCTTCTCCTTTTTTTTCTTTCTTTTGCGTCTTCGAAAAAATTCACGTGTGCAAACACACACATACGTGAAGAGGGATGCATTCTGATCCTATGGATACGCGCGGCGGCCGTGGCGGTGGCCGTGGCGGTGATCGCGGTGGTGACTTCCGCGGCGGGCGTGGTGGTGATCGCGGTGGCGACTTCCGCGGCGGGCGTGGCGGTGATCGCGGTGGCGACTTCCGCGGCGGGCGTGGTGGTGATCGCGGTGGCGACTTCCGCGGCGGGCGTGGCGGTGGGTTCCGCGGTGGTGACTTCCGTGGTGGTGATCGCGGTGGTCGTGGTGGTGGATTCCGCGGTGGACGTGGCGGTGGCGGTGGCTTCGGCAACATGCGCGAGTGCCGTGACCGCGAGGAACACGCGATCACCCTCGCCAAGGAAAACGCGCAGAGCCTGTGCGCGGCGAGTGTGGCGGTGGAGACGAACTGCTTCCCAATTGACGTCTCGAAGGGCAAGTTCCACAACTACGTCACCTCCTTCGAGTTCCTCGAGAACGGAAAGGAGATGGCGGGCGATGGCTGGAAGATCGACTTTCAGCAGGAGCTGCTGCGTGCTATTCGCAAGACGCACACTGAGGGGCCGCCCAGCGCGACCAAGACGGGGCTGGAGGACATGTGTGTGTGCACCGGGCAGGCCATCCTCGCCCCGCGCAAGCTGGCCGTGGAGGACGGCTTCTCCATTGAGTGCAAGCGCAAGGAAAAGGAGGGGCGCAAGACGACAGTGGAGCGGCACTACCGCATCACCATCCGCTACGAGGGCGAGGTGCAGCTGCGGCTGCCGGAGCACACGCAGTGGCTGAACAAGATCCTTGCCTGCGGTTTGGGGGACACCTTCCCGGAGCACATCGGCTCCGACTACGTCGACCTCAAGTCCCGCGTGGAGCGTGGCGACGATTTGGTGACGATGGACGCCGTCTCACCCAACGTGGCGCGCATCGTGCGCCTGGTCGCTGACGGCAAGTCGACGGCGATGGACGTGCTGCAGCTTGACGTGAGCACGAAGGCCTCCACCACGAAGAAGTGCAGCGACGTTATCCAGCAGATCTCGCAGCGCAATCCGCAGAGCGCGAAGCGAGCGGTGAACGAGGTGCTTGTCGGCTCCAAGGTGACGACGATGTACGGTGAGCCGACCTTCTTGAAGGTGAAGAGCGTCGACTTCGACGTGAAGGCCGGCCAGCCGGCGAAGCTGAAGGCGAACCCGAGCGAGACCTTTGTGCAGTATTTCAAGCGCAAGTACGGCGCGACGGTCCACCCTGAGTCGCCCGTCCTGTACTGCCGCTTTGCGGATCGCTCCAAGAACGGCCGTCTCCTCCCTTACCCGGCCGACACGCTGCAGCTCAGCACGCTCAGCACGGAGCAGCTGACGAAGCTGCCGATGCTGTGCTCCGTCTACCCGGATGAGCGCATGAAGCGCGTGAAGGCGGCGCTGCAGCGCATTATGGCGTCCAAGCTGATGCAGACGGTGCTCGAGCAGTACGGTATTCGCATCGAGACGACGGCCATCGCGGCACGGGGTAGGGTGCTGCCGGCGCCGACCATCTACGTTCCAACTGGACCACAGCGCTACAGCACCATCGCGGCGGTCGAGTACACGGGACAGGCCGGCTTCGCGCTGGGCCTGAAGGGACTGCGCCACCCAGATCAGCACAGCGAGTACAGGACGCTGCTGATGGACGATTACTTCAACAGGGGCAACTTGGGGAAGTGGCTGAAGGAGTACAACGTGGCGTTGCCGCAGCCGACGGTGGAGAGGTTCACCGGACCGAAGCAGTTCAACAAGGGCGCACCGGACGTCTTCGCGATGGTGCGTCTGCAGACCAAGGATGCGGATCGCTACAACGACTACAAGCAGCGCTTCGCCCGCGACTCCGTCGTCTCCCAAATGGCGGTGACCGAGTTGACGCGCAACGTCCCGCAGATGATCACGCAGCAGGTCGCCGCCAAGATCGGTCAGCTGTGCTTCGTCTCCGACGTGACGGATGCCGGGAAGGCCTTTGCGAACCGACCCGTGCTGATCGTGAGCGCGGTCGTCGGCTCCGCCATGAACACCCTCGCCGAGAAGCACAAGACGGTGAACGCAAAGCTGTTCACCGTCGCCTTTGTGGCGTTCCTCGCCAACGCTAAGAGCTGGAAGCCGTACTGCCTGCATTACCAGGTGAAGGGCGAGGAGCAGGTGCTCTACGAAGAGAGCGACGCGGCGTCCTCGTCGATGTCGACGGCCTCCCCCGCAGGGCGGCAGCAGAACGCGAACGAGGAGCTCAACAAGAAGTTCCCCGACTTCCTGAAGGAGGTGGTCGCGCACTTCAAGTTGAACGGCAAGAACGGTAAGGGGGCGATGGTGCTGTACCGCGGTGCCATGACAGACGCCGAGGCCGGCTTTGCCTTCAACATGGAGCCGGCGATGGAGCAGGTGCTGCCCAGCTGGGACACAGCCACGCTGGTCGTGCAGCCCCGCTCGCACTTCCGCGAGTTCTGGGACCCTGCCACGTCCTTCCCGAGCGAGAAGGGCAGCGGCAGGGGCGCCCACTGCAACGTACCGCGTGGCTTCGTGACGAACGACTGTCGCATTGTATTTGCCGACGCGGATCCGAACGCGCCGGTGGAGTCCTTCTACCTCAGCGGCGCGAACTGCACGCTGGGACACGCGAGCAACACGTACTACCTCGTGCAAAACCGCTCGCCGGCGATCCCAATGGACCAGCTGCAGCGGCTGACGTACAACATGTGCTTCATGTACCCCAACAAACCCGACGCGCTGCCGCTGCCGCTGCCGATCAAGTGCGCCTACGAGTACGCACGCAAGTTCGGGTCGTTGAAGGCGGTGAAGGAGCTGCCGCCGAAGATGCGCCCTACGATGCACTACCTGTGAGGTGAAGGTGTGGCGTGTGTGCGCAAAGTCGGAGAAAATGAGAGAAAACGGTGAAGATAGAGAGAGAGAGAGAGAGAGAGAGAGGCTCTTTAAGTGGCATCTGCAAAGCGGGGCACACACATATATATGTATTTGCTTCTCTGGCAAATGAAGCACCGATGGAAGGACACTTGGTTGGGTTTGCCGTATCGTCGTACTTTGTGTGTTCTTGCCTAATGCACCGTCACCGCTACAGCAAAAAGCTCTCCCCGACCTTTCTTAGCTTTCTTTCCCTCTCCGTGTTTTCTTTCCTTTTCGTTGTTGTCTTCTCCTTCTTTTCATGCTACCTGCTGACTCCAGCCTGTGTGTAATGTATGCATGTGTGTGTTTGAAGCCATCTTACCAGCTCTCCTTCTCCATCTCCCAGAGAAAACCCGAAGATGAAAGAAGCGGAGCTCGCGCTTCGGCTGTACCAAAGAGAGTGGAAAAAACTAACACACCAACAAGCAGCGTTGTGGAGTCAAGTAGGGGGGTGGCGTTCGTTTTTTTCCTTTAGAAGTTTCCCGCAGAAGGAAATGGAAGCGGGCACACACGCCGTGTAGGATCGACGTGTGTGTGTGTTCTGCCAACACCTTTCTGGCGAAATGATAGAAGACATTGGAGAGCCACTTTTAGCACGGAAGGGTTGCATTTTACCTAACTATCTTCCTTTTTCTTTTTCCCAGATTCTCTACTATTCAAGAAGGAAAAGGCATCAGAAACAGAGCTGTCTTTTTTCCTTCCTTTCTTCTTTTTCTTCTTTTCAAATCTCAGAACTGTGAACCATCGTAGCCGATTTCTCAAAGTTGATGTCAGCGGGTATTCTCCAGCGTTACAGCATGAGCGCAGTGCGGCGCAGAGTGTTTGTTGTGCGTCAAGTCGCATGATCGAAGTGGGGGGGGGTTGTAGACAGCTTCGATGTATTATTGTTCTCTGACGTTCGCTGCGGCCTTTTTTGTTTATTGCTGCTGCTGCTACGCTTCCTCCTTCGTTTGTTTATTCCATCTGGCGGTTCGGGAAGGAAGTTTTGGTGGGACTGCCCGGAGCGCGAAGAGACGATTTTTTGGGTTTGGTTGTTGTGGTTTTCTTCTCTCGCGCGTATCTCCCGGCCGCGTCTGCTGCGTTCGTGATGGACCGCGCTTCGCTTGCTCCTTACACTTCACTTTCTCTATTCAACCCCGCTCTATTCTTTTCCTGTCATATCTATCTATCTGTCTATATGTGTGTATGTATGTGTGTGTGTGTGTGTTCTGTCGAACGACCTCTGCAGAAACACTCGTCGAAGGACGAAAACATCTAGGTTTATTCATACAACATTTATAGTGTGGCGCATTTTTTTTCTTGTTTTGATCTTCTTTTTGCTCCGCGAGCGCTGTCGTAGTGACTTATATATACTTATATATATATATATATCGCCCTACCCCCTTTCTTTCCTTCCTACTGTCATCTGAAGGTTCTTGTTCACCTTCTTTCCCAAGAAAAGAATTAAATCGAAGGCAACGAACCCACAATCAGCAACAAACAGACAACACCGAGTACTCTTATAGCACCTCCGCATCATGGGCTGCACCAAGAGCAAGCCAGCGCGTGGCGACGGGGCCAGCCCGGCGCAGAACCACAACGGGGCAGCGAGGACGCAAGAGGAGAAGGCAGCCGCAAAGCAGGCGCAGAACGAGCAGAAGATGGCGGAGCGGCGCAGCGAGAAGGAGCTGCAGATGGAAGAGCGACGCAGCGAGCGGGAGCGCAACGAGAAGCTGTGGAATAAGAGCAAGGATCCGAGGGGCGGGACCGGCGGTGCCTACCGCGCCCCCCAGCAGAAGGGCAGCGCCTACCTGATGGCCAAGTCGGACAAGGGAGAGGCGAAGGGCGGGTGCGGTGGCAGCTACGGCCACCTGAGCAGCCACAACGGTTCCCAGTACGAGATGAGCGTTGGCGCGCAGACACCGCGTGGCGGCTGCGGCGGGGAGTACCGCCGCCCGGAGAGCAACAACGGCGGCAGCCGCCGTGGCAGCCGCTACGGCAGTCAGTACGGCGGCAACGAGCGGGAGATGAGCGTGGGCGCGCAGACACCGCGTGGCGGCTGTGGCGGTGCCTACCGCAGCAGCAACTACGGTGGCAGTCGCCAGGGCAGCCAGTATGGCGGGTCTCAGCGTGCGATGAGTGTGGGGGACGGGACGCCGCGGGGTGTGTCGGGTGCGACGTACCGCCGCACAGACAATGCCAGCAACAAGGGTGACGCACCGAAAGCCAACGGCACCGCACCGAAAGCCAACGGTACCGCAGTGAAGGCTAACGGAGATAATGCGCAGCCCAACACCTTACGCCGCGTCGCCACGGAGCCGTCGGCCTCTCTGCAGCAGCCGGAGTAGATACATAAGCATATATATAAGAGCAATTCAAAAACAAAACGAATGAAAAGTCTGTCTCTCTCTCTGTGTGTGCGTGTGTGTGGGATCAAATATACATATACACATATGAAATAAAACGGATGCGTACAACTATTTCAGTGTTCTTTTTCTAATTGAAGGTCGTCCAAAATTTCGTTTTCCTATTTTTTTTTTAATTACTTCGACGCTTGTGGTAACTTGGGTTGATGAGGGCTGAGAATCGTTAGCGTTTTATGAACTATAATGCGAGCTGTGGCGGGTGCCGCTTTTGGCGCTGAGCGTCGATCTCCTTCATCAGTTTTTTTCTTCCTGTCTTGCAGGCAGAAATATGCGAAGTGAGGGCAATATATAAAAATTTGAAAAATAAAAGAAAAACGTTCACCGGCAACCTGCGCTTTTTGCACAGCGTCTATTATCACTCATGTGCGCCAGGAAAGGAAAAAAAGAAATGAGAAAGAAGAGAGTAAATCTTTTCCCTTCCTTTTCTCTTTGCGTTCTCTCCTGACAGGTGACTGAAAATAAAGGGGAAAAAACACACAGTCGGAGAGCTGTGGTGAGAGATCTGTTTACCTTGCCGAGAAGTTTTTGCTCCTTTCAACTGGCGGTCTGACTTGGGCCGCCTGGTACGACATCGCTCCGTCTCATGCCAGCGTGCTGTTCAACGTACTTTTCTTCAACAGCTGTCTTAAAAAGAGTTATTATCTTAATTGCAATGCCACCTGAGCATCTACCTAATTTGAAAACGACATTATTTTTACTTGGTGCTTGCTGATGGCTTCTCGTTTTTCTTTTTTCTTTTCTGTGTTCGCGCGTTCGTATTTTTCCCCTTTTCTCATGGTGCAGCTCATGCGCGAATATCTGCTCTCTTGTTCAATGGTGTTTCTTCCTTCTCCATTTTTCTTTTTCTTCTTCTTTCAATGCTAAGCATCCACAATCAAAAAAAAAAAAAATACATTTCCTTCCTCTTTTACTATTTGTACGTCCTACTTTGTTCTCTCCGTTGTTTCTTATTATTATTTGGCTCCTTCTTTCCTTCGCTTTCGACTTTCCTCCTTGAAACACCAAAAATGCTTGTTCAACAACAACAACAACGGGATCCAGACGAGTAAAAAAGAAAATGAATGAAAAATTGAATGAGCGAGGGAATAGAGGGAGTCGAGGGTGTCTTTGGTATAATTACTACTAATATTGGTTTTGCTTATTGCGCGATTTGCGGTTTCCTCCCCCTTCTCTCTCTCTCTCTCCCTCTTTTTCTTGTTTTTGTTTTCTTCTGCTCACCGAACACACACAAAAGGTTCCACACGTGCAGGCGCGACGAACAACGATCTGCCAAGAGTCACTGCCAGCAAATCCCGTGTTCCTCTCTCCGACTCTCGTCGTGGTCCTTCGTTGACAGAATTTGTTCGCCGTCGAGTGCTTTTACTGCCAGTACTGTGGTTTCTTTTTGTTTTCGCCTTTCAGGTGCACTCCACAGCTTCTGTTCTTGTAATTATTATGTACTTTCAAAAAAAGGAAAAATCCTTCCTCCGTTTTATTTCACTTGTGCGTCTTCTCTCCTTTTCATGTTAGCTTACTCATTTTTCCTACTTTTTCCTACTTTTGTATTTGTTTTCTCAAGCTTTCATGTAAGCGCCTCCCCTTTAACCCTGCGTGAGCGTGAGCGTGACGCAGATGTTGAAGGGAGGAAAAAGGACAGAATAAAACGAACTTTTCTTTGTTTTCTTCGCATATCTTTCTCACACATAAATCGTTGTTAAAGTCGTACCCGAACCACATTTGCTTTCCCCTTTTCGCTTCTCCTCTTAAGTGGGTGTTGTCTCTCTCTCTCTCTCTATCTCCATTGATTTTTCTCTCGCTTCGGACGCCTGACTTGTTGTCATGGTTCTCTATCTGCGTGTGTGTTGGTGTATGTATGTGTGTGTGTGTCTGTGTTGGTGTGAACGGCGAGGACGTCGCGAGCAGGTGTGCCATGGACGCAAAAGAAAAACAAAAACTATGCACGTGAGAAAACAGGGCGGCCCAAAGGCGGAACATAACGTTCGTTGATTCGTAAAAGTTCTGGATTCTTCTATGCGTTGGATGCCATCTTGTCTACCAGAAGATCAGTTAAAGATGCGCTTTCACTCAATGATTATCCTCTCTTTTCTGTTCAACTAGTTCAAATCTTGGGGAAAAAAGATAGTGGGTTCTGTGTCTCATCACACGCATGCCAACGACCATTGCTGGCGTGGAGGTGAACCAAACAAATACCTTCAAATATATGTTTTGTACGTAAAGCGCCAAGCAACTTCAACCGTGAACAAGCGAACAGCGTCGCGAGAACGAAGCGAGAGTTGGCTGGACCCGCTGGGCTTACAAGAGATTCGGACGCTTCTGCTCCTCGACGCGATTTCCCCAGGCCGTCGAGTACACACACACACACGAATAAAAAAAAACCAATGTCATTCAACGTATGCTGCGTCACCAAGTCTTCTGTTGAGGTCGTCTTCGGCTATCTCTTTCTCTCCCCTCCCCTCTCTCCCTACCTTTTTTTTTTTAAATCAACGAACGCTTTCAAATAATAAAAATATGTCGCATTCAAACAAACAAACCATTATTATGGCAAATGATTCTCCTCACGCCGGCAGAGTTTAACAGCTTCTTCATCATTTATCATCATTACTGTCGCTTTCCTCTCTTTTTTCTTCGTGTTTTCTACTTTGTTTAACACATTTGTGAAGATTTTTTTTTTGCTCTGTAAAGTCTTCCAGAAGTTTCGACCATCTCTTACCAGCTCCTCGCTCCACCTCGCGCGTAGTCTCCTCTTCAAAAAATAATAAAAAAGGAATTTACCCCTTTAACCCTTTCTTTTCCGTTTCTCTCTCTCACTTCACCCGTCTACAAAAAAAAACCAAAAGAAAAATGTCAGGTGATCTTCAGATTTACTCGTGGGACGAGATCGCGAAGCACAGCACCGAGGATGACTGCTGGGTCGTCATGTACGACAAGGTGCTGGATGTGACGAAGTTCCTGAACGAGCACCCGGGTGGCCTGGACCCGCTGAAGGACATGGCGGCGCAGGACATCACGAGCAGCTTCGAGAGCATCGGCCACACCAGCACGGCACTGGTGAAGAGTAAGACGTTCATCATCGGCCGCACCGACCCCGAGGATACGAAGCGGCGCAAGGCAGCGGCGGCGCAGAGGGCGTCTGCGCCGGCCCCGCGCTGGTCGGACACGAAGCCGGAGGATCTGCGCAAGTACGCCGACGGCGGCGGCATCATCCCGCTGTGGGTGCTCGTTGCCGTTGCGGCGATCATTCTTGCCATCATTGTGTACCTCTTGATGTGACGTGAAAAGAGAAAGCTTTCTTTTATTTGGGCTCGACACACAACGAAACAGAGCAGAGGAACTGTAAGAAGAAGACGAAGGACTACGGATGTCCGTCGCTCTTGACGCTCTTTAAATGCTGTCCCCTTCTTTTTTTTCCCGTTGTTTCTTCATGTTCTCTTGCTCTTTGTTTTCTCCTTTCTTCATCAGCTCAAAATACGGGGAAATGCGGGTGTGAATGATTTTTTTAGTTTGATTTTTTGTTTTGTTTTGTTCTACGCCTCTTAATGCCCGAACAGCACGCAAAAAAGAACCCTCTATCTATCTATCTATCTATATACCTAACACACTTACGAAGATAAAAAGGGAAAAAAATATAAGCTTCTACGCCTACCTGAAATTCGGTTCACGTGCATCGACTTTTTTTTTTTTTTTAAAGTTCCTCTCTGTTTTTGTTCGAGGGAGAAAAGAAAGGGTAAAGGAAATCGGGCATACTCCTCCTTCGTTAACCACACGACACAAACTTTTTGTTTTTAATCAAAAATACAAAAGAAGGGCAACGTCGAGTTCAATGAAATAAACTCTCTTTCTAACGCTTCTTTTTTCTCTCTATTTTTATCACGCCTTTTCCATTATTCACTTATGAGAATTTAATGTTTTTGGGTTGTGTGTTTTGAGTTGTGGCTACCTCGAAAAAACCAGAAAGAAAAAAACTGTGGCAGCTGAGATAGAACGGAAAGCTATTATAAGAAAGAAAGAAAGAAAAAGGCAGACGAAAGCGAACAATCCCCAGCTGTATTCTTTCCTTCCTTTCGACTTCCGGTCAATGTGCTTTTGATGGTTGTACGATTTGGTCTTCTAAACTCAACGTGGTAGCGTCTACGCAAATGTGTGCGAAACAACAACAGAAAAAAACTTATATAATGCGAGAGCGGGAGACGCTCGCCGGTTTATTATTATTATTTCGGTTTTCTTTCTTGGTATTGTTCTCTTCTGAGTCGCCTCACCTTTACTCGGTGTTGCGGCCGACGTTTTGCCTTAAAAAAAAACAAAACAAAACAAAAAAAAGGCGCAGTTTGGATAACCTGCATTGGTGTGCTTTTTCTAATGTTTTCTTTTCCATTTTCGTTCCCTTTTTTTCCATTCCAAGTGTTGTTTCCTTCTTTTTTTTTTTTCTTGTCTTTCCGCTGCCCGCGTTGTTCTCCCCCGAGCCGGTTCTTAGAGGTCACCGCGCCCCCATCCAAAGAACGATCGGGCAAGCAACGGGTGCGAGCGAAGGAGAAACAGAGCGGCGATTTCACGTTGAAGTACCCCTCGTTAGATGGTGTGTTCTTTCCTCCTTCCCCTCGTCGGTGGTTCTTCACTTTCTGAGGTGTGGCTGGCGAAAGACTGTGGGAAAGAAAGAAAAAAAAATACGGAAAGTAAAAGTTGAAGTGCTCGTCGTGTGGACGCCCCCACCCTTTTTCTCTGTTCTTCTTTTTCCTTCAAACAAACAATAAATTGGTGTTGCTGAGGTGGGACGAAATACAACAGCAAAAAGCAAAGGCTTACATCTCTTCCAGCGGGAGATTTCAAAGCGAGTGTGAACCGCCGTGCAAAAGCGGATATTCAGGTCAGGCTAGATGTCATCAAAAAAACAAAAGTAATAATAGAAGCATAATTGGGCAAAGCAACCGTGCGTTGCGTGGACGGCTTCAATAAAAAGAAGAAGCCTTCCGTCGCTTTCGTTGGGTGACTTGTTCGTTATGGCTCCCTCCATTATTGTAGCGCCCTGCATGCCCCACCACAGAGGGGAGATGGAAGAACGGCACCGGCCGTGTTCCTCGTGTCTGCTCGCCACGGATTGCGGGACACTGTGAAGAGCGGGGGGCTGAAATGCGGAGGTGGGGACTCCTCCAAAGAAGAAAGAAACGTATCCGTACCTTAAGTTGAGCGCTGTCTCACTAACACGGAATCGAACTGATTCTGCGGGGATCGTGTAGGAGGTAACAGAGGAGCTGGGGGATTTTTTTTCCTCTTCCATACGGTTGCATCTCACGATTGTTTTTTCAAACTTGGTCCGCGGACCTCGCACACTGCACCTCTCTCCACCCCTCTCCCTCTTTTCTCTTTTCTCTCTTTCTTTTTGTTCTACACTCCGGCGAAAAGTACCCACCTCCCCGTTCTTTAGGGTTTTCCAATAGTGAATAGGCAGACGAAAGGTGGCGGGAAGAAAGGCAGCAGCAGCGGCGGCAGGTATACATACAACTGCGTATTAGTAGAGCATTCACTAAGCAAGCAAACAAGTGGAGAGAGACGGCGTAAACCTGGCTGATCTCCCTGCTTTACTGTTTCTGGGTTTTCCCCCCGCGGCGTGTTCTGCGAAACGAAAGTATTATCTAGTAAAGTCAATTCTCCTCTTTTCTTTTTTCCTTGTTGTGCTGATCCTCCGGTCAAACACTCTGGAGACACCGAGGTTTTTCTTTATCTAAGCGAGGGTTAAAGGAAAAAATAAAGAGAAAGTGTATATTTCTTTCGCGCAACTCTGCGTCTATCACGTTTGACGTGTTGACGCACACAGGCGCGCTTTGCTATCGATTATTATCACACGGCTCAGCCACAACATCGCTTTACACCACCCCAAAGGCAAACAAACAATTCAACCAGCATGTTCCGCACGTCGCTGGCACGATCGTTGCTGCGCCGCGCGACGGCACCCAGCAAGAGAACCACCGTCGCCGCCGCCACCGCCGCGTCGCTCTGCTTTCCGCGCAAGTTTGAAAGCACCATTGCGAAGGGTGGAGAGGAATTGGCGAGCACAGCAACGGACACTCCCGCTGCGAACGCACGCGCCACGGCAGCCACCGCCACGGAGCCGCCGCTGCGCGCCACGCCGGCCGAAAAGGCATCTCCACCCTCCAAGCCTCACGGCATCGACTACGCCAGTCTCTACGCGCACCACCCGGTCGACTACGAGCGGTCGACGACGCAGGCCCCGAACATCCTGCGCTTTCCTGCTGACGTGTCGAACCCGGCCTTCCAGGAGAACATGCGGCGGATGGAGGGCCTCGTCGAGCAGCTGCGGGCGCGTGTGCGCTACGTGCAGGCCGGGGGTGTCATTTCAGCGGAAGAGGCGGCCGCAGCGGGTGTGTCGCTCGACTCCAAAAAGGCAGACGATCTGGTCCGCACGTTGCACCTCAGCCGAGGAAAGATGCTCGCACGGGAGCGGATCGAGAAGCTGGTGGATCCCGGCACGCGCTTCCTTGAGCTCTCACAGCTGGCCGGCTGGGACCTCTACTGGGACGAGAAGAGTAAGTCCTACGAGCGCTGCTACAGCGGCGGCATCGTGACCGGTGTGGGGGTGGTGAGCGGAGTGCGCTGCATGATCGTCGCGAACGACGCCACCGTGAAAGGGGGCACCTACTACCCCATCACCGTCAAGAAGCACCTGCGAGCGCAGAAGATCGCGGAGCAGAACCACCTGCCCTGCATCTACGTCGTCGACAGCGGCGGTGCGAACCTCAGCCGCCAGGACGACGTCTTCCCCGACGAGCAGCACTTCGGCCGCATCTTCTTCAACGAGGCGAGCATGTCGCACAAGAACATCACACAGATTGCGGTGGTGCTGGGCAGCTGCACGGCCGGCGGCGCCTACGTGCCGGCGATGGCGGATGAGGCGATTCTGGTGGCCCGTACCGGGACGATCTTCCTCGGGGGTCCGCCGTTGGTGCTGGCGGCGACCGGTGAGGTGGTTACCCCGGAGGACCTCGGCGGCGCGGACGTGCACTGCCGCGTCAGCGGTGTAGCGGACCACTACGCGACGGATGACCTGCACGCCCTCTACGTCGCCCGCCGCTGCGTGGCGAACCTGAACCTGCGGCGCTGGAATGAGCGGCGCAACCCGACCGACGTGAAGCCGGTTGCCCCGCTGTACGACCCGAAGGAGCTGGGTGGCTTTATTCCGGATATGCTGGCCGCCGTCGTGAAGAGCTTCGACGTGCGTGCCGTTATCGCCCGCATCGTGGATGGCAGCCACTTCGACGAGTTCAAGGCCCTATACGGCACCACGCTGGTCTGCGGCTTCGCACACGTGGAGGGGATGGAGGTGGGCATCGTCGCAAACAACGGCATCCTCTACTCGGAGTCCGCGCTGAAGGGGGCTCACTTTATTCGACTGTGCTGCCAGCGCAACGTCCCGCTTCTCTTTCTGCAGAACATCACGGGCTTTATGGTGGGGAAGAAGTACGAGGAGGGCGGCATCGCGCGGAACGGCGCTCGCCTGGTCACTGCTGTGGCGACGGCAACCGTGGCGAAGATCACGGTGCTGATCGGTGGCAGCTACGGCGCCGGCAACTACGGCATGTGCGGACGCGCCTTCGAGCCGCGGTTTCTCTTTATGTGGCCGAACGCACGGGTGAGCGTGATGGGCGGCAACCAGGCCGCTACCGTGCTCGCCCTCACGGACCGCCGTCTGAAGAACGCGTCGGCGGCGGAGGTGCAGGCTTTCAAGGACACGGTGAAGGAGAAGTACGACAGGGAGGGCTCGTGCTACTACAGCACGGCGCGCCTGTGGGACGACGGGGTGATTGCGCCGGAGGACACGCGTACGGTGGTGGCCGAGGCGCTGCGTGCGACACGGCTGGTGCCAACCACGAACACGGAGCAGTAACGAAGTGATGAAAAAAGAAAAAGAAAAACAAGACCGCGCGTGACGCTGCGCGTGCGTCGGTGCGTGAAAGGCTGAGAGGCAGAGGGGAAAGGGGACTAGTAAGCTCTGCAGCACTTGCCGTGCAGTGTGGGTCCATGCTTTCTGATCGGTGTCTTTTCCTCCGTTTTCCGCCGTTACACGCTCGTCAAGCGATGCTTCATGAACGACTCGATCTATCTCTCTATATAGAAGAAAAAAAGAAAAGAAATACCTGCTCTCGTAGTAGCGATGAAGAAGATGACGTAAGCTTCACGTCTCCTGAGGTGATTTCCACCTATCTCCTTGGCCAGCGCCACCTATGAAGGCGACCGGGGAAAGCCACCTGTCAATCGGCATTACCCATGTATATATATGTATATATATATATGTCAAAGCAACTGGAATGCAAGGAGCGGCATTATCACTTTACGTAGCCTATGTGCTGACTCACCTTGACGTACGTAAATGGTGTGCATTGGCGCGTTCTCACCAACGTGCGGAGCGCACCGTACGGCACCTTCATTGGGACTTCCTCTGCTCCAACCGCGCTGTTCCCCTTTCCTTGGAAAAAAAACTTTTCTCCTCTTGTCTTCGTTCTGTTGCTGGAGTAGTGAAGCGCCACAGTGGTTTTTCTTTTTGAAATCTCTACTTAGAAAAGGAGAGCTTACAGAGGAAGAGACACGTCCGTTTCTTCTGGTGCTTTACACCTCTCTTCTACTTCGAGCCGCAGCGCGTTGCTGCGTGAGCGACTCCGCCGTAGGACCGAAGGACGTACACGCACGCACACACATCTGCAAAAATACCTTAATTGAAGACGCACACGAGCCTCCATGTCGTCGACTCTTGGCATGTTCGCCGCCAAGCATATCGCCTCTCCGAGTGGGTTTGTGCAGTGCAGCGTGCACAACGTGCGCCGTAAAGCGGACTGCTGCGAAATGAAGCCTGTCATGAACGCCGATATGGAGGTGATCGACTATGTCTGCGTGTGCAAGCCGGCCTTTGCGTGCAAGTCTGCCAGCGAGCGCAACAACAACTTCAATATTAATGCTGCCAAAGGGGTAGCTGATGAACAGCGAAGCGGCAGCGGCGCGCCAGTCGTGATTGACGCGAGCAGCACGCACATGACCGCTGGCCAACAGCACCGCGGACACACGGGAACGTCGATCAGCGCTGGTGCCGGCGGCGGCAACGGTGGCGGCGGTGATGGCGACAGTGCTGACGTCGCGACGCTCTTTGCTGTGTCATTCTACGGCGGGAGCTCCACCGCACCGGCAACCACCGCTCCCACCACGACCGCGGCTGACACGGGGAGCGAAAAGCGACGTGATGGCGAAGGCGATCACGACAGCGACGTCGATGCTCACAGCGACGTAGACAGCGATGCCTCGGCGGACAGCATGCAGCTCACCTTTCCTGCTCCCCCACACGCCGCCGACACCACCGCGGCTGGTGCGGTGAGCGGGGCTGGCGGTCCACAACCGGCCGCCCACCGCGCACGTCCACGTTACTACGATCCGGCGCAGAACGCGGGCGGCGGTGGCGGCAACGGTGGCGGCCACTCTCACCTGCAGCCGAGAAAGGTCTGCTGGAACTGCGGGATGCCGGGGCATGAAAAACCCGCCTGCCCCAACACGCTCTGCCGCACCTGTCACCAAAAGCGCGGACCGTACGGTACCCCGCACCGCTGCGCGCCGGTCTTCGAGCCCTCACCTTTTATTGTGCCGCCGACGCCGAGTGCGTGGAGGGCAGAGACGTCGCGGCCGTGCGTGCCCGGCGAGCCGGAAGGCATGTCCGCCGTTCGCTGCGTCGCGTGCGGCAAGAATGGGCACTTCGATTGCTCTCTGGTGGTCAGCAACGCTGGCGCCACGTCGTCATCGTCGTCGCTGCCGGCCGATGCGGTGCCCCTCACTACGCCCTTCACCTGCTGCTTTTGCGGCGTGCGGGGCCACACGGTGTTTGAGTGCCGCCAGCGTGACCGCGTGCATCCCGATCACTTTGAGCGACGCCATCAGCTGGTTGCGGAGAGCAAAGCGACCGGCGGCGGTGGTGGTGGAGGCGGCGGAGGCAGTTATAGCGGTGACAGTAATTGGGGACAGCAGCCGCAGCAGCAGCAGCAGCCAACGCGGTCATACGGCGGCCCTTTTGGGTCTACGTCATCTGGCAACACCCGCTACGACAGCTACAACAATAGCAGCAGCAGCGGCGGCGGCGGTGGCGGTGGGCATCGTCGTGACCGCACCTGGAGGGACGATGATGGCGGTCACCGCGGCGGCTATCACCATCACAATGGCGACAGCAACAACGACGGAGACCGGCCGCGGCGCCGCTACGAGGGACCCCCTCTGCAGCGACGCGAGGATACTCCCTACTCGACGACCTCCTCACGCCACTACACGCCTACCGGCAACAACAACGGCGGCAATCGTTTCCGCAGTCCGCCGCCGCCGTCGTCGTCGTACCAGCAGCGAGATCGCTCGTCATTGTACAGCGGACAGAGCCGCGACCGTCGCGAGGGCGGTGACGAGCCAGAAGGCCGACGCTACAACGACCGCTATGCTGCTCGTGGCAATAACAGCAATACTAGCGGTGCTGGTGACCATCATTATGGCCGTCACGACTCACGCAGCGGCGGACACCGACCGTACGGTGGACTCCATGAAGACCGACAAGACAGCCGCCGACGCGAAGAGCGCAGCGGTGGCCACGGCAGGCGTCGAGCAAAGAACCGTGACTACGACAGCAGCGATGATTTGTTTTAACTTGGTGATCATAAAAGTTGGATTTCTTTTTTAAAGTATTCGCGACGACGAGAAGGCCGAGATCTTTTTGGTGTTCTCGCCCGCCGGCGAAAGGAAAAGAAAAAAAAGGTAAGTGACGGAAACGGTAAAGGCGATAGAACGTGGACGCGGCACCATGAGGCGCAACGCAGACAAAGGTGACGTACCGCAGTTGTGTCGATCTTACTATTATGATGATGGTTATGAATGTACTCATGAAGAGGAAAACGACAGCAGAGCAACAAGCATTACGTATCGGTTTCCTCGGCGTTGATGTTCAGCAGCAGCAGCAGCAGCAGCAGCAAAAGCAGCAAAAGAAGGAATAGACACTTCCAAATCGTGTGTGACGACACCTGAACGATGTATTCGATTGCGTTATAAGTATTATCATTTCTATTGATACTGCGGCAGTAGCTCAGCAACGCCTGTGGTTTTTGGTTCCGCTGCGTGTGCGGGTATTGCAGCGCAAACGCGTGTGCGTGTGTGCGCACACGCATAAAAACGGCTAGCTGCACAATTTTTTTTCTTCCTTATTCTCCTTTGCCTCGCTCAGCCTTCCCTCTCTTGGACGTATTCCTTCGGATTGCTGCACTCAGGGGTGTGTGTGGAATACCCACGCATGCGTTTATCTTCCCCGCTTTTCCCTCTCCCCTCTCCACTTCTCCTTCTTCAACCCGAAAGCGTCCACGCGTATTCCCTTGATGTTATTTATCACTGCGAATTGCCATCTTTCTCCAGAAAATCACGAGCACAACAGCACCAAAAACAAAAAAAGAAAACTGAAGAAAACTAAAATAAAAATAATTTCTAAAACACACTTGTTTCCTGCACATTCCCCCCCTCTCCTGTCTCTCTCTCTCTCGAACGCGCGTCAGATCTTTTCGCCAGATCGTACAGTCGCACACTCGTCAAACGAAAGCGAAGCCACTATCCATCAAATACGACCAAAAGAAAAGAAAAAATATAGCGGAGCCAACGACTATAGCTCCCAACTATTTTGTCTTGTCTACATTTTGTTAAGATCGTGAAATCACTTTGTGCTTTTTCCTATCTTCCTCAACAAATCGGTGAAAAAAGAAATATATTAAAGAAAAAAATCGTGTTAGAACAGCAGCACATTCCTTTTTTTTTCTCTTTCCTTGTTGCGGCTCCTCTCGGTGGGATTTGCGGCGAAAAGAGTGGTCTCATCTCGTCTCGCACGTTCTTGTCCTCCGACAGTGTAGAAAGTGGCCTCTCTTCTCTTCTCTTCCTTTTTTTCTTTTTCTTTTTCATCTCTCGTGTGTTTCTTTCTGCCTCTTCCTTTTGGCCTGCTTTCTCTTCTGCTAGCTTTCCCCCCTCCTTCTTTCTGGAGCTCTGTCCCCCTCGTTTCTTTTGTTTGTGTTGTGATTGGTTGTGTGTGTGTGTGTCTCTCTCTCCAATTTATTATCATTATTATTATTGAAAGTGCTTCTCCTTCCCCCACCCCCTCCTTCCTCTTCCTCTTGCTTTTCTCTCTCGTTCCGTGTACGTAACAGAGGCTTGGACATGAAACACGGCTCCTTTGCTTTTCGTTGACGCCCAAAGGCAATCGTTATTATCATTTCATTTTTTTTTCTTCTTTCCCCTGTTGTTTATCTTTCCTTCTCGCGATCTTTCGGACATTAAAATTCCTTTTTCCCTTTTCTCTCCTTTTATTTTTTGATACGTTTCTTGTTTGTGGATTGTTTTTGATTTTGCTCTCCCTTCCAATTGCACGCTCCGCTTTTCTTTCTTGACACATTTTTTTTTTGCCCTGTTGTTTGTCTTAACCTTCCCTTTTGTTTTTGTCTTTGTTTGTCCACGTTTGGTGTCGCAATCGATAGGCTAAATCTCTTCTGACGATCATTATTATTATTATCTAGTATTATCTATTACTACTATTGCTGCCCTCTCTCATACCTAGAGAGTGTGTGTGAGCGCGCGTACCGGGCTTTCTTTCTCTCCTTATCAAAAAAAAAAGGAAAGAAGAACACGAGAGAGAGAGAGGAAGAGAACGCCGCTCCGTAGATTAAAGTACATACACATACGCCACGTATCCCTAACAGTAACAAAAAGCCGTAAAAGAGAAAAACTGTTTTTGTTGTTGTTCCAGACGGTTTCTCTTGTTTGTCTTGACTATTCTTCCCTATTGTTTTCTCGGTGTTTTGGTTTAACGTTTTTCTTTGCTGTGCGTGTGTGTGTTATTTGTTCTCCGCGTTGCTTGTTTTTCTCTGTCCCTCCCTCTTAACGGCCATCACTCACTCACCCACTCACACCAGGAGTGGGAGGAGGATTGCGCTGCCCCGTGTGGTTTTATCGGCATCTGACAACCTGCTCGATAAATACATATATATATATATATATATATATATATAAGTAAGTATATATGCATGTATCTTTGCTTTTACGGCCCTTTGTTTTCGTGACCCAAGTAAAAACGGACCTCCCCGGAGAGAAACCAAAAAATTACCGAGGAAGAAAACCGCAGTTCCTCTTTTTCCTTTTTCTTTTTTTTTTCTCGTTTGATTTCCATCACTATGGAAAATCTCAACGGCCACAGCGACGACGAGTTGGCTGTGTGGACCACGTCGTTTGCTGGCGGGGCAGACCCTACTCCGCGCTCCCCACACGAGCCGCAAACGCAGCACCGGCAGTACTCTCAGGGCCCCAGCAGCCAATCTCACTGCTTTCAGACGTCCCAGCTCGCTTTCCTCTCCTCGAGTGATGACCGTCCGCCGGCCACACCGCATTTTCTGTCCGACTCCATCGAAAGAGAGACCACGCCGCAGAACAACACGGTAGCGCCCGCACCCCCCTCACTGCCACAACCCGCAAAGCAACCGCCGCCACCGCCGCCGCCGCCGCAGCAGCAGCGAAGTACTGAGGAGACACCGCTCCCCATCAAAGCCACCCGCAGTCCCATGAACAGCCACCCGCACAACGGCGAGGTGCCGACCTTTAAATACTTCTCCCCCTCTTCCTTGTCGTCGGCGCTGCCACGCCCCAGCAAGATTACACCGGCCGCCGTCGCTGCTGCGGCCGCAGGGATGCTTCCCCTCTGCACCTCCCACCCATCCGGCACGAGCGACACCGACATGGAAGTGAAGGGAGAATGCTTGGAGGACTACTTGAAATTACAGGACGACGATGAGGTGGACTGTGCGGAGGGCAGCACCACCTACCCTGGTCGGCAGACATCGGACTTGGTGCAATCGGGCTCGCAGCAGTCGCAACCATCGCGCACTAACGGCCGCAGCTCGCTGTGGGTGAGCGACCTGTGCGACATCGCAGGCGACGTCAGCAGCTGCAACAACAACAGCAAGAACAATACAAACATGAGGGACTTCAACGGCATGCAGTTTGCCCGCTCCCCCTGCACGCCGATCGAGGTGGATACGATGAACACGGGGAGCTTAAGGATTAATAATAACAACACCACCTCGCCTGGTGCGCACGCCGGTGCGACGACGGCGATGGCGGCACGACTGTGCGCCGGTCCTGTCAAGAAGGCTCAGCCACCGCCGCTGAGCGGGTTCGCGCCTGTGGCGGTGGTGACGCCCGGCTCGGCTCCGCCCGAGAACAAGGCGAACAGCATCAGCGCGAACAACAGCGTTTACTACGCGAATACCAATAACACCACGATCGACGGCGGCAATCGCGTGTGGAGCCACCGCAGCACCACCCCGCAGCCGCTATCCCTCGCCTCCTCCTTGAAGGTCTCCCCGTCGTCGCACAACTACGGATCGTTTGGCCTGGTGAACGAAGAGCGACGGCTGAAGGAGGAGCTGCATGCTCTGCGGCAACGCGTTTGTGAGGCGGAGCAGCGGTTGAGTACGGTGCAACGACGCATTGCGGAGTCGTCCCTCAACGGCGGCGGTGTTCCTCCTGCCGCTGGCCCTGCTGGTGGCGGCGCGACGGAGTTGGAGACACAACGCTTTTATTCACAGCCGCCTTTGCAAGCGGCCGCGAAGGTGATGCCGACCGAAGCACGACCGCCGGAGGTTGCAGCCACAGGAGCAGCAGCCACAGCGGTACCCACACAGGGCGTGTACATGGTGTCCACTGCGACGGCGCCGCGCTACGCTCTGGGCGCTCCTGCGATGGAGCTGCGGAGGACGCCACCACAGCAACAACAGCTGCAGGTGTTACCGTCCTCCATGGCATCAAAGGTGTACGTGGCGAGCGCGCCGCCCTCCACCGCCGTCACCATGACGCGGCCCCCTTCGACTGACTCATCCCGGCTGGCCGGCAGTGGGATGACGTACATTGTGCAGAACGGCACCCCTTTCGGCGTGTATGCGATACCGTCGACTGGGACGCTGGTCGATGCGGCGGGGAACGCGATCCAAGCAAACGGCGTCTACCCCCCTTCCACCACAACGAACGCCACCTCCACACACAGCACCACTGCCGCTGCGGCTGCCGTGCTGTCCACCCCCTCACCAGCGGGTGGGTCGACGATGCAGGTGGTCGGGACTCAGTCCTATATGGTGAACAACCAGCCCACGATTTGCTACATGGTGTTGGCTCCGCAGACCCCACAGCAGTCACAGCAGCAACAGCAGCAGAAGTTGACCCCTTCGGTGTCCCCACCAGAGTTCGGGAGCCACAACAACAATAGCAGCAGTAGTAATGGTGGTGTTGGTGGCAACATACACATGAAAGGTGCGACCTACACGCACGTGCCGGTTCTCCCCACCGCTCCCACCACCGCTACCGCCACGGCGACGGCCAAGACGCAAGAGGTGCTGCCGAGCTACCCCCATGTCGTCATGGTAGGCCCAGCGAGCAACGCCGAGCTCACACGGAAGTGTTTCAACGTGCACGGCTCCATGATGGGCGTCGTGCCGTACTTCCCGTACGACGAGGGCGCACCGCCTGCGCCGACGGCCACCATCCTCACTGCGGTGGCGACATCATCGCCAGGTGCGAGCGTGCCGGGACAGTCGATGAGTGGGGCGTGCTGGTCTATGCGGTCGGGCGTCAACGGCAACGGCGGCGGCGCTGATCTGGTCCTCGGCAACAGTGGCCACTCGCACGACGGCCTCACGACCATGAACGACTCGAGCGTCGTGCCGCCATGCTCCTGTGGCAGCAACACACCACCCAACAACGCGAAGAGCAGCACCACACCCACGACACCCGGTGACCCCTCCACGGCACCCGTGCTACCCATTTTCATTCAGATGTTTCCATGTGAGCTGCATGACCGGGCGAAGGTGCTGAATCGAGTGATGGAGGCAACGTGCGGGCGTGACTTCGGCGTGGTGCAGCGCATCGAGCCCCGCTCGGAGACGTCCTTCATCGCCCACGTCCGCACGCACCACATGTGGCACCTCATCTACAAGCTGCGCTGCCGTGTGCTGATGGACCGTTTCGGCTTCTGGTACGCCGCGGACTTGGATCAGTACATCCGCATGAAGGAGTACTGTGAGGGCGTGCGTCGCCTGCCACAGCAGACCCGTCACTTCCAGACCGACGGGCTGCCGTGCATGCCCCTCGTTGTGGAGCTGTCGCGGGCGGTGGAGAAGGCGGTCGTGATGGAGAACAACGCGCCGCGCACCTTTGACGAGATCGTTCCGATCGCTGCCGTGGACCGTCACCGCACCCGGCTGCACTCCACCACCACCGCCTCAACGGGGACGAATGGGTCTACTATGCCCAACACAGATGGCAGAGGCGGCGCCGGAATGGGCTTCGCACCGGCGATGATGCCGCCCGCCGGGGGCTTTGCGGAGGCGACCACGACAGGCGGGGAGAACACCGCAAACGCCGTCATGATCGGCAGCAACATCGGCAATGGCAACTCCGCGCTGGTGCTCTCCGGTGCGCCGCTGCCGCAACACCAGCAGCAGCAGCAGCAGCATTGGAGCATTATGACGACAACGGGGAGTGAAATGAGCTTTCGGACGTCCAATGCTTCACTGGGCGGCAGCACACGTGCGGGGCAGGCGATGTACATGGAAGGGCACCCATCTCCCCATCAATTTATGTAAGAAGAAGACAAAAACACACACACACACACATCGAAATCTGTGGCAGACCTAGAATGTCTAGGCTCCCTCCCCCCCAAAAACGTGCTATACAGTGAAAGGAAAGGACGATCGAACTGCCTTGATTATTATTTACTGTACAGACCGACACGCGGGCAAGTAGCGGTCGATAACACCACAGAAGAGGAGAGTGCTGTGTGTGTGTGTGTGTGTGTGTGTGTGTGTGTGTGTGTCTGTGGATACACGCCGGATGACAACCATCAAATATATATATGTAACCCATTATTAATGGACAATGAATAAAAGCGTTTGGCATTTTTCTTTTCTTTTATCTATTTGATGAGAATCGGCATCACAGAAAAATATGCCTCGGGCCTTTGCAGATCAAGATGTGTGCAGCCGAGAACGCGTGTGGTTTGCTGAGGTGAGGCAGTCGGTAAAACTGCCAACTTCACAAGTTAGAATCTCTTTTCTCCTATTTCCTTTGTGACTTCCTTTACTGTGTCTGTTACCTTGCTCTTATTCCCATTTTCTATTTTTATTTTTACAATGTCCTCTCTTCAAGGCTTTTTTTTTCTTCTTTTCTTTCTGCCTTTTCCGCCAATTGCGGAGTTGTGTTACTGCGAAATCTGTTCCCTCACTGGCAGTAAACACCACCCACAAGTATTAAAAGAAAAAAAATATTTAACGACGAACCCGCAATGGGAATTTAAATCTCTTTCTCTGTTTGTGTGTGCTTCTCTCTCCTCCTTACTTTTCTTCTTCTTCCTCTTCGCGTGCTATGCTGTTTCTTTCTCATTTTCCATTTCCGGTTCTTGACTTAATTCACTTCTGTCCGTTTCATTTATCTATTCTTTTGCCTTTTTTTCGTGCCTTTGTCTTTCTGTGAAAGATGCTTTTTTTCGACTTCTCACCGTTATTTTTTTTTTTTGCGGTTGAGTTGTGCGCTACTCTTTTTCCTTTTCTCTTTCTCCTGTGCTCCCCCAAAATGAGCCTTCATTGTAGACATTCGAACTTGGTATTCCTTTGTTGATTTATTGATCTGTTTTATTTTGTTTGTTATCTTTTGAAGCGAATCTCCCTCTTTCTCTTTAACCATCCAGTCGTCGTTTTCGTTTTGTTGCTCAAGAACTCGAGGTCTGTGCCGCGGTGGCACAGCCGCAGCAGACATCTCGCATTCAACTAAAAAGAAAAAAAAAGAGAGGAAATCAACACCAACAACAGTAACCAAAAAAGCGAATAGTTCTGATTGCTGCTGTCTTCTTCTCCAAATGTGGTGTTTTTATTTTGTTTTGCTTCTCTGTTTCCTTTGGGAGATATGCACATGTTTTTTTTGTTGTTTTGTGGCGTAAAAGACATCGAATTGTTTCTATCATATGTAAGAGAGATATAAATCATTTAGGATCGTTCTTCCATCTTAGCGGTCGCGCATGTAGATATATATATATATATGAAGAATAACCGAGAAGAACGTTGGGCTCCGTTGGGTGAGAGAAAAATGTAGAACCTTTTTTTCTTTTAAACATAAACTACCACGGTTACGAAGCACAAGAACACCCGTTGCGAAGCCAAACGACACTGCAGCAAAGAAAGGAAACAACGTTTGACAGTAAACAAACCCGCAAGCAATCCAAGCAAACACCCAAAATAGCAGTGGCAGATTTGAAGGTGCGTGTGTCGCTGTACTCTCCTCAGGAAAGGTGTCGCTTTTCTCTTTTTTAAAAGTGCACTTGGTCCTTGCCCTTTTGCTGTGACGTTGGGCTATTCTTTTTTTTTGTAGGTTTCAGGGGTAGCGGTATTTGAGCTTCCGCGAGGTCTTTCCATTGTGCGATGTCCCCGGTATTGAAGGCGCAGTAGAACGATGCTTTTTACAGCGCCACGCATGTCGTGGCTGTATGTCTTACATCCAAAATAAGCAGAAAGCTCCCCCAAAAAGAAATGTATCCGCAGTGAAATGAACGTAATAATAATAATCCTACGATCATACAAGACTAGACTGCGAAATTACCCTGTGTATGCGTGCGCGTGTGGGTGTGGATGTGTGTGTGTGCCCTCTGTTGCCTTTATTAGTATTCTTTTGCACTCCTTGTGGGGATTTACTGCAAATACGCTATCGCCATTTTTTTCTGCTTTTGTAAGCGCAATGGTTTTGTCTCCTCTTCGCTACGGCGGCAGTTGTTATAAGTTATTTAATACTATTATTATTATTATTTTTGTCCGTGTGCCGCTGGAGTCTGTTGATATAGCTTGCTTCCACCAAAGTGCTGCCAACTCTGGTTTCCTTCTTTCATTTCTTTTCTTCTTTTTCTTTCTGATGTAGGCTCCTCCCCTTCCTCCCTCTCCTCACCCCCTCTCCACCTTTTTTTTCTTCTTCGTTTTTGTGCCTTAATGATGCTGCGTTTTCCTTTAAAACGCATTTGAGGGAGGGAGAGAGGGAGAGAGAGTTGGCGCCTTCGATTTTCCTTTTCGGTTTCTCCTTCCTACCATTTTTTTCCCTTCAGTGTGTTTGTTTTCGTCTGTCTTTCGAAATTCGCCACAACTCCATCTTTTTTCCTTTGTTTTGTGTGCTGTAAAATGATTTTTCCTTTCCCTTTCGTCTTCTCTTGTTCTTCCGCCTTTGCCGCCGGCTCACACAATTTCTTCTCTGTTTTTGGGGTTCATCTCTCTCTCTCTCTCTATCTGTATATTGGTTCTGTATAAGCGTCGTAATCCCTTTCACCTCTTGACGTTCGCTGATTACTTTTTTGTTTTTGTTTTGCGTTTCTACGTGCTTCGGTCGTCGCAGGCTTTTCTTTTCTTTTTTCTTTTCTTCTTTCCCTTCTGATAGCGAGCTGTCTTCCATTTCCCACGCAACTTGCCTTTGGGGTTTTCTCTCTCCTCCTCTCTCCTCCTCGCTCCGCCCTCGCTCTCCCGCTTGCGGATCTCCTTTGAATTTCTTTAGTGCCATTGACTCTTTTCGCTTTTCTTCCTTTGTTTTTTCTTTTCTTTTCCTTTTTTTTTTGTTCTCCTCAACTGTACAGTTTTTCCTCGTGAAAGGCAGTGGTGGGGACGTGCCGGCAAAGGCGGTGGTGGCTCTTTCTTCTTTTTCTTCTTGGACAGCGGAAGAAGCGGGGGTGGGTGCGGGAAGGAGTACGAAGAAAGAGAAAGAATCAAAAAGGAAAGGGTAGCTGACTGGTGATCGGTGCGCTGAACAGTGCCCATAACGATGATGGCGGGTGCGCGAAAAGTCCAGCATCGGCGCCTTTTTTTTTTCTCGTCTTCTTTTACCTTTTCGTTCTCTTTGTCGCGAAACCAACCAACAAACGAAACCTGAAGGAGAGGCCACCTTGATGAATAAAGGCGAGAGAGAAGAAGCCGACTTGTTTTTGTCTTCCTTCTATTTTTTTTTTTTAAGGGGGGGGGGGCTTCTCCGCAAGAAAGGGAAGGCAACGAGCGCTCCAAGTACGGAGAAGTGTACTTTTGAATGGTAAAATAAAAACTAAGGATAATACTAAGAAAAAGAAAGAAAACACAGTAATAGTATTGTTGCGGGGAAGCGATCGATCACGTCGAAGGCGTCATCGTTCTCCCGATAACCGTAGCCTTTTTTTAAATATATAAAGACTCCAGCTGAATTGGTGTGAAAAACAGTTCAGCTTCTTTTTTTTACCGGTTTCTTAAATACTTTTTTGTTTAGACATGTTGTTTCTTCTTCTGCGCTCACTTGCAACGGAAAGAAAACACAAAAAAATAGTGCGGATTGCTTTAGCAGAACGGACATGATATCGGTGTGTAAGTTTGGTGGGCATTATAAAAGGAAAAGAAAAAGAAAATGGTGGCTTTCTCGCTCTTGTGCGTGTTTACGTCGCGAACAGCAATAAGTCGTTTGGTGATGTATGTAAAGCGACAACCTTCTCCTTCGCATTTTAAGGTCTTCCAGCAAAGAAAGATACAAACAAACAAACAACAAAAAAGTGACGTTGATATGTCAAAAGGCAAAAAAAAACGTCACGTGTCAATATCCGAGGACGCAAAGAGCGGGCAATTTTTTCTTTCTGTTGTCGTCTCGCTACTTCCGAGTGTCCATGTGCTTCTCCACCAGATGGTTGTTCTTAGACGATGCTGTGCGTGTTGCTGCCCCTATCTCCTTCTCTCCTCTCTCTCTCTCTTCCTCCTTCTCTCCACTTAATAAAACCTTTCTTTTCTTTCCCTTGTGTGTGTGTGTGTGTACGGCTGTTTCTCGTACCTTGTGTTTTCTCTTTTTTGTTTTTCTGCCGGTGTAGTTTTCCCGCACCAGCACTGCGCGATTTCTTCTCTTCTTCTCTTCTTACGTTTCTCTTACTCTTATCGCAGCCCCTTATTTCTCTTACCTTCCCTTTTCCTCCTCTTCTTCTTTTTTTTGACTTTTCGCTAAAGCAAAGCCAAACAAGCACTCCCTCCCTCCCCTCTGTTGACGACAATGCCCGGCATGAAGCGCACCCGCTCCGACTCGGCCATCGAGGAGGCCGCCGTGTCCGCCTACGTGGAGTCGTGCACGCACTTCAAGTCCAACGTGACCTTCACGGACATCTCGAAGGCCTCGGCGGTGGCCCCGCACGTGCTGCTGGTTGGTGCGCCGGGCCAGTTGAAAGACAAGACCGTCGAGTCACTGCCCTTCTACGGCCCGGCCGTCGCAGCCGCCATCGCCCGCGCGAAGGCCGGCGAGACGGTGACGACGCTGGCGGAGGTGCAGGGACGGTCCGGGTACGTGAAGGTCTCGGTCACCGCCTTGCCGGACACGGCCTCCCGCACGAACTGCCCCTACCGCGCCGACAGCCTGACCGAGGCGGTCGCCGCGGCCTGTGCGGGCGTGGGCGAGGGCGAGACGTTGGATGTGTACGTGCGGGCCCCCGCTGGCGCGGAGACGGCGGTTGCCAACGCCGTCGCTCGAGCCGCGCCGCACTCCTATACGGCGAAGGACGGACAGTCGGCGAAGGCGTACCTGAAGCAGGCGATGACGTTGAACGTGGTGCTGTCGTCGCGTGCCGCCTTCACAGGGGAGAAGGTGCACGGCAAGGCGGTGACCGTGGCGGAGCTGGACGCGATTTGCACCTCCGTCCAGCTGTGCCAGCGCCTGGTGGACACCCCGACGTGCACGCTGGACACCATCGTGTACACCGAGATCGCGACGGCGTACGCGAAGGAGCTGGGGGCGGACATCACGGTGATTAAGGGCGAGGAGCTGCGCGAGAAGGGCTACGGCGGCATCTACGCGGTGGGCAAGGCGGCGCAGTACCCTCCGCACCTCGTGACGCTGCGCTACAAAAACCCGCACGCCGCCGCCGGGGCGAAGAACGTCGCGATGAACGGCAAAGGCATCGTGTACGATTGCGGTGGTCTTGCTCTCAAGCCGGCCCAGCACATGTCGAACATGAAGACGGATATGGGCGGCTCCGCTGGCCTCTTCTGCGCCTTCATCGCGGTGGTGCGGTGCATGAAGCTGCAGCAGGATCACTACCACCACATCGCGAACCTCAGCGTGACGCTGTGCATGGCGGAGAACGCGATGGGCCCCAATGCGTACCGCAACGATGACGTCGTGATTATGAAGTGCGGGAAGTCCGTCGAGGTGATGAACACGGATGCGGAGGGCCGCATCGTGCTCGGCGATGGCGTGTACTACGCAACAGGCGAGCAGGACTTTATTCCAGACGAGGTGATCAACATGGCGACGCTGACGGGCGCGCAGGGCATCGCGACCGGCACGAAGCACGCCGGCGTGTACGTGAGCACGGCACAGCAAGAGGCGGAGATCGTGAAGGCGGGTCTGGCGAGCGGGGATGTCTGCTTCCCGGTGCTGTACTGCCCGGAGGCGCACAAGGAGGTGTACACGAGCTCGCTGGCCGACATGCGCAACATCGCGAACGTGCCGGTCAGCCCCGGCGCAAGCCTCGGTGGCTACTTCGTGGAGCAGATGATGCACGAGCGCTTCAAGGGTGCATTTGTACACGTCGATATCGCCTTCCCGAGCTCGAACAAGTCGGGCGCCACGGGCTACGGGGTGAGTCTTGTGGCGGAGTACCTTCGCAAGTTCTAAGCCGGTTTTTGGGTTTTCCTTCTCCTCCCTTTACCGCCGTCCTCCCTCTCCCCCAAAAGAAAGAGGACGGATGCAAGGGTACATCGACATCGTTGAAAGAAGAAGCGAAGAGAAGACGAAAGGGTGCCTTCGGTTTCTCGCTACCTGGCTTTCCTTTTCTTTCCTTTGCTTCTTCTTTGAACTCCTTTGCTTCTTTGGCCCAATCTTATGGAAGAGGCGCTGCCGTGATCGTACTCCTCTTTTTTTTCTCTCTCTCTCCCTCGTCCTCTTGTGTTCTTGTTTTTGGTGGGCCGATCCGCTCGCTTCTCTGTGACTCAGTTGCCGTTTTTCAATTTGATGACAATCACGACGGAGTTTACTTCCCACCTCCCACCTAAAAAGAGAAAGAGAAAAACTGAAACGAAGGCAGAAGAGATTTATCTTGGCAGTTTGACGTGGCATGACCGACGTTCGCGGCTCCATTAATTCTCTCTCTACATCTAAGTTTGTATTACACGTTGAAGGGTCAAGTTGAAAAAGGATATGTTTTTTATTCTTTCTTTCTTTCTGTTTCTTCTTGTTAACTAAACCCGATTGGTGATTGTTTCTTTTAATGCCCCTTTTTCTTAAAGAAAGAGTACCGTCTTTTCTTTCCCCGGTTTTTTTCTGAAGCTGTGTTTCCTCTCTCTCTCACGTGTGTACGCGCGCGTGTGTGTAGTGGTGGTTTGCTTTCCCTGAAAGAACTCCTTTCACTACCTGTTGTGAGAAGTCAACTTTCACGTTCGTTTTTCTCTTTTCCCCTTTTTCCCCTCTTGTTTGCGCGTCTTATTATTGATGATCTCCGCAGGCCAGCGTTCAACCGGTAAGACCGAAAAGAAAAACAAAGAAAAGAACGGGACTCTTTGCGAAGCTCACAGCTCCCGTCACTTAGTAGTGGAGCTCCTTTGTAGTAGCTGCAGAAATTTTGTTTTCACAAGAAACCCTTTATTGTTGTAGATATATATATATATGCATGTGTGCGCGGGCCTGCAATGTTTCGAAGGGCCTCTCTTCCGTGTTGTCCCCAGTGCGACCCTTGAGTGCGAAGGCCACGACGCTTCGAAGCGTGACGCTTTCCTGCGTTCTTTTCATGTCTCTCAGTCCCTGCCCCCCTCCACGGCCTGCGTACAGAGTCGATGATGCGAAGTACGCTGAAATCCCCCTTCGACTTTGATGTATTGAGTGCAGCCCGTTTCCTTCGTCATCTTCTTCTCGTTTTGCATCTCGACCTTTTTCTTGTTGTTTTCGAATGCCACGGACAAAACACGGCGTAGAAACACACGAGGTGCGTTCGTACCCTCCCCTCCCCTCCTCCAAAGAAAGAAAGATAAAATAAGGAAGCGTGAAAGGGGAGGACGTGAGGTGAGTGGCGCGGCAAGTGCCCGGCTGCCCTCACCACATTTTTTCGCATTCATCTCTGACTTGTACGTGCACCCATCTCTACAGTACGGCACATCACGAGGACAAAAAGGAAGTACAAAGCACAACGTTGTCCTCTCTTTAGGAGAACTCAAAGAGCAGTCTCCGCGAATACATATATTTATATTACTCGCCTTCCGATTCTCATTCCTCGCGCACGCACACGTTTATTTTTTCTTATTTCTTTCTGCTCGATTACGAGCAGTGAGAGAGGACAAGACACAAGACCGCACACGCTGCTTTGTTTATTATCTTCTTAAAAAAATATTATTACTCTACGAATACTACTGACCGTTCCCACGTAATGCAAGAAGGAGCCCCCGTTGCCGCCTCGCCTTCTTCCCCGCTTCCTCGCTCTTCCACGTGCTCCCCTTCATGTTTGCCTTCCTTACTTTCTCCCGCTGCAGTCCCAGAGACGGACACGGAGAGCGGCGTGGCGCCCAAGCCGTGCACGCCGCCTCACCGTGAAGCGCGACGGCGTGCACCCAAGACGGGAGCCCACCTCGCCGGGGTGTTCGGTGCGTTAGGAGCACTGCAGTCCGATGTGTCTGCTTCTTCCGCACCCACACACGCGACTGCGCGTCCGGCCCCGTCGGTTGCCGCCGCAGAAGCCACCGGAATTCAGAAACTTCCTTCACCTTCTCCTCCTTTTTTGTCATCCTTGACGCCGCGCTCCTCGTTTACGCTGCGTGACGGGGCAGCGGCGTGGATGTGCAGCCGGCTGGAGCTGCTGTGGGCCTCGCCATTCGAAACAACGGATGCCGCAGCGTCATGGACTGGGCGAGCAGCCGATAGCGAAGAGACGCACCTGTCCCACGCCCTCCACGGCGTCCATCTTTCAGGTATCGCTTCCTCCTTACCACAGCATGGTAAATCCATCGACAGCAGCAGTGACACCGTCGATGCTGCTGCTGCTGCTGCTGCCGGTGTCGGTCTTGACGGCCATCACGGCAGCGACGCAGCTCCGAGGGGTGCGATAGACGACGCCTTCCGCGTGGCACACGCGCGGAGCCGCTTAGTTGTTCGTCTTCTCGCCCTCGATGCCCTTCGTAAAGGTCAGATGAAGAAGCGACAGCGGCAGGCCGACACGCCGATCAGCACCACCGCTGAGCCTGCGATCCTCCGTGTGACACACGACGCGGACACGAGCGCTTCCACCGCAACACCGGCAGGGATGTCCCCTCTGGTGCGTCGGTGGCTGTGGCAGCGTGCGGCGGCGCTGCCGGGCGAGCGCAGCTCGTTGCTGGTGGAGTGGCTCTCGCTGGAGCTGGCGGAATCCGCAGCGGATCACGTGCGAGGAAAGCGCATGCCTGTGGCGGACGCGTTGAACACGGCGCAAGCGGTTCTCGCGCCACATGGAGGGCATTCGTCGACGGCGTCCCGCGACGCCCCTTCACGGGATGCTCCAATGAAGGTGGAGGTGAAGGGGGAGGAGAACGAAGATGAAAACGTGGTCTTGTTCACCTCGGAAGCGCGGGCACCGGTATCCAAAGAAGATCCTGTGATGAGCGCTGACCTTCAGGGACACGGCGAAGAGCGAGATCGCACGTTCACTCGCACGGTTAGCCCTGAAGACGACGGCGTGTCGTCAGGCACTATCACGGGTGCATCCACGAAACCGTTTGCTTGCGAAGACGCACCAGCCGCCCCTTTACCTTCTTCTTCATCCTTCTCCGTCTCATCTCCAGAAACGCGAGTCCCCGCGCAGCGCATACTGCGGCTTGGCATCGTAGCACCAGTACCTGCTATGGCCAACGACAGTGTTGATGTGCCGCTGCCTTCGGTGCCGGTGACGCCAGTGCTGTTCGACAAGGGTAGGGTCGTGATGGAAACACGCAACAATCGCAGCAGCAGCAGCAGCAGCCGCGGCGATGCACGACACCTGAGAATCTCGCTGCTTCGTCCGACTGCAGCGCCGACGTCGACCGCGGCCGATGGCGATGAAGGAGAGACGGTGGAAGTGACCGGGAAGACAGGGAAGCTGTGCGGGGCGGTGAGGGAAGAAGGCGCTCCCGCTGTCGTGGCCGCCAAGACGGAAGCTGAAGCCAAAGAGGGGTGCGCCATTCAAGTGGTGGCAACACCCCCCGACACATACACAACAGAGGAGGAGAAGGCGGCGACAAACGCAGAGATGGAAGGGCGGGTACGGCAGGCACGTTGGCGCAGAATAGCGCCCTTCGTCTTCTACGCCCCTCGTGGCAGTTCGACGGAGGGCAGCGTGCGAACGGTGTTGACGGCGCTGGGCTTCACAGAGGGTACGTCCCCCTCCTCGCCGAGAACTCACGACAAGGACGCGGTCGATGCCACCTCTGCATCCACCTCGTATTCTCCACTAGTGCCTTCACGGCGTACACCGGCGTACGCTGTTGGAGGAGCGGAAGGACCTCGTACAGGCTCGCCTTCCTCTTCCACAGAAGGAAGAAAAGTAATCCCCCCGCGGTGCCCTCTCGGACGGCTGCCACCACTCGTCGCGGCGTACGCATGGGTGCGTGAGGCGGCGCTGCGCACGGTGTGGGTGTCCCACATCGCGGGTGCGTGCACGACGCCATCGACGGCGCCCTCGCCCTTCCCGTGTGTCGCCTTCGCCGACGGCCGTGTCTCTGCCGCCTTGGCGGACCTCCTGTGTGTCCCGCTTTCCGTGACGACTCGTGCCCGCAGCAACACAGACGGCGCCCCCAAAGCCGCTCCCCACTGCTTTCGCCTCCCTGCGGCGTTTGAGCGCAACCTGCACGCCTATTTGTGCTACCCGCTGGCAGGTGTGACGGCAGCGCACCTCGCGGAGCCTGCGACGGCGCCTCCCGATCGGGAAGTCGGAGAAGACGTTTCTCGACCTCCGTTGTTGACGGTGCAGGACTGGCAGGCGTACCTGGACTTTCGCTACGGCGTTCCAGCCCGTCGTCGCCGCGGCACCCCCGCACGTGTGGGCACATCAGCCACGACGAAAGACGTGGAGGGTGGAACGCGGCAAGCGCTGAGTCATGGTGCCGAGATCAGTCCATTGGACGAACCCGTCAAACGTCCCCGCCAACGCACCGCTCCTGCACCTGCTTTTGCAAAGCCGCCTCTTCTTACGTTCTCTGCTGCTGCGACGGTGGCGGCGGGCTACGCTGCGCGAATCTCACCGATGTACTCCGCCGTCATGGATGTGGCGGCGGCTCTGGTTTTCACGGAGCTGCGTCGTGCGTGTGTGCTCGCCGTGGATGAACGCACACGCGGCGTGAAGGTGGATGCCACCGTGCGCACCGATGCCGACGGTGCAGAAGAACTACGTAGCGTGGCAAATATCAATAATCGAGATCGAAAGACAGCAGGAGTAGCGCAGTCGTCATATCCATCCACAGCATCCGCCGTGGAAGCCTTCGCAAATGAAGAAGGGAAGCAGAGGTCGAGGGATCACAGCGAACTGCCACTGGAAATTCGCGCCACCGCAGTCAGCACAGCGGCACCAGCAGCAGCAACAGTACCCCCCCTTCGGGCGTACACGACGGCATCAACTATTTCTCCTGAACAGGCGATGCAGCTCGTGCTGGAAGACGAGATCGAAGACGACGCCTCCCTTTGCTGCTACGCCCACCAGAACATGTGTGGCTTGTGCGCGCCTTCCGTATCCGTACCGAAGGCGCCGCCCTCCCACTCGTGCCCGTGCGGTGCGGCGTGGCCGACGGACAAACCTCAGTCGGCGCCTGGGCATTCGAGCAGCAGCAGCGGCAGCGGTGCAGCAACAGGAGCAAATGTGGACACCACCTCCATGGACCGCAGCAGCGCTGCTGTTGCTGCTGCTACTGCTCCGGATGTGCAGACACCGAGTGCTGCCTACGCAGCGAATTTGTGGCTAGGCGTTGTCGCCGTGTTGAGCGCAGGTGAGAGCGGCGTTGCGCAGCACCTCCGCAGCGTGCTCCTGCCACCCACGTGCCTGCCATCGTCTCCACAGCTGTCTGTAGAAGCGTTGGCGATAACAACTGCTGTTGCTGCGGATGCTGCTAGCGCTGTTGGCTCTGTTCGACCTTCCGCTGCCTCGCTGGCACCCTTTACCATGCCTACGCTCTTTCGCAGTACCCTGGAGGACCTGTACAAGGAGGAGGCGGCGCTGCGCGCACGCCCGGCCCCACCTCTGTGCCTGCCGCTGGGCTGCTACCCGGAAGAGTTAAAGAGGCAGCAGGAGCGAGTCGATGCAAATAAGGCGGCGATGCTTGAGAGCTCCGTCGCAGCTGTCGCGGCGATTGCCCTGCGTCACCCACGCCTTCTGCTTCGTCAAACACACCTGCTCTGGCGCCTCAGCTGTGCAAGTTTGGCGTCGCCCACGGCGAGAGAGGGGAAAGCAATATCGCAGGGAAGGACCAGTGCTGCTGCTGCTGATGGTGATGATGCTGACGACAGCCAAAATGATTGCAACGATAACGATCAACACGTGTGGCGTGGCGAGTTCGCGTCTCGCGTCAGCAGCTTTGTGGAGTGCGTTCAGCTGGCCTCGTGCGCTGGGCTGCCGGCACCGCTGGCGACGTCGCTCGTGCCTGCCGAGCCGCAGCGCTGGGCGGCGCGCAAGGCGCGAACAGTCGCGATGGCACCCACAGCGGGGGAGACGTCTTTGCCGGAGAAAGAACGGGAGACGCAGGCGCAGCGCACGTCTCTGCTGACACGCGCCGCTGGCGCGATAACCGCAGCAGCGAAGTCTCCCGCCGCTACCGCTGCTGTTGCTACTTCCACGGAAGTCACAATGAAAGCACACGGCGACACTTCTCTCTCACCCCCTACACAGGACCACACAACTTCCACCGTTGCCACTGCCACGCCGCCGCCGCCGGCCTCACGCCCCCGACTGCATCTGCGGCTGCTATCCGTCGCGTCTCCTGTCTCACGCACTTCGTCCGATTCGGTCACCGCGGGCGTTGACACCGCGCCTTCGCCGAAATGTGAGCGCAGCCCTTGCCCCGCCGTTCGTGAAAGCGAACGTAGTCGTGCATCTGCGAGGAAAGATCATGGAAAGCGGACCCGGATGAAAGATGTGGCCAACCCACACAGCAACGATGCCGATGTCCACCCTCCTACCCCTGCTGCTGATGCTGCTGTTACCGCGTTGCCACCGTTGGATGGGCTGGCCGATCTACAGGTACGCTGGGTACTCCCGACAGGCAGCACTGCCAATACTGCTTCTGCCGCCGCTGCGTCTTTTTCTGCGTCTTCTTCTTCCCCTTCTCTACCGGCGATGTCGCTGATAACGCTGGTGTCCGATGTCCTCTGGGGTACGCTGCAACACATGGGGACGTATGAAGCGAAGGAGTGGACACCGGGGAAGCCGTTGCCCTCTACTGCCGCCGCCGCCGTAACTGCAACAGGAAGTGTCACGCACTTGGTCTTGTCGAAGGGAGGTGTTGACGTGAAAGACGCGAGGGGCGGGACTTCAGCTCCTGCGTTCGTGCGTCCACCGCGACGCACGTTAATGCTGCGGCTTTCCCCGGCCTACGCGGAGCTGCAGCGAGTCTGGCAAGCGTTGCGACCTTTGTCTTTCCTAATTGAACGTGGGACGTCAGACACGCGCGCATCTGCTGTCATCGCTGACCATCTACGCCTTTCGCATGGTGTTCGACTCAGAGAAGGACCTGCACTGGATGTCGTACTGCCACTTGCGCCGGTTGCGTCGCCTTCTGCTTTGCAGTCGGATAGGGTTCAGCCGCAACACCGCAGGAAATCCTCGTGTTCTCCTTCTTCCTCTTTATCTGCCGCTTCGGTGGTCTCTCCTTCTGACCCCACGAAGAACGCAGTGAGAGCGGCAAAGCTGGGCTTGACAGCGCCGTCGCACGCCGATGTGCGCCACTACGCTTCCCTCGCTGCGTCGCTGCGCGGAGTGCTGTGCGTCTCACTTGGCTACGCCGTCTACGCATTGCTGCATCGCACGTGGGAGCTATGGACGTCGGCCACAAAGGATCAGTGTGAAGGCAGCGGTGACGCTGCTGCCGCTTCGGTGGCCCCCTCTCGATGCCCACGGACAACGCCAACAGATGCGATCGGTCCGCGTATTGCTGCGTCTTCCACGGCGCGCTCTTCTTCGAATGACACCACCACCACCAGCGTTGTTGACCGGTGGACGTGGTTGGCGGCGCAACTGCAAACGCTGCACGACGAAATCCTGCAGCCGCTGAATCGCATCTGCACGGTGTACATCGACGAGCCCGTGTCGCCGTCGCAGCATGACGACGACGGAGACGCAGACGCAGAGAGTGGGGATGCGGGCGTGTCGTGCACTAGCACCGGCCCTCGGCAGCCACGTGTCACTACGGCCGCCTGGCTGCTGTACAAGCCCTTCGCGCACCGTCTCTTTCCTTCATTGATTTGCGCCTTCGACGCGGCTCTTGCGCCGCCAGCGGCAGAGGATGACGTCAAGGACGATGACGAGTTGGATGGTGCACCGTTGAACCGGCCAAGCTCTCGCGCGGACGTGGCGAATACCCAACGGGAGGTGCGGACCGCGTGGGTGCGCGTGTGCGCGTCGCTGCAGCAAGCTGGTGTGGCACTGCCGGGACGTGCACCCCCGTTGCGAGGGAAGACGAAAGCGCGAGAGTGATCGAGAGGTGTAGGGACGCCTGCAGAGAGCGGCGCCGATAGGTCCAGAGGTTTTTTTTTCGCCTTTTTCTGCTCTTCTGCAGCGTCTTTGTCTGCGTCGGATTTCGATGGCGCGTTAACGTGCGCTCAGCCGTTTTTTTTTGCTGTGGGGATGGATGAGAGCGGCGCCACGTTTTCCTCCTTCACTCTGTGAAGAGGCTTCATAAACGCGAAGGCCACGAGGGAGGAGGAGGAGGAGGAGGAGGAGGTGAGTGAAGGCCCGAAGGCGAAGGAGAAGGGCGCAAGGAAAATGCGACTGACCATTAAAAAGAAAAAAGAGGTACCTAAAGAGACATGTGTTGAGGCGTTTGCGACGAAAGCGCTGACTAACGTTTCACGCGGGCAGCCTCCCCAGTGCAGCAACTTTAGTTTGTCTGATCTACAAGGAAATCTACGTTAAGGTACATATGAAATCTGTGCGTTCTCTGATCCTGGTATCTTACACCCGTCATCCCTGCGCATCTCCTCTCCTTGGTTTCCCGCTGCTCCTTCCGCATTCGGAAGAACAAAACAAAACGAAGAACACTCACTGAAAAGAACGCGCTATTGCTCTAATAATCGCCGAACACTCCACTGTGTGTTTTATTCAATTTATTTTCCGGTTTCCCTCTCTTTTTCCTTTTGGTTTCGTCTTGATCAACAGCAACAATCCCAGACTTGCTGTTCGTTCTTTCCCTTTCTGGAGTGGCCTCGCACAACCAGGACTGCTGATCTCCTCTTTTCTTCTCTTTTCCTTTTTCTTGTCTTGTTTGTTATCTCGGTCCGCTTGGTGAGTTCGCACTGCGGAAGCTATTATCAGTCTTCGAGGAAAACCCCTAAACAAACGAAAACATTCTCTCTTTTCTTTTTCAGTCGTGTCACACGCCAGCGTACTCCTCTTCCTCTTTTTTTTTCCATTCTGCAAGCGGACACACACACACATATATATTCGGCTTCGGTTTCTAGCGCCACCTCCCTCTCTCTCTCCCTCTCTCCTCCGACTTCTACACGTGGCAGCAAGGTACCCTCGACACACCAACGGATACAAGCAGTAAAAGAAGGAAGAAGAGGACAGTGAACCGCCATGGTAAACCTGCACATCAACGATGGCGAGCAGGTCCGTCTGGAGGTGCTCGCCGCCGGACCACAGAAGCCCATCAACGAACTGCGTCGCTTCTCCATCCTCCTCCTCGGCTCGCTCGCGATGATCTGCGCGTCTTTCGGCTACGCTTTCAATCTCATCTCCGACTCGATGCAGAAGCGGTACAGCTTCAACCAGCGTGAGATGACCACCATCACCACCTGCGGCCACGTCTTTGGGTTCTTCTTGCTGCCCTACGGCTTTCTCTTCGACTACGCCGGCCCGATTCCCATTTCCGTCCTCGCCATCGTAACCGTCGCCGTTGGCACGGTGTGCTTTGCCTTGTGTTTTCAAGGCACGATCGAGGGCAGCATCATCAAGCTGGCCATCTTCAACGCCATCTTGAACATCGGGGTCTCGCTCTTTGACCTGGTCGCCTGCATGACCGTCATCAGCTACTTCCCCACGAATCGCGGTGCCGTGATTGCGCTGCTGAAGGTGTTTGCCGGGCTTGGCGCGGCAATTGTCGGCTCCCTCAAGTCTGGCTTCTTCACGACCCATGTGGATTGGTACTACTACTTCTTGTTGGGCTTCTCTACCTTCATGGGCGTGTTGCTGATCGCTTTCATGCGCCTTCCGGCGTATCACCTGACCGGGTACGAGCTGTCGCACCTCAGCATCGCGGAGCAGGACGAACGAATGGCCACCAAGACGCAGTACCTGAGGCAGAAGCCACCGACCCGCCGCTTCGCCTACGCCTTTGTGGTACTGGTGCTGCTGATCATCTACCTGCCGACGGAGAGCGCCGTCGTCTCCTACGCGCATCTCAGTCACAAGTACGAGCTCGCATTTGCCTGTGTGACGATCGTACTGACGGTGGCGCTGGTGGGGATGGTCGCCCCGTTCGATGTGCTGAACCACAGCAGCCTGCCTCTCTCCTCCATCGTCGGAAAGAAATCGACGACAGATGGGAAGGGGGACGCAGCGCACATCTCGGCCGGAGCGGCAGAGCCGGCGTCGTCGACGTCGGAGGCACTGGAGGAGAGCTCGCTCCTCTTGGAGCCGGTAGAGCCGGACAACAGCGCAGGGACGGCGTCGAAGCCGGCGGGCGTGATGGGGGAGCCGGACGTTGCGCTGCCCGTCACCTCCACCCCGAGTCACAGCCCCCATCATCACGCCGACAAGAGCACGCACAGTGTCGAGACGGAAGTCGACTACATCGCACCGCAGTATCAAGGCACCTTCCTGAAGAACTTGCTTTCGCTGAACTTGTGGGCGCTCTGGTGGAGTATCTTCTGTGTTATCGGCGCCGAGTTCGTGATAATCTACAACGCCCGCAACATCCTCGGCGCGCTGCAAGGCAAGGACCCGTCCGACTCCCTGAATACGCTGCTGACGGTGCTGAACGGTGTGGGCAGTGCGGTGGGTCGTCTGCTGATGTCGTGCTTTGAGGTGTGGTCGCAGAAGCGCAAGGCGGAGGACCGCATCCCCATCACGATTTCCCTGTTTTTCCCGACGGGTTCGATCATCATTTCCCTCATCTTATTTCTTGTGCTGCCGGCTGCTGCGTTGCCGCTGCCGTACGTTGTCGCTGCCCTCGGCAACGGCTTCCTGGCAGCGACGATTGTGCTGGTCTCGCGCACCATCTTCGCGAAGGACCCTGCGAAGCACTACAACTTCTGCTTCACCGCCACCATGATGGGCTCCATCGTGCACAACCGCTTCGTCTTCGGTGAGTGGTACGCCGTGCTGGCGGAGAAGCAGAACCACGCGAATCACTTGTGCTACGGCAAGCACTGTGTGCTGGGTAGCATGCTGGTGATGCTGGCGCTCGCCTGCACGGGCTTCCTCACCGCCGCATTTTTGCACCTGCGCTACAGCATGTTCTGCAGGCGTGTGCTGGCGGAGCGGGCGGCGATGCGGGCTCAGGCGGCGGGCTCGAGGGTGGTGCTCGAGGACTTGGAACAGGATGCGTTTGAACAGTCGCAGCTGCCGATCGAACCGCATGGCTAAATGAAACACAACGCAGACGTAGCGATGGATTAAACACGCACCTACCTACAACGCCCCTCCCCCTCCCCCTTCCCCAGGCTCACGTATCTTCAACGGAAAAAAATGCAAAAAAAAAAAGAAATAAAAGGAGGCAGTCGTGATGGCGCCTTTGTCCTTACCAAATCCGTGCACTTTTATACATCGCAGCGTAACCAAGCGGCGCACGTGTATCACCGTTTTATCTCCCTTTTCGTTTTACTTCTTGAGAAGCTCCTTTCTTCCTTTTTAGCTCCCTACCAAACTTTTCTTGCGTTTTTCTTTTCTTTTTCTTTCTCCCTCCTTTTGCCATTCTTCACCGTCTCCTGGCAGTTCAAAGATGACGCGAAGGGGGAAGTGCAGAGGAGGAGGCAACGAAACACGGCGCGGCATGAAAAGCGATTCCCCTTCTCAGCACGAGGTGAAGTACGAATGTGTATGTATGCGCATGAACATCTCTGTTTCTCTTTTTTTTTTTTTGGCTTTTACTCTTTTATTTGTTTATTTTGTTGTCAACGGAATAATGCGTTTCACTTTTGATTTATTCATACATATATATATATATATGTCTTTTTAAAGCGGCTACCCTCCCGCTTCTCTTTCTTTTTCTTTGTTTTCCTCCTGTTTCTTCAGGATACATAAAAAGATTTAAGCATGTTGACTTTCTGTTTTTCATTTTTGAAAAGCACCTTTTTTGTGATGAGGAACGAGAAATTGTTGTACACGCGGCCCTGTCGGCTCTCCGTCTCTTTCTTTTTTTCTGTTTGTATATAAAACAGTCTTCCCTTCTTTGGCGAAGAGCAGGCCAGCAAAGCTTTCCACTTCAAGTATTGTTGCTTTCTTTCGATTTATTTCCTTGTCATCAGCTTGGCACCAACGTACGCCAAACACCCTTGGTTGCTCTCGCTGTGTGGTTGTGAAGCCTTGTCATTTCCAGTTTTGAAACGATAGACCTTAACGTCAGTGATTCCTTTTTTCTTTTATTTCTCTCTACCGTTCGCATGTTAAATGCCCACAGTGTTGTGCGTTGTTGTTGTTACTAGTGTTATTAGCCTTTGGTTTTTCGCTCCGTGAAGGAAGGAGGAACTTGCTACAACACCTGTCTGCCGAAGTCAAGGTCCACGGTGCCTGTGATGTATACGGACAGTGAAGAAATCAGCGAGTTACAAGGGAGCATACACAGACACAACAGTAATAACAAATCGAGTTCAAATAAAAAAACGGGGAAAAACACACCCACCCAAAAGAAGGCGCGTTTCGAATATCGAGTACAAAACAGCTGTACGCACGTTTATTCAAATTAAGAAAAAATATTATGATTGTGCGAGTACACTGTACACCTCGTTGTCCTTAGCAGCCTTGATGTAAGAAGACAAATAAATAAATAAATCCGGCGTCAGACAGGGCGTTTACCGTTTGCCTCCTCCTCTCCTCCCCCCCCTCCTCACGCTTAGTGCAGCACACGTGCGGCGTCAGGGTTTTCTCTTTCTTTTGTTTTTCTGTCCGTTTACCTACCTCTTTTTACTTTCTTCTCTTTAAAGTTGTTTCCTTCAATAATTATTATATATATTTTTCTTCTGTGACGGCAACTGTTTCCATCGGAAAAAAATGACTATGTTATATATATATCTAAAACCAGCGTGATGAATCATGTAGAGGGGCGCAATAACGTGCTTATGGGCACACACGAAGCATGGCACAATGAAGGAGACTTTCTCCATCTGTACTGCTGATACACGCTTATTCTATTATGATGTTGTAGGTTTTGAAGAATGCGCTTCTGCGCTTCGTGGAGTACTGCACCCTCTCCCTCTCTCTCCCTCTCTGAGTGGGTGGTGTCGTGGGACGCTGATGTCGTATTGATGTTTTAAAGTGGCTTGCCGGTGTGGATGTACTTAACCCCTTGCGAACGGTCCACGATGCACGACGCACGCCAGCAGCAGCAGCAGTACTACTGTATGTTTCTCTCTCTCTCTACCTTCTCTGCCGCTTCCTTTGTGCTCTCCTGCCCATCTCCACGCTGCTAGACACGAGGTGTATATATATAAAGAGGCAAAACTTCCAGTCTCTTGCGTTTTCCGTTTTCTTTTTTTTTTTAACGTCTACGATCATTAGCGGAATCGACGGTACCCACCCACACACACGCACACACGCACGTGTGGCGACAATGGCAGACTCGCAATCCTCTGAGCTGCACCTGAACGTGTTGGCCAGTGGACCGCAGCGGCGCGTGAACGAGGTGCGGCGCTTCACCTTGCTCATGATCGGTTCCATCGGCATGATCTGCTCTTCATTCGGCTACGCCTTCAGTCTCGTCATTCCCAGCATCCAGACGAAGTACAATTTCACGCAGCGCGAGACGGCTTCCATTACGTGCGTTGGCCTCGTCTTTGGCTATTGCATGCTCCCCTTTGCTTTCCTCTTCGACTACTTCGGTCCTTTGCCGGTTGCGGTGCTCTCCGTGTTCACGTACCCGCTCGGCTGCATACTGACGGCGCTGAGCTATCAGAACGTGATCAAGGGCACTGTGGTGCGTCTCTGCGTGTTTAACGCGATGCAGAGCATTGGTCTCTCTTTCTCGGATCTTGTCTGCTGCATGACGGTGCTCGCACACTTCCCGGCGAACCGGGGCCCCGTGATTGCGCTGCTGAAGACGTGCATTGGATTGGGCTCCGCCATTGTCGGTTCGTTGTACACCGGCTTTTTCGGCGGCGCCCTCACGAACTACCTGTATTTCCTCGCTGGGCTGTCCTTCACGGTAAATCTGATCAGCGCGCGGACGATGCGGTTCCCGTCCTATCAGCTGACCGGCTACGAGGAGTCGCATCTGAGTGCCGAGGAGAAAGAGCGTCGTGTGGCTCGCAAGGCGCAGTACCTCAAGCAGAGGCCCGTTATGTGGCGCTTCATCTTTGGCTTCGTGGTACTCGTCGTCCTCATCATATACCTGCCGACCACCTCTGCGCTGATCGCCTACCATTCGCTGGGCCGGCGGGTGAAGCTCGCCTTCGGCATCGTGACAGCGGTGCTGACGAGTCTGTTTGTGGTCATCGCGATCCCATTGCCGGCGGCGGTGACGCGACACATTTCGTGGTGCAGGCGTGAGAATGAGAGTGACAGCGAAGAGGCGGAGGAAGAAGTCGCTGCGGCCTTCGCGGACGATCTGCTGACCATTGAAGACGGCCGCCGCGGCCACCCGCGCTCCTCTGCCTCCGAGAACGAGCCCTGCCAGCCGGAGAAGCGCGCGCTGCAGGCGGGGAATGGCGTGCTGGAGGTCAGCAGCGATGAACACGCGAGGCGTAGCCCTCACCGTGTGGTAGAGACGGATGTGGACTACCTCGCTCCGCAGTACCAGGGCGACTTCCTGCAGAATCTGCGCACGCCAGAGTTGTGGACGCTGTGGTGGACGCTGTTCTGTGTCATCGGCGCCGAGTTCGTCATCATCTACAACGCCACCTTCATCCTGGGCGCGCTGCAGGGCAGTAAGCCTTCCACCTCCTTAACCGCGCTGCTGACGGTGCTGAACGGCGTGGGCAGCGCCGCGGGTCGGCTGGTGATGTCCGCTTTCGAGGTGTGGTCGCAGAAGCGCAAGGCCGAGGACCGCATCCCCATCACCATCGCCTTGTTCTTCCCCACGACAACCATCATTGTCGCGCTGATCTTGTTTCTCGCCTTGCCGGCTGCTGCGCTGCCGCTGCCGTACGTTGTCGCCGCCTTCGGCAACGGCTTCTGCGCTGCGTCGCAGATCCTCGTCACACGCACCATCTTCGCGAAGGACCCTGCGAAGCACTACAACTTCTGCTTCACCTCGACGATGGTGGCCACCATCGTGCTGAACCGCTTCCTCTACGGCGAGTGGTACACTGTGCAGGCCGAGAAGCAGAACCACGGCAACAACCTGTGCTTCGGTAAGGTTTGTGTGCTGATGCCGCTGTGCGTGTTGCTTGGACTGTCCTGCAGTGCGTTCATCACGGATGTGTTCCTGCACCTGCGCTACCGGGCGTACAGCGTGAAGGTGCTGGCCGAGCGGGCGCGTCTGCGCGGCAAGGCGGTGACCACCGCGAAGGAAACCGAAGCCGAGCTGGGCGAGCTGGACGACGGCCTCGGCGCCGCGGCGGAGGCGGGCACGCAGCAGGCGCCCCACAAGGTCTAAACCGGAGGGAAGAAGATCAACCGCCGCAGACAGCACCTGTGCAATCGATGCAATTGATCTGTGGTGGTTCAATGAGCGGAGATGAAAATGAGCAGCGGCGGCGGTGGTGGTGATAGTGGTGGGGAGGAGGAAGCTATGGAGGGAAAACTAAGAAGACCTATTGTGCACCTCCTCCACTACGTGGTTCGACCTCCCCACGTGCGTCCCCACTACGCTTACCGACGAAGCACACAACAAGCGCTTCATTCCCCACCCTTCTTGCAAAACAATTTTCGGCATCTTTTTCCTCTTTTTTTTTTTTTAAAACTGTCGTTGCCACAGTTTCGTCTTTCTTTTCCGTAAACAGCACAGCAATATATTGGGATGACGTGAGGGCAGTTCGATGAAGCCGCCTCTCTCCTCTCCCCCCCCTCCCACCCCCTTACCCCCTTTCTTTTTTGTTGTCTCTGTGATACTCGAGACTCCTTCATATGCATGCCTTTTCCCTTTCCCTTTAAAACAAAAGCTTCTCTTCTCAAGGAATTTCACAGTTGATGTTATATATATATATAAAGTAAGAATATTGCGTATCCTTCTTTCTACCGAGCGCCGGAGTAATGTCTCTCTTTTCTTTTTGTAGCCGCTGGCGCTAAGTATTCTGTGATCGCAACGTCAAAGGTGCGTAAAACGCACACATGACACACACGTGCACGCACAGCATCGAAGTCACTACTATCAGAAAGAGACAGAGAGAGAGAGACCGGAAAGAGAAGAAGAAAGGAAACGGCTGGAAACACAGTCGTCCTGCTTAGCAAAACTTTATGAACACCTGGGGTTTCTCGTCATCTCAACCGTGGAGCAAATACTGTTGTGTGTGCGTCAGTGTGTGCCATCTGCAGTCGACAGCCGGGATAGTTGCAATCTTTTCTTGTCACCTTCTCTCGCAGTGAACGGCCCCCTCCTATTGGAAGGGTAAATGGCCGCGGAGAGAGAAGTAGAACCGGTGAAGCCGTGTGAACACTCCAACCGCGTCACACAGGTGCCTTCTCATGTGTTCTGAGATGTTGTACATGTCAATAGAGTAATAACTCTGTTTCTTTTTCCTTCCAACAACATAAATATGGCCGCGTCTTTCTCCCATCCTCGCGTCTCACCTCTCACTTAACATTGATCTCTCAGAAAAGAGAGACAGGAGAAGTGGAACTGAGCTGCTTTGTTTTTCTTTATTTACTCTTACGTGTACAACTGTTGAGTTGTCTGCGTCTTTCTCTTGTTGTATACACCTCTCTTTGCTTTACTCATACCACTGTTGATTATCTTTATCTTGTTGTTGTTGGGCGAGAGTGTAAGAATCGCACGTGACTTTTCGCCCGGTCTTTCCTTCATCGTGCCGCGTGTGTTCGGCGTCGATGGGAGACGACGTAGCCAAAGGAGGACAATACAACGATCGGAAGGGGAAACACCCGCGCCTCATCTGTAACCTGGCGCAGCTAACCAGCCGTGCCCAGCGTGTGCGTAGAAGAATTCATGTCGTGCAACGCTCTTTCGACGGTGCTTTCGCTGCCGTTCGCTGCCGTTCGCTTGCTGCGCAGCGTCAGGTGTCTGTGAAACACACACGCGCGACGATGACACAAGGAATGGGGGAATGCGCGGCGTGTGGAGGCGGCTGCGCGTGCCTGCCCACCTGCCTGCGATGCGCTGCCATGTGTTGTGTAGGGGCGATGGGCCGTGGCGAAGCAGAACGCAGAATGCCGATCCGTCGTAGCTCACCATCCATTGGACGTGCTCCTCTTCCTGCCTTTTCATTCTCTTTTCCATCTGCGTTGTCTCACTGACACGCGCCGTGACACCCGACAAACGCCGCCGCAAACTTCCCTGCGACGCACACCTCACGCAGAACAAGCTAAGAAGTAACCGCTTTTGCATTTTCCACGCATCCCTTTACACCATTCTTGTTTCTTGTTTCGCCATTACCTCTCCCGGTCGGCGCACCGACTTTCGCTGCAGGTGCCTCTGCCTCTCATTTTCGTCTTCTCGCTCCCGCCCCTTTCTCGGCGGCGCCACGGGCTTGATCGACAGCGCCCACCCCACAGTGACGCTGTCTCTGTCCCCCTCCTTGCTCTCCTCTACTGCCGCTCTCTCATCGAGGCTTTACGGGCAGAGGCAAAAGACGAGCCGTGCTTCCCACCCCTCCCTCTCCCTCTGTCCACGATGGAGACGCACGAGAAGGTTGAGATCGTGAAGCTGGCCAGCGGCCCGCAGAAGCCGGTCAGCGAGTACAAGCGTTTCGCCATCCTCGTTCTCGGATCGTTCGGCTGCATTGTGTGCTCCTTCAGCTATGCGTGGAACTTGGTGTCGGCGGATATGCAAGAGCGCTACCACTTCACTCAGCGTGATATGAGCACCATCGTGACGGTGGGCCTGGTGGTGCAGTACTGCGTGCTACCCTACGCCTTTCTCTTCGATTATCTCGGTCCTCTGCCCATTGTTATTCTGGCCACCATCTACTTCCCGCTCGGCACGCTGCTGCTTGCGCTGTGCTTTATGGGCAAGATCAACGGCAGCGTCGCCACGTTGAGCGTCTTCAACGCATTGATGTCGTGCGGGTGCTCGCTCTTCGATCTCGGGTGCTGTGTAACGGTGCTGTCCTACTTCCCCACCAACCGTGGCCCGGTGACGGCGCTGCTGAAGACCTTCACCGGACTCGGCTCTGCGCTTGTGGCCTGCCTGTACGCCGGTTACTTCCACTCCGATCCGGAGAAGCACTTCTTCTTCCTCTTCGCGCTGGCTCTCGTGGTTGGCGTTCTCTGCATGGTCTTTCTGCGGCTGCCGGAGTACCACCTGACGCAGTACCAGCTGTCGCACCTCCCCATCGAGGAGCGGCAGCGCCGCGAGAACACCAAGGCGCAGTACCTACGCCAGAAGCCTCCGATCTGGCGCTTTGTCTACGGCTTTGTGATTCTGATCGTCCTGATCGTATTCCTTCCCACGCAGAGTGCGCTGGCCAGCTACCGCCACCTCGACTCCTCCGCGAAGAGGGCGTTTGCCATTGTGACGACGATTCTGACGCTCCTGTACCTCGTCGTTGCGGCTCCGGTGCCTTTCTGGGACCCCAAGCTGGAGGACCCGGAGGAGGACTCGGAGGACCTGGATGCGGACGCGAACATCAGCCTCGCGCTGAAGATCGACTCGGGCAACAACGCGCGGAAGCAGCACGACACGAATGAGCCGCACTGCGAGAGGAGCGAGCCGGCGGGCAACGACGACAACATCCACAAAGGCAACAGCACGGTTACGGCGGAAGCGATGCTGGAGGAGGACGATTTGAAGGAGGGGGAGCTGGAGATCGACTACATCGCTCCTGCCTATCCGGGCAGCTTCATCCACAACCTTCGCACCCTGGAGCTGTGGGCGCTGTGGTGGACCATGTTCACCGTCGTGGGGTCCGAGTTCGTGATCATCTACAACGCCACCAACATTCTGGCGGCGCTGCAGGGCGAGGACCCTTCCTCTTCGCTCAGCACGCTGCTGACGGTGCTGAACGGTGTGGGCAGTGCGGTGGGTCGTCTGCTGATGTCGTACTTTGAGGTTCACACGCAGAAGCGCAAGGCGGAGGACCGCATCCCCATCACGATTTCCCTGTTCCTGCCGACGGGTTCGATCATCATTTCCCTCATCTTATTTCTTGTGCTGCCGGCTGCTGCGCTGCCGCTGCCGTACGTTGTCGCTGCCCTCGGCAACGGCTTCCTGGCCGGTGTGACCCTCCTGGTGTCACGCACCATCTTCGCGAAGGACCCTGCGAAGCACTACAACTTCTGCTTCACCGCCACCATGCTCGCCTCGCTTGTGTTCAATCGTTTCCTCTACGGTGAGTGGTACACGGTGCAGGCGGAGAAGCAGAACCACGCGAATCATCGCTGCTACGGCAAGCACTGCGTGCTGATGCCGCTGGTCGTACTGATGGCACTGGCCTGCACTGCTTTTGCGACGGACGCGGTGCTGCACCTGCGGTACCGTTCCTTCTGCCAGCGCACTCTGGCCGAGCGTGCCCGTCTGCACGAGCTCGCCCATCACAACCACGAAATGAACGAGGCGATCAACAGCCTTCATTCGGACACCACGCCTGCAGACGCTGACGGGGAGCCACGCGGCGAGGCGGTGCAGTCGAATTCACGTCCCTGATAGACAGGTGTCAGTGGTGTGCCCCCTATGCTGCTCTTCGTGGGTGAATCGATTACTTTGTCTTCTGAACAGCGCCACGGACCGCGAACGGCATCCGCAGCAGCAGCCGCAAACGGCTACGAATGGTTGAAGAGCTGCGCCGAAGGAGATGCCAGCACTCACGGCAGTTAAATGCGGATGACAACGGCTCCCCTCGGAAACAGAAAAGCAGTCACGGTTTCTTCCCCCCTCGCTTTGTTCGAGTCTCCAGGCTCTGATATATATGCTTTCTACCTCCCGTGTTCTTTTTTCCGTTAAAAGTATAAATAGCTTCCCTTCTCTTTCTCTGTAACTTCATTTACCTTTGTTTCTATAAAACGATGCTTTTGTAGGCCCACGATGATGATGAGCTGTTGTACACGTTTTTCTAAACGTGGATGCCTTTTCTTTTTCTGTTTTACCCTCATTCTCTTGTTTGCCTGCATTTCTTCAGTGATTTCAGACTGTCTCGATTCGGGTGTGGGTGATGACCTCATCTTCTTATTCTGTCCGCGTAAGTAGACATGAGCGTGTTTGTTTGATTGCCTGTGTGTGTGTTGTGTGGTCTGTTTACCGCGGACGCAAGCAGGATCGGCGCTTTCTAGCTGCGTGGACTCGAGAGGCCACCTGGCCGTCAAGATGTACGACGGCGCAGCTGCAGCACGACACACAAACACGTGGAATCGATTCGCGCAGGCACGCCAAAAAGCTCCCACCTGCGCAGCGGCGAAGCGCACAGCGAAGGATGAGCGACGAGAGCAATTCGGCGTGCGTGTATGACATGCGAGAGCTCTACTTCTACCGCTGCTGTTACGGGTCACACACACGGCAATATATATATTTTCTTTTTAGTTCTACCTACTGTAACTTCTCTTTTACGCTCCTATATATATACATCTTCTCTGACGAACTTTCTTCTTCTTTCCGGAGCGGCTGTACTGGTGGACCAGCAGACGTGCTTCTTTTCTCTCTGGCACCTGCTGCTGTGCCTGCCGTACTCCTGCGGTTCCATTAGCCAACACCTATTGTGCGTGCTATGAAACAGAATCAAGCACTGCTGTGATGGATCGCGGAACCCAAGACGGCCCAAGCGAAAGCTTCTCTATTTTTTCCTGATGTAGATTTGCCAAAAGGAGCGTTAAGGGCACGTGAAGGATGGAAGAGAAGCCTCCCTTTTTGTTTTAACTTGTCCGGTTCATGAGTATAGTGATATCAAACGCCGTATGGTATCCGACTTGTACTCATCGTTTCCGATGTTGTGTGTTTCAATGCGTTTATGTTTATTTACATCATTTTCGGCTCTCGGCTCTCTGCGTGGTGTCGACTCACCGGGACATCCGCGGATGCAGGGGGAAACGAGAGCGCGTCCGTGTTGGTGTTGTTTGGTGGACTCTTTACGTGCGTGAGAGCTGCAGCGAAACGAGCAAACAAAGTGGCTGGCTGGTAGCCGGCCTCCTGTCGTTGCCGATCGGCGTGCGGCCGTTCCCCATCGAGTATTGGTGCCCTGTTCCTTCCTGTAGAAGTGGGGAAAGGGCCGTTGTGTTATTGCGTGTGTCTTTTGCCGTGTTTCGCTGTGGGAGGCGCAAGTCGAGGCTGCATGGCGCATGCACACGGAAAACGGGAGGAGGGAAGTAAAGGTGTGCTCTGTGTAGGTGTTTTGTTTCTTTGCCACTGGTGGTGTCGTGCATGCAGTCTCGTATCTTCTCTGGTCGCGGATGCGTGTGGCGCGGCGCGGCAACTTTACCCACGTCGCCCTGCCGAGTTATGCACCGTCAACGGCTGTTCTCGTTTGGCCCCCTGCTGCTCTGCACGGTGCGTGGCGGAGGACCACTTTCGTTTTTTCTTCCTATTTCTCCGCTCTCCGCCACATTGACGTTGCCACTAGTCGTGCATATGTATGGGTGTGAATGTGTGTGCGTGTTTGCATAGGAGGCAGCGCAGCTTAACCTTTTCCGCGCAGTTGAGTTGTTTCTCGCGCTCTTCGGGTGCGTGTAAGCGAGCATGCGCGTGCGTGCGTTTGTGTGGGTGTAAGTCTGCCTCACGTACACGCGCCGATCCACCTACAGTACGAAAACAGTAACAGCGGAAGAAGAGAGAGAGCAGTGCCCCATTCGAAATGCGCTGATCGCCGTCAGAACAGGAAAGACAACACCTTTGTTTTTTCCCTTTTCTGTTAAACTTTGTGTTCTAATCCCAATAAGGTGGACTACTTTTGAGCCCAAGAAGCGCTCGGACGTTGTGTGGAGGAGAGGCGGGCTGGTTGTGGTGGTGTGGGAGGAAATGGTTGTATTCCGTAGATCCCTCACAAACCGACACACGCCGGACCAATTGTGGGAGCGTGCAACGTCTTCCGGCCAGTTCGCTTCTTGTGCATCCTGTTCCCCAGCTGTCGCGTGCTGTGCTGCATGCTCGTGTGTGCGTGCGGCTGCGTGATTGTCCTCTCCCGGTACCCGCCCCTCAGCACTTGTTTCTTTATACGCGAATTGCTGTACGTCGTTGCCGGCGTGGAGCTCGCCCTCACCGCCTCTTCTCTCCACTGCCGTCGGCTGGCTTCAGTCTTTTAATTGTTTTTACGCGCTCATTTCTCTTTAAAAGTGTCTTCAATTCGGTGTCACCGTGATCGAGACGGATGCGTCCACAAGGAGGTGCGCCAACTTCCTTATTTCTTTTTCCCGGGCTGCGCACCTCCGATCTCCGTTCTCAGCTTCACGCGGGACCTAAAGCAATCCCTCTTGTTGTTGTTGGGCGAGAGTGTAAGAATCGCACGTGACTTTTCGCCCGGTCTTTCCTTCATCGTGCCGCGTGTGTTCGGCGTCGATGGGAGACGACGTAGCCAAAGGAGGACAATACAACGATCGGAAGGGGAAACACCCGCGCCTCATCTGTAACCTGGCGCAGCTAACCAGCCGTGCCCAGCGTGTGCGTAGAAGAATTCATGTCGTGCAACGCTCTTTCGACGGTGCTTTCGCTGCCGTTCGCTGCCGTTCGCTTGCTGCGCAGCGTCAGGTGTCTGTGAAACACACACGCGCGACGATGACACAAGGAATGGGGGAATGCGCGGCGTGTGGAGGCGGCTGCGCGTGCCTGCCCACCTGCCTGCGATGCGCTGCCATGTGTTGTGTAGGGGCGATGGGCCGTGGCGAAGCAGAACGCAGAATGCCGATCCGTCGTAGCTCACCATCCATTGGACGTGCTCCTCTTCCTGCCTTTTCATTCTCTTTTCCATCTGCGTTGTCTCACTGACACGCGCCGTGACACCCGACAAACGCCGCCGCAAACTTCCCTGCGACGCACACCTCACGCAGAACAAGCTAAGAAGTAACCGCTTTTGCATTTTCCACGCATCCCTTTACACCATTCTTGTTTCTTGTTTCGCCATTACCTCTCCCGGTCGGCGCACCGACTTTCGCTGCAGGTGCCTCTGCCTCTCATTTTCGTCTTCTCGCTCCCGCCCCTTTCTCGGCGGCGCCACGGGCTTGATCGACAGCGCCCACCCCACAGTGACGCTGTCTCTGTCCCCCTCCTTGCTCTCCTCTACTGCCGCTCTCTCATCGAGGCTTTACGGGCAGAGGCAAAAGACGAGCCGTGCTTCCCACCCCTCCCTCTCCCTCTGTCCACGATGGAGACGCACGAGAAGGTTGAGATCGTGAAGCTGGCCAGCGGCCCGCAGAAGCCGGTCAGCGAGTACAAGCGTTTCGCCATCCTCGTTCTCGGATCGTTCGGCTGCATTGTGTGCTCCTTCAGCTATGCGTGGAACTTGGTGTCGGCGGATATGCAAGAGCGCTACCACTTCACTCAGCGTGATATGAGCACCATCGTGACGGTGGGCCTGGTGGTGCAGTACTGCGTGCTACCCTACGCCTTTCTCTTCGATTATCTCGGTCCTCTGCCCATTGTTATTCTGGCCACCATCTACTTCCCGCTCGGCACGCTGCTGCTTGCGCTGTGCTTTATGGGCAAGATCAACGGCAGCGTCGCCACGTTGAGCGTCTTCAACGCATTGATGTCGTGCGGGTGCTCGCTCTTCGATCTCGGGTGCTGTGTAACGGTGCTGTCCTACTTCCCCACCAACCGTGGCCCGGTGACGGCGCTGCTGAAGACCTTCACCGGACTCGGCTCTGCGCTTGTGGCCTGCCTGTACGCCGGTTACTTCCACTCCGATCCGGAGAAGCACTTCTTCTTCCTCTTCGCGCTGGCTCTCGTGGTTGGCGTTCTCTGCATGGTCTTTCTGCGGCTGCCGGAGTACCACCTGACGCAGTACCAGCTGTCGCACCTCCCCATCGAGGAGCGGCAGCGCCGCGAGAACACCAAGGCGCAGTACCTACGCCAGAAGCCTCCGATCTGGCGCTTTGTCTACGGCTTTGTGATTCTGATCGTCCTGATCGTATTCCTTCCCACGCAGAGTGCGCTGGCCAGCTACCGCCACCTCGACTCCTCCGCGAAGAGGGCGTTTGCCATTGTGACGACGATTCTGACGCTCCTGTACCTCGTCGTTGCGGCTCCGGTGCCTTTCTGGGACCCCAAGCTGGAGGACCCGGAGGAGGACTCGGAGGACCTGGATGCGGACGCGAACATCAGCCTCGCGCTGAAGATCGACTCGGGCAACAACGCGCGGAAGCAGCACGACACGAATGAGCCGCACTGCGAGAGGAGCGAGCCGGCGGGCAACGACGACAACATCCACAAAGGCAACAGCACGGTTACGGCGGAAGCGATGCTGGAGGAGGACGATTTGAAGGAGGGGGAGCTGGAGATCGACTACATCGCTCCTGCCTATCCGGGCAGCTTCATCCACAACCTTCGCACCCTGGAGCTGTGGGCGCTGTGGTGGACCATGTTCACCGTCGTGGGGTCCGAGTTCGTGATCATCTACAACGCCACCAACATTCTGGCGGCGCTGCAGGGCGAGGACCCTTCCTCTTCGCTCAGCACGCTGCTGACGGTGCTGAACGGTGTGGGCAGTGCGGTGGGTCGTCTGCTGATGTCGTACTTTGAGGTTCACACGCAGAAGCGCAAGGCGGAGGACCGCATCCCCATCACGATTTCCCTGTTCCTGCCGACGGGTTCGATCATCATTTCCCTCATCTTATTTCTTGTGCTGCCGGCTGCTGCGCTGCCGCTGCCGTACGTTGTCGCTGCCCTCGGCAACGGCTTCCTGGCCGGTGTGACCCTCCTGGTGTCACGCACCATCTTCGCGAAGGACCCTGCGAAGCACTACAACTTCTGCTTCACCGCCACCATGCTCGCCTCGCTTGTGTTCAATCGTTTCCTCTACGGTGAGTGGTACACGGTGCAGGCGGAGAAGCAGAACCACGCGAATCATCGCTGCTACGGCAAGCACTGCGTGCTGATGCCGCTGGTCGTACTGATGGCACTGGCCTGCACTGCTTTTGCGACGGACGCGGTGCTGCACCTGCGGTACCGTTCCTTCTGCCAGCGCACTCTGGCCGAGCGTGCCCGTCTGCACGAGCTCGCCCATCACAACCACGAAATGAACGAGGCGATCAACAGCCTTCATTCGGACACCACGCCTGCAGACGCTGACGGGGAGCCACGCGGCGAGGCGGTGCAGTCGAATTCACGTCCCTGATAGACAGGTGTCAGTGGTGTGCCCCCTATGCTGCTCTTCGTGGGTGAATCGATTACTTTGTCTTCTGAACAGCGCCACGGACCGCGAACGGCATCCGCAGCAGCAGCCGCAAACGGCTACGAATGGTTGAAGAGCTGCGCCGAAGGAGATGCCAGCACTCACGGCAGTTAAATGCGGATGACAACGGCTCCCCTCGGAAACAGAAAAGCAGTCACGGTTTCTTCCCCCCTCGCTTTGTTCGAGTCTCCAGGCTCTGATATATATGCTTTCTACCTCCCGTGTTCTTTTTTCCGTTAAAAGTATAAATAGCTTCCCTTCTCTTTCTCTGTAACTTCATTTACCTTTGTTTCTATAAAACGATGCTTTTGTAGGCCCACGATGATGATGAGCTGTTGTACACGTTTTTCTAAACGTGGATGCCTTTTCTTTTTCTGTTTTACCCTCATTCTCTTGTTTGCCTGCATTTCTTCAGTGATTTCAGACTGTCTCGATTCGGGTGTGGGTGATGACCTCATCTTCTTATTCTGTCCGCGTAAGTAGACATGAGCGTGTTTGTTTGATTGCCTGTGTGTGTGTTGTGTGGTCTGTTTACCGCGGACGCAAGCAGGATCGGCGCTTTCTAGCTGCGTGGACTCGAGAGGCCACCTGGCCGTCAAGATGTACGACGGCGCAGCTGCAGCACGACACACAAACACGTGGAATCGATTCGCGCAGGCACGCCAAAAAGCTCCCACCTGCGCAGCGGCGAAGCGCACAGCGAAGGATGAGCGACGAGAGCAATTCGGCGTGCGTGTATGACATGCGAGAGCTCTACTTCTACCGCTGCTGTTACGGGTCACACACACGGCAATATATATATTTTCTTTTTAGTTCTACCTACTGTAACTTCTCTTTTACGCTCCTATATATATACATCTTCTCTGACGAACTTTCTTCTTCTTTCCGGAGCGGCTGTACTGGTGGACCAGCAGACGTGCTTCTTTTCTCTCTGGCACCTGCTGCTGTGCCTGCCGTACTCCTGCGGTTCCATTAGCCAACACCTATTGTGCGTGCTATGAAACAGAATCAAGCACTGCTGTGATGGATCGCGGAACCCAAGACGGCCCAAGCGAAAGCTTCTCTATTTTTTCCTGATGTAGATTTGCCAAAAGGAGCGTTAAGGGCACGTGAAGGATGGAAGAGAAGCCTCCCTTTTTGTTTTAACTTGTCCGGTTCATGAGTATAGTGATATCAAACGCCGTATGGTATCCGACTTGTACTCATCGTTTCCGATGTTGTGTGTTTCAATGCGTTTATGTTTATTTACATCATTTTCGGCTCTCGGCTCTCTGCGTGGTGTCGACTCACCGGGACATCCGCGGATGCAGGGGGAAACGAGAGCGCGTCCGTGTTGGTGTTGTTTGGTGGACTCTTTACGTGCGTGAGAGCTGCAGCGAAACGAGCAAACAAAGTGGCTGGCTGGTAGCCGGCCTCCTGTCGTTGCCGATCGGCGTGCGGCCGTTCCCCATCGAGTATTGGTGCCCTGTTCCTTCCTGTAGAAGTGGGGAAAGGGCCGTTGTGTTATTGCGTGTGTCTTTTGCCGTGTTTCGCTGTGGGAGGCGCAAGTCGAGGCTGCATGGCGCATGCACACGGAAAACGGGAGGAGGGAAGTAAAGGTGTGCTCTGTGTAGGTGTTTTGTTTCTTTGCCACTGGTGGTGTCGTGCATGCAGTCTCGTATCTTCTCTGGTCGCGGATGCGTGTGGCGCGGCGCGGCAACTTTACCCACGTCGCCCTGCCGAGTTATGCACCGTCAACGGCTGTTCTCGTTTGGCCCCCTGCTGCTCTGCACGGTGCGTGGCGGAGGACCACTTTCGTTTTTTCTTCCTATTTCTCCGCTCTCCGCCACATTGACGTTGCCACTAGTCGTGCATATGTATGGGTGTGAATGTGTGTGCGTGTTTGCATAGGAGGCAGCGCAGCTTAACCTTTTCCGCGCAGTTGAGTTGTTTCTCGCGCTCTTCGGGTGCGTGTAAGCGAGCATGCGCGTGCGTGCGTTTGTGTGGGTGTAAGTCTGCCTCACGTACACGCGCCGATCCACCTACAGTACGAAAACAGTAACAGCGGAAGAAGAGAGAGAGCAGTGCCCCATTCGAAATGCGCTGATCGCCGTCAGAACAGGAAAGACAACACCTTTGTTTTTTCCCTTTTCTGTTAAACTTTGTGTTCTAATCCCAATAAGGTGGACTACTTTTGAGCCCAAGAAGCGCTCGGACGTTGTGTGGAGGAGAGGCGGGCTGGTTGTGGTGGTGTGGGAGGAAATGGTTGTATTCCGTAGATCCCTCACAAACCGACACACGCCGGACCAATTGTGGGAGCGTGCAACGTCTTCCGGCCAGTTCGCTTCTTGTGCATCCTGTTCCCCAGCTGTCGCGTGCTGTGCTGCATGCTCGTGTGTGCGTGCGGCTGCGTGATTGTCCTCTCCCGGTACCCGCCCCTCAGCACTTGTTTCTTTATACGCGAATTGCTGTACGTCGTTGCCGGCGTGGAGCTCGCCCTCACCGCCTCTTCTCTCCACTGCCGTCGGCTGGCTTCAGTCTTTTAATTGTTTTTACGCGCTCATTTCTCTTTAAAAGTGTCTTCAATTCGGTGTCACCGTGATCGAGACGGATGCGTCCACAAGGAGGTGCGCCAACTTCCTTATTTCTTTTTCCCGGGCTGCGCACCTCCGATCTCCGTTCTCAGCTTCACGCGGGACCTAAAGCAATCCCTCTTGTTGTTGTTGGGCGAGAGTGTAAGAATCGCACGTGACTTTTCGCCCGGTCTTTCCTTCATCGTGCCGCGTGTGTTCGGCGTCGATGGGAGACGACGTAGCCAAAGGAGGACAATACAACGATCGGAAGGGGAAACACCCGCGCCTCATCTGTAACCTGGCGCAGCTAACCAGCCGTGCCCAGCGTGTGCGTAGAAGAATTCATGTCGTGCAACGCTCTTTCGACGGTGCTTTCGCTGCCGTTCGCTGCCGTTCGCTTGCTGCGCAGCGTCAGGTGTCTGTGAAACACACACGCGCGACGATGACACAAGGAATGGGGGAATGCGCGGCGTGTGGAGGCGGCTGCGCGTGCCTGCCCACCTGCCTGCGATGCGCTGCCATGTGTTGTGTAGGGGCGATGGGCCGTGGCGAAGCAGAACGCAGAATGCCGATCCGTCGTAGCTCACCATCCATTGGACGTGCTCCTCTTCCTGCCTTTTCATTCTCTTTTCCATCTGCGTTGTCTCACTGACACGCGCCGTGACACCCGACAAACGCCGCCGCAAACTTCCCTGCGACGCACACCTCACGCAGAACAAGCTAAGAAGTAACCGCTTTTGCATTTTCCACGCATCCCTTTACACCATTCTTGTTTCTTGTTTCGCCATTACCTCTCCCGGTCGGCGCACCGACTTTCGCTGCAGGTGCCTCTGCCTCTCATTTTCGTCTTCTCGCTCCCGCCCCTTTCTCGGCGGCGCCACGGGCTTGATCGACAGCGCCCACCCCACAGTGACGCTGTCTCTGTCCCCCTCCTTGCTCTCCTCTACTGCCGCTCTCTCATCGAGGCTTTACGGGCAGAGGCAAAAGACGAGCCGTGCTTCCCACCCCTCCCTCTCCCTCTGTCCACGATGGAGACGCACGAGAAGGTTGAGATCGTGAAGCTGGCCAGCGGCCCGCAGAAGCCGGTCAGCGAGTACAAGCGTTTCGCCATCCTCGTTCTCGGATCGTTCGGCTGCATTGTGTGCTCCTTCAGCTATGCGTGGAACTTGGTGTCGGCGGATATGCAAGAGCGCTACCACTTCACTCAGCGTGATATGAGCACCATCGTGACGGTGGGCCTGGTGGTGCAGTACTGCGTGCTACCCTACGCCTTTCTCTTCGATTATCTCGGTCCTCTGCCCATTGTTATTCTGGCCACCATCTACTTCCCGCTCGGCACGCTGCTGCTTGCGCTGTGCTTTATGGGCAAGATCAACGGCAGCGTCGCCACGTTGAGCGTCTTCAACGCATTGATGTCGTGCGGGTGCTCGCTCTTCGATCTCGGGTGCTGTGTAACGGTGCTGTCCTACTTCCCCACCAACCGTGGCCCGGTGACGGCGCTGCTGAAGACCTTCACCGGACTCGGCTCTGCGCTTGTGGCCTGCCTGTACGCCGGTTACTTCCACTCCGATCCGGAGAAGCACTTCTTCTTCCTCTTCGCGCTGGCTCTCGTGGTTGGCGTTCTCTGCATGGTCTTTCTGCGGCTGCCGGAGTACCACCTGACGCAGTACCAGCTGTCGCACCTCCCCATCGAGGAGCGGCAGCGCCGCGAGAACACCAAGGCGCAGTACCTACGCCAGAAGCCTCCGATCTGGCGCTTTGTCTACGGCTTTGTGATTCTGATCGTCCTGATCGTATTCCTTCCCACGCAGAGTGCGCTGGCCAGCTACCGCCACCTCGACTCCTCCGCGAAGAGGGCGTTTGCCATTGTGACGACGATTCTGACGCTCCTGTACCTCGTCGTTGCGGCTCCGGTGCCTTTCTGGGACCCCAAGCTGGAGGACCCGGAGGAGGACTCGGAGGACCTGGATGCGGACGCGAACATCAGCCTCGCGCTGAAGATCGACTCGGGCAACAACGCGCGGAAGCAGCACGACACGAATGAGCCGCACTGCGAGAGGAGCGAGCCGGCGGGCAACGACGACAACATCCACAAAGGCAACAGCACGGTTACGGCGGAAGCGATGCTGGAGGAGGACGATTTGAAGGAGGGGGAGCTGGAGATCGACTACATCGCTCCTGCCTATCCGGGCAGCTTCATCCACAACCTTCGCACCCTGGAGCTGTGGGCGCTGTGGTGGACCATGTTCACCGTCGTGGGGTCCGAGTTCGTGATCATCTACAACGCCACCAACATTCTGGCGGCGCTGCAGGGCGAGGACCCTTCCTCTTCGCTCAGCACGCTGCTGACGGTGCTGAACGGTGTGGGCAGTGCGGTGGGTCGTCTGCTGA